TATGTATATGTGTGTATGTATGTATGTATATGTGTGTATGTGTGTATGTATGTATGTATGTATGTATGTATGTATGTATGTATGTATGTATGTATGGTAATGTAATGTAATGTATGGTAATGTAATGTAATGTAATGTAATGTAATGTAATGTAAGTATGTAAGTATGTAAGTATGTAAGTATGTAAGTATGTATGTATGTATGTATGTATGTATGTATGTATGTATGTATGTATGTATGTAATGTTATGTATGTAATGTTATGTATGTAATGGTATGTATGTATGTATGTATGTATGTATGGAATGTAATGTAATGTAATGTAGTGTAGTGTAGTGTAGTGTAATGTAATGTAATGTAATGTAATGTAATGTATGTATGTATGTATGTATGTATGTATGTATATTATATATATATGAGACCAAACTGATCTCTCTGTTCACCTTTGCCCTAATCGTAAAATTAAAAAAGCACATTTTCGTCCACGAAAAAACATTATATATATATAGTAATCAATCACACCACTCACCATTGAAGCACCACAGGAGTTTAGATCCACATGTTTTCGGTGCATTTCACGTTGCAACAGAATCCAGAAAACCCAGGAAAAGGCATCTATCTTGAGGTCACGATTAGCTTGACTATGCATCTGGGAGAACAGATTCGTTCTGCTTAGATCTTAAACGCACTCAGTGTTCTCATTCTTTTGTTGCCGAGTAATTATCACCGTCTCTGGTTTGAGAGTCTGAGAGCATTGTTTTCGAAAGGAATTGCGCCTGTACGTGTTTCAGGGGTTATGGTTCATTACTTGTTCTTCTGTCAAATCCTTCGGGTACTGATCTTTTACATGTTAGGCAGAGTAATTCTTGTATGCGCACGGTGCTTTCATTTTGAATTTTTCTTCTCGCACGGTGCTCTTTGGCTTATTTGGATAATCAGAACACGGCACAGGCCCGATTGTCTGTGCTGCTAGCAGAGTATGTGGAGCAACATTCGATGCTGCAGGCTCTGCAATATCTGGAGGATGCTAAAGGTCTAGCCAACCGCAGACGGCAAATGTGATTACACTGCACGAAATAGAAAGCATTGGATCTGCATTTCGATACAATTTCACAACGGGTTTCCTGGAATTTTCACTGTAAAGGTGCCATTGCTTTACTTATCACGGAATTTTTCAAGTCCTCATTGTGTTCAGCTGCCAGTGAGTCACGCGAGGCAGAATGGCAAGCCACTCAGCGCAAGCCGGACCTCGAGGTCGGGGAGATTGCGATGATTACGCCCTGTTTGAACAGTTTGAAGAGTCGTGCTTTATGAAAAATCTTTTGGATCCTCACCTGAGCTATTCTTTTGTGAAGCTGGGAGAAGCTTGTAGATGCATGATAACGTGAAAGCGTTAGCCCGGCGGCTTCTAGATGGTGAGCAAATGAATTTGCCTAGGGAGGGTGCTTTGGATAGGCCAAAAGATGGCAAAAGCATTCCGGACAGCTTTGTTCAGCAACTTGTTCTCCTTATTTTCTGCTCAAGTTACCTATCGCACCAAACTGTAGAATGATGTAGAACGGTATGTTCCAGCTCGGAGAGACCATCGCCCTTTGTCACAGGACTTGGTTGTGACTCCACCTGACTTGAACGACATGGAGGAATGGTATCTACCTGATTCATCCTACTACCTGATTTCATTGTAAGAACATTGCAGAACTTCTAGTGTTCTAATCCATGCATCCAAAATAGTCACCGTTGCCAAAGAGGGAAACTGCCATCGAAGAATCTGTCAACTCGGCAAAGGAGAGTGCAAATTTGAATATGTTTAAATATCTTTAAATACCTTTGGCACGTTTTGGCACTGGAAAGAGTGGCAAGCTTACGATTGAATCATATTGAATCATATTGAATCCCGGTTGAACTCCTGCGAAACCCTCGGCTCCTGCGAGGAGCTGCTTCATCGATGGCATGCTGATGTTTTGGAAGACATGCTGAGGCGGTTGAATCTGAATCCAAGCACTCGAGGACTGAAATTTCTCACAAAATCAAAGTCAAAGGACGGCTCATGGCAAGGGCACTTAGAAATTGGAATTCTCTAAACTTCCAAACATCAAAAACGGCACGAGAGACTGAACCAGAAACGATCGAGTTGTGGAAGTCTTGAACCGAAGCTTCCACACCGTACCGAGCATCGAAACAAGATGAAGCAAACTGTCCGAACTACACGAGTGCAGGTTGGATGCAGAGCCTGAGCTGAAATTGCACTGGGACACCTTGTGCCAAGAGGCTCTCCACATGCGACGCTTGTGTTTCACGGAGCTTGTCAAACAATGCGGTCAGTTGTCCAGAACAATGTCCATAGTGGTCCTCACTGCCCATGTCCTAGATGGGCACAAGAGACATGGAATGCCATGGGAATGCCATGGGAATGCCATGGGAATTACAATCGATTCCGACAGATTGAGAGATGTTTCAAAATGTTTTATTTTGTCACGTGTGACTCTACACGAGCTCTCTATCTTGTATAATTTGTATGTTCTGTTCTGTTTTGTTTTGCCCCACTGAGTCTGCTGGTTGAATCCGTATCTGTTCCTGGATTTTTCTTTCTGCCCAGTGTTTTCCTTCATTTTCTCTTAGATGGTAGCTACTGACAGAGTTACTGGTAGTTGGTGATACAGAAACAAATTACTATGCAGCATGATCGAGACACGGGCATCCGAAGATGATTCTTTACGACGGTGAACTACTGGCCTTCGCTTCAGATTTTCTCAGGAACTATATGGATTTCGGAAAAAAACGCTGCGAAATTAAAGTTTTCTTGAACCATTTGTCTCAATGAAACCTTGATCGTAATAGCCTGAGTTCATATTGAAGATTATGTTGTGTTGGTCGCTCAGTCCAAGAATCGCCAACCCATTTGCCCGTTACCTCACACATGGAAAGACATAAGCCACCTTGCTCAGCACAGCACTTCAGGTGATTGCAAGCGGCAAGCCTTTTGGCGGCCTTGCACACTCTGTGGCTGAATATGCTCTTCACAGGCCTATTGTCTAGCAACTAGCAAAGAGAGGACTGCTTCTGTGATTTCGGGTTCCCCTGCCGTGTCTTTGTGTCAATTTGTATCAATTTCCGCAGTAGCATTGGGACCAATATCTACTGTGGGGCTGGGCTTGGAGCAATGTTGTGCGTGGACTGTTGAAAACGATGGAGACGTGGGCTACTTAGTTACTACAAAGGTCCAAGATTCCAAGATATTCTAAACGCCCAAGCACCTTTTGAACACACACACACATTATTATAATTATATATATATATACATACATATATGTATATGTATGGATTATGTATATATGTAGATAGATCTTTGAATGATCATTTTTGCATTTGGAACTGTGAGGCTGCTGCGCCGTACGCTTCTAAGCGCGACAGAACCGAGGGGCCCTCGCTGGGTAGAACCGAGAAATTGTGAAGCGTAAACGACGCAGAAACGTACAGATTGCTTGAACAGATTTGCGAAATGTGAGAAGATTTACAACGGATTTTCCGGCGCGAGATGATATACGTCATACGAGGTGGATTTTTTAACATGAGAATTCAATATAATTTACATAATTATTTTATTTAATTGATTTTTGTTCAACAATACTTCGGGCTGCCGTCCTAGGTCAAGGTCAAATGCGGCTTCAAAGGCTGAGCCTTCACGCCATTTATCAAGGCCTGGTCGCTGAGAACAAGGCTTTCGCAAGCAGAAAAATCGGGTAACGACAGAATGACAACAAGATGGGAATGACAATCGGAATGACAATCGGAATGACAATCGGAATGACAATCGGAATGACAATCGTTATAGATAATTATAGTCTATTTAGAGTCTATAGATGATATAGATGTCAGATGTCTATAGTAAGAATCAGCACAAGCTTTGATCAGACATGAACTACACGAGCTGTGTGAGGTTGAGTCATGGAGCCGTCAGACTTAGGATTTGTCGCGCTAGATGCTTGAATGATGCTTGATACATTTGGATACATGTGGGGCAAATGCACTTAACATTTGGGACTTTCTGACTTTTTCACATTTGCCAGGACAGCACTCAGACGGGGAAAACTTTTGACAAACCTCTGGAAAGTTGTCACAATATGAAACATTTCAACAGAAACCCAGAAACAGATTGAGTTCGGTTCCTTGAAATCACTGCGATCAGGAAACTGCAGATAGTTTCGTTACAGCTCCTCTGCCTGTCCGACTTTTTCTGCTTGTGCAGGTTCGTCGTTTAAAGACCGTCTTCGGCTGAGAAATCGACAGAGACAGATAAGACAGATAGTACATGAGATGAAGTAACGAATAGTACGACTAGTAGCGACAAGAAGTCAGCACTCAGTACAAGGCTTGTTTCACCTAGGGCATGGTGAAATGTTGCCACCTGGTTTCTGATAGATTTGAAAGATCTAAAAGATCTGAAAGTGTTGATGCATGTCAGAATGTTATGCTAAGGTCATATGCAGAAACGAAGGAATTCCGGGTGCATTTGGCCAGACTTGGTACAAACCGCACAGTGAGCACTAGACTGATTGGCACACCAGGATACTAAAACTATGCTATTTACTCATCCTATATCATACTATTGTATTCTCCACAAACGGGATCCCATATCTGTCAATCTTCAAACCGTTCTTATAGAGGAACTCACTTTAAGCTAGTGCAGGACACCAAGCGTGCATACTGTTGGTCAGAAATTTGCGCATCTCAACGTGTCTTCACTGGCTCATTGGATCTCAACTGGAACTCAGGCCGTTCCTCTTCTTTTCAAAAAAGTCAAAGATCCGGCATCTTGATCAACTCACCTGCTTCTTGTCACAGAAAACGCAGATGGTAGGAATGATGAAACAGGAAAGGAGTAGGAACATGTAGGAACATCATGTGCCCATGTCTCGTAAACTTAATATTAAGAAAAAAAGAAAGAAAAGAGTGAGAGAGAGAGAGAGAAAGAGCGTGCCAATATTTCGCTTGAGATTTTGAGGAGCCACGTGCTTGTGCCATGGACTTCAGCCCCTTGCGCCGCGCTGGGACGACTGTGGCAGCGGCAGACCGAGCCTATGAGCGCGATGCGAAAGCAAAGGACACGGAACTTCCAATGAGTTTTTTCAGAAATCTTCAGAACGTTCAGTGATTCAGATTGATTCGGTAAGTCACGGAAATCATGGGAAAGCAAAGCAGATTCATTTTTGATCTCCCCGACTGGTTCACTTCACCAGACAATGACAAGACGGCACCACTTATGTGTGTTTTGCTTGTACTGCACCAATGATACGATCACAGATGTTGGGTGTCAGGAGTTGATAGGCACATTGCCCACTGATAGTGTCATGCAGTATCAGCAACTTGGTGGAAATTTGATTTTTGAACCTATTGATGCTATTGATGCTATTGATGCTGATTAGAGTGAGGGTTTTTGTGGCAGTTTCTTCAGAAGTTTTGAGTGGCCACTTGAGGCTGGCTCTGCGTGTGGAGCTGGAAAGGCGTTGGCTGCCATCTCATGCTGAATACATGGAACATGTCCAGCAATATTCAGCAATCATGTAAATATCATATAAATATCATGTAAACATCATGTAAATATCATGTAAATATCATATAAATATAATGTAAATATCATATAAATATCATGTAAATATCATATAAATATCATATAAATATCATGTAATATCATATAAAATCATATAAATATCATGTAAATATCATGTAAATATCATGTAAATATCATGTAAATATCATGTAAATATCATGTAAATATCATGTAAATATCATGTAAATATCATGTAAATATCATGTAAATATCATATAAATATCATATAAATATCATATAAATATCATGTAAATATCATATAAATATCATGTAAATATCATATAAATATCATGTAAATATCATATAAATATCATATAAATATCATGTAAATATCATATAAATATCATGTAAATATCATATAAATATAATGTAAATATCATATAAATATCATATAAATATCATATAAATATCATGTAAATATCATATAAATATCATATAAATATCATATAAATATCATGTAAATATCATGTAAATATCATATAAATATCATATAAATATCATGTAAATATCATGTAAATATAATGTAAATATCATATAAATATCATGTAAATATCATAATATAATGTAAATATCATATAAATATCATGTAAATATCATATAAATATCATATAAATATAATGTAAATATCATATAAATATCATGTAAATATCATATAAATATAATGTAAATATCATATAAATATCATATAAATATCATATAAATATCATGTAAATATCATATAAATATCATGTAAATATCATATAAATATCATAAAAAATATCATGTAAATATCATGTAAATATCATGTAAATATCATATAAATATCATGTAAATATCATCATGTAAATATCATGTAAATATCATGTAAATATCATGTAAATATCAATATATGTAAATGTAAATATCATGTAAATATCATATATCATATCATATAAATATCATGTAAATATCATGTAAATATCATGTAAATATCATAAATATCATATAAATATCATATAAATGTAAATCATATAAATATCATATAAATATCATGTAAATATCATATAAAGTAAATATCATCATAGTAAATATCATATAAATATCATATAAATATCATGTAAAATCATGTAAATATCATATAAATATCATATAAAATATCAATATATAATCATGTAAATATCATCATATAAATATCTATAAATATCAATGTATATCATGTAAATACATATAAATATCATATAAATATCAATGTAAATATCATATAAATTATATCATGTCATCATGTAAATATCATGTAATATCATATATCATATAAATATCATGTAAATATCATATAAATATCATATAAATATCATATAAATATCATAAATATCATATAATATCATATAAATATCATATAAATATCATGTAAATATCATGTAAATATCATGTAAATATCATATAAATATCATATAAATATCATATAAATATCATATAAATATCATGTAAATATCATATAAATATCATATAAATATCATATAAATATCATGTAAATATCATGTAAATATCATGTAAACATCATATAAATATCATGTAAATATCATGTAAATATCATGTAAATATCATGTAAATATCATATAAATATCATATAAATATCATATAGATATCATATAAATATCATATAAATATCATATAAATATCATATAGATATCATATAAATATCATATAAATATCATATAAATATCATGTAAATATCATATAAATATCATATAAATATCATATAAATATCATGTAAATATCATGTAAATATCATGTAAATATCATGTAAATATCATGTAAATATAATGTAAATATCATATAAATATCATGTAAATATCATATAAATATCATGTAAATATCACATAAATATCATGTAAATATCATATAAATATCATATAAATATCATGTAAATATCATATAAATATCATGTAAATATCATATAAATATAATGTAAATATCATATAAATATCATATAAATATCATAAATATCATATAAATATCATGTAAATATCATATAAATATCATACAAATATCATATAAATATCATATAAATATCATGTAAATATCATGTAAATATCATGTAAACATCATATAAATATCATGTAAATATCATGTAAATATCATGTAAATATCATATAAATATCATGTAAATATCATATAAATCATATAAATATCATATAATATCATATAAATATCATATAATATCATATAAATATCATATAAATATCATATAAATATCATGTAAATATCATATAAATATCATATAAATATCATATAAATATCATGTAAATCATGTAAATATCATGTAAATATCATGTAAATATCATGTAAATATAATAAATATCATATAAATATCATGTAAATATCATATAAATATCATGTAAATATCATATAAATATCATATAAATATCATATAAATATCATATAAATATCATGTAAATATCATATAAATATCATATAAATATCATACAAATATCATGTAAATATCATATAAATATCATATAAATATCATGTAAATATCATGTAAATATCATATAAATATCATATAAATATCATGTAAATATCATATAAATATCATATAAATATCATATAAATATCATATAAATATCATGTAAATATCATATAAATATCATATAAATATCATATAAATATCATGTAAATATCATGTAAATATCATGTAAATATCATGTAAATATCATGTAAATATCATGTAAATATCATATAAATATCATATAAATATCATGTAAATATCATATAAATATCATATAAATATCATGTAAATATCATATAAATATCATATAAATATCATGTAAATATCATGTAAATATCATATAAATATCATATAAATATCATATAAATATCATATAAATATCATGTAAATATCATATAAATATCATATAAATATCATGTAAATATCATATAAATATCATATAAATATCATATAAATATCATGTAAATATCATGTAAATATCATATAAATATCATATAAATATCATGTAAATATCATGTAAATATCATGTAAATATCATGTAAATATCATGTAAATATCATGTAAATATCATGTAAATATCATGTAAATATCATGTAAATATCATATAAATATCATGTAAATACTGCTCCGTTTTGCAGACACTGCCACTGGGATTTCTGGCTGGACAGCGCCTGAATATCAAGTCCGATGGTCGAATCGGTTCTGACCACTGCTGGTCACTGCTTGTTTTGTGCAGGCAGACCAAGCAGCTGGAAGAACTGTTGAGAAAGCAGGCTGATTTGGTCAGTTGGTCAGTCGAGCAACTGCAACTAATTGCTTGCGAACATATCAAAAGACAAAAGGGGCAATGTTTTCAATCTATGCAACTTCTTTTTCAAGTGGGTGTTATGCCCTTCGCCATCATTGCATTTCTTGTTCCTACTGACTTAGTGCCTGCCATCAGTGTCAGACTTGCACCACATGTGTTTTCTTTCCGAGTCGATGCCCTTTCTCGCTTGCAATTTGCTGCAAGTGTTTAAGTTTAGCTTGCCAGCTTCCAATAGACGGAAAGTACAAGTCAACAGTCATCAAAAGTCCGTAGGCTCTACAGCTGCAGACCCGTGACCCATGCCCCCATGGCGTCCATGGCCCCCATGGCGTCCATGCCAGGCTGACACCGCTTTCAAGCAGAACTTCGAACATCGACAGGAGAGAATCTGACCAAAAACTGACCAAACAACAAATTATTGATGATGGAAAGCAGAAACAAAAAACACCAAGACACCTGATACACCTGGAGCTGAAAAAATCCTGGAGAAAACCAATGTCAGTCCCTGTAGAGTCTCTGTAGCATGTCGATTACCACATTGAGATGCCTATGCCTTGAGTTTTCTCGAAGGAGGTGCAAGGAATCTCGGAAGCCTGGCAGCTGGTTGCCCGGACGCTGGGAAACTTTGTTGCAGAAATTTCACCTGAAGAGCTGCTCAGCTTCCTTGAACTTCTGAACGGACTTGAAAGAATGTGATGTTGATGTGTTTGCATGATTTTTCGGGCTGTTATCTTTGACGCAAACTGCAGTAGCTCATTTTGATAGAAAAACAACTTATGAGATCGAGACATGAAGTTGATCTAATTTTCCCTTGTAAACATTGGATTCTTGCTGTTGATCAAAACTGATCACTTCCTCTTCTGTTTCAACCTGAGAAGCAGCGGAGACCGCCAAGAAATGTTCCTTTGGCACATCTTCCCTGGTTTCCATCTTCGCCGGCACTATGTGGTAAGGAGAGCAGCTTTCTTCCATGCACTCCCTGCAGAAGAAGAATCAGGCGAAGTGTCAAACGTGTTTCAGTGAGCAGTGCTACAATCGCAGTTTCCATGCCATTCAGAAAATGTTCGCAATGAAGGGAAAATGATGTCATGCTTGAGCTGCTTGGGTAAGTCCTGGGAAAGTCTTTGTTCAGCTGTGTCCTCAGTTTTAGATGAAAGACTTCGCCGTTCCCTCTTTGCTTCAGGACAAGCCAAGGAAACGTAGCTTATAGGTAGAATATGGCAGAGAATGGTAGAGAATGGTAGAGATAAGATGAGGCAAGCTCGGTTTGGCGATCATGCGGTCATGCGATCATGCGGCATTTGCCAGGAGACTTGCAAGCGCTTGGAGCAAGCAGTGTCGAAACTGCTAGAGGGAGAAGCAGAGGCGACGAGGGTTTTTGGACTCAATTGTCCTTCCAAAAAAAAACTGCTGTTGGAGAAGGATCCGAAGGTCGCTAAAGGATCCGAAAAAGGATCCGAAAAAGGATCCGAAAAAGGATCCGAAAAGATTGGAGGCCTGAAATGGCCTGAAACCATCTGAAACCCACGGAAGGCCCTCTTGGAATTGCCATTTCACCAGCTGACGCCAAGATTTGTGCTCCAGGCGAAACTGAAGGAGATTGTTACAGAGAATACAGAGAAGATTGACAGATTTCACAGTCAGTTCTCGATCTTGCACCAGTAAGCTTCTCAGACTTCTCAGTCGTCAGATATCGTCAGATCATAGCTCCGTGTAGCTTCGTGTAGCTCCGTGTAGCTCCGTGTAGCTCTGTTGATCCTTGCAAACTTGCGAACGTACGAAGCATATCCATGCATATCCAAGCATCATGTCTGGCGATCTCAACAATCTCTCGAATGTTTATGCTTCATCTTTGTAGATTGTTTAAAACCGTTGCCAATAAATGGCAGGGTAGAAAAAGCATGGCCAGTTAATGCTAGTTAGCTGCTAGTTAGCTTAGTTAGAAAGTCCGATGCCGAGGCAAAGCCAAAGAATGGAGAAGTCCGTGCTGGATTTGATGAAAGCTGCACCGCTGAAAGTCCACACGAGCCCTGGCGAATTCTCTTAGGCTTCGACTTTGGTATCGTGAGTTTTTCTGCTAAAGTCAGTCCATCCTTCTAGAGATATTGTCGTTTATCATCTTCCATATCTTTCCAATCTTTAGTCTGTCTATCATATGTCTATCATCAATATTATGAAAAACAAATCATGTCCTTCAAACATAATGCTCACTTCCATTGAAGCGGCAGTTGAAGCTAAGCCTTGCACTCTATTTTTCTTACTGCCAGCATGCATGCCTTGGCTTGCCCTATCTTTGCTTTCCGTCCTGAAACATCCTCACCCGCATCCAGAAAGACAGAGCCTGTGCCCCAACCCTGCCAACCCCCTTGTTTGCTCAGTTTGTGATTCATTTCCAACTGAAACTTCATATTTCTTGAGTGGTGGTCAATACGGTAACCAAGGTCCTAGACACTGTTCATGTAGACATGCGCAATGCAGACTTCCTCAGCCTTTATTGAGTGTATCAAGATCTAGTATGATCTCTTATGATTTAAGATCTGTTAAGATCTGTTCAGATCTATTAAGATCTATTAAGTCGATTTCCATTCAAGGCTTGGCTCTGACCTTCCTGGCCTTCCTGACCTACCTGGACAGTCAGAGGTGAAGCAACGTTGGGAAAGTCGAGACGCGGCTGGAAACGTTTGGTTTGCTCGAACTACCGATGCATTGTAGTAACCGGTGCAACAAGCAATACCCAATAGCAATACCCAATAGCATCCAATGAATCCAATATCTATTTACATCCCATGCATCCAATGCTCAATATCTATTTCTATACCGTCTATACTATACCGTTTGACTTCAATTCTAAGGGCATGTTGTGACACTTTGGTCACATGAGCATCTGAGGTCGGCAAGATATGTACCTTCGAACGCACAGGTACTCGTATATCATTTCGTACATACATAATATGTATATATATATATAATCGTATGTAATACCTGTGCACACACACACATACGTTTGTGTCAGGCTGTTTTCAATAAGATGCACATGTGATGATGTGAACTTTGTGACTCTGCGAAGTGCAAAGCCAATTCTAGATTCTAGGCAGTCCTCAGACCCTCCTGGCATTCCGAAACCTTGGCCAGTTTCCTTCAACACTACCTTGAAGTGCGTTTGTACTATTTGCATTTCTCTTTTTTTGCACCCCCAAAACGTAGTTTGGCATACCGTGATTACCGATTTCCTCTTGGCTGGCTTTTCCAGCTGGACCATTGACACTGCACAGGATGACTCGCGATTCAACTCTGAGGCTGGGCGGAAGTGCCGATGCGGCCAGATTTGTTTCTAATTAAACTTTGCCACAACTGTAGAGTCCTGCCACTCCCAAAAAACAACCCAACCTCGACCTCACGCCAATCCATCAGGTCATCATGCAGTGTCTTGAGTGTACTGTGTGGGGTTACTGCTTGTTTTTATTGCCAGAGCCTGATGCCTGTGATGCTTTGAGAACCATCAAATAAACTGCTGAGCAAAATATGCGGAAATTGTTGAGCCATTCGCTCTGAGGCAGAGCAATGTTGGTTTGGTCAGCATGCAGTGTCTTGAGTGTACTGTGTGGGGTTACTGCTTGTTTTGTTGCCAGAGCGTGATGCCTGTGATGCTTTGAGAACCATCAAATAAACTGCTGAGCAAATCGTGCGGAGATTGTTGAGCCATTCGCTCTGAGGCAGAGCAATGTTGTTTTGTCAGCATGCAGGCATGCAGTGTCTTGAGTGTACTCTGTGGGGCTTACTGCTTGTTTTGTTGCCAGAGCGTGATGCCTGTGATGCTTTGAGAACCATCAAATAAACTGCTGAGCAAATCGTGCGGAGATTGTTGAGCCATTCGCTCTGAGGCAGAGCAATGTTGTTTTGTCAGCATGCAGGCATGCGGTGTCTTGACTGCTTGTTTTGTTGCCAGAGCGTGATGCCTGTGATGCTTTGAGAACCATCAAATAAACTGCTGAGCAAATCGTGCGGAGATTGTTGAGCCATTCGCTCTGAGGCAGAGCAATGTTGTTTTGTCAGCATGCAGGCATGCGGTGTCTTGAGTGTACTCTGTGGGGCTACTGCTTGTTTTGTTGCCAGAGCGTGATGCCTGTGATGCTTTGAGAACCATCAAATAAACTGCTGAGCAAATCGTGCGGAGATTGTTGAGCCATTCGCTCTGAGGCAGAGCAATGTTGTTTTGTCAGCATGCAGGCATGCAGTGTCTTGAGTGTACTCTGTGGGGCTACTGCTTGTTTTGTTGCCAGAGCGTGATGCCTGTGATGCTTTGAGAACCATCAAATAAACTGCTGAGCAAATCGCTGAGCAAATCGTGCGGAGATTGTTGAGCCATTCGCTCTGAGGCAGAGCAATGTTGTTTTGTCAGCATGCAGGCATGCGGTGTCTTGAGTGTACTCTGTGGGGCTACTGCTTGTTTTGTTGCCAGAGCGTGATGCCTGTGATGCTTTGAGAACCATCAAATAAACTGCTGAGCAAATCGTGCGGAGATTGTTGAGCCATTCGCTCTGAGGCAGAGCAATGTTGTTTTGTCAGCATGCAGGCATGCGGTGTCTTGAGCGTACTCTGTGGGGCTACTGCTTGTTTTGTTGCCAGAGCGTGATGCCTGTGATGCTTTGAGAACCATCAAATAAACTGCTGAGCAAATCGTGCGGAGATTGTTGAGCCATTCGCTCTGAGGCAGAGCAATGTTGTTTTGTCAGCATGCAGGCATGCAGTGTCTTGAGTGTACTCTGTGGGGCTACTGCTTGTTTTGTTGCCAGAGCGTGATGCCTGTGATGCTTTGAGAACCATCAAATAAACTGCTGAGCAAATCGTGCGGAGATTGTTGAGCCATTCGCTCTGAGGCAGAGCAATGTTGTTTTGTCAGCATGCAGGCATGCAGTGTCTTGAGTGTACTCTGTGGGGCTACTGCTTGTTTTGTTGCCAGAGCGTGATGCCTGTGATGCTTTGAGAACCATCAAATAAACTGCTGAGCAAATCGTGCGGAGATTGTTGAGCCATTCGCTCTCAGGCGGAGCAATGTTGTTTTTGTCAGCACGCAGTGTTTTCAGTGCGAGATTTGCATGTCAGGACACAGCTTTGCGCGCGTCTGTGCGAAAGGAGCGTCGGCGCGACCGTACCTTGAAGGTCATGAGGCGCGGAAGAACTTGAACTTGTGGCAAGCTGAAACTCAAGAACCTGAAGCTACACTTAGCTACACTACTGTAACCTCAAAAAACACCAGTTTACCACAGAAACTAGTGTGTCAGAGTTTTAGTATAGGGCAAATGGATATACTTGACTATACATGAATTACTTTGGAAAGATGAGAAACGGGGTTGTGGGACATGAGAATGCAGCTCAACCCGCACATCTTGGAGTCTTGAGGGCCAAAAATTGTGCGACATTGCATGAGAAAGAACTGCATCTCTACATTCAGAACAGCACGCAGTACTACAATGAGGTAATATGGACACATTGTGGGCAAAATTCCCCGAGGGTAAGATTTCAGGGTAGGAGAGTCAACTTTGACCAATGAAGGTCCAGCTTTTCTTAGTCGTGTTGACGGGTTGCTGGACTCTTTGGAAGACTTGGAAATATGTATGTGTTTGTATGTATTTGTGATATCTGACAAACATTGAAAAACCCTCTCCATACAGTGCCATAAAACACTCCCCTTCCGTGCCAGGGGTAGCGACCCACTCGGAGACGAGCAAACTTTTGCAGATCTGCAAAAGCAGCATCCTGGCAAGACATGGACGAGACATGGACGAGACATGGCGGACATGGCACTGTGTAGCCTGTGCTTTGGACACACTGAGCTGTGTAGCACTGTAGCACTGTATAGCCATGTGAATGTCGCCGAAGTTGCCCAAGAATTGCAGTCAGAATTCAGGTACGGCATTCGGCAGCGCACTGCTAACCCGGCAGAGGCTGGGGCAAGGGTCTGGTTGTCTTCGTTCTCTTGTTGTCATGGTCTTGCAAACTGTTGGCATTTCTCAGCTCGCCTGGTCTCTTGAAGCCTCTTGCCAGCAGGAAACGTCCCTGAACTGTAGATGTAGAAGCTGGAAACACGACAAGATCCTCGATGTTTGTGGAGAGATGATGAGAAACTGAGGATCCTACAGTCTCAATGCCTGGATTTTTGAAGGCTAGCATAGGTAAAGAACATTAAAGAACATTGACATAAGGGGGTAGAGGACCGAAGAGACTAAAGAATCAATAGGAATCAGATCCATGATCCAAGTCTTCCATGAGAATCGCTATGCACTGCCTTTCTTGTAGAGCTTTGTCTTGTGAGGTGCAAAGCTCTTGTTGCCTTCGGGATGTCTGCAACCAGAACCTTGTAACAAATCGAACGGATTCCGAACGGATGCATTTCTATGTGATATGATACAGATATATACAGATATGATACAGCTTTGCCGTGCTTTCAGTTTTCTTCTCATGGCAAAGCTTGCGCTGCAACAGCAGCAGCCTTGCACAAGTGGATATCCAGAATTTCCACTTTCGATGTGAATAAAACTTACTTTGGCTAAGAAACAGATGTGCTATGAGCTGTCACAATGGCAACGGCTAAGCCTAAGCATCCAGCGGTCGTGTTGAGATTGTGACATTTCCTTTAAGGATTGTGGCCCACAAGCGCTTCGAAATGGGCTGTGGAATACTTGTAATTCTTTGTGCTCTCAGTATCGGACCCTTGGACCAATGGGACGAAAACGACAGCGGGTGGGGGTTCTTGACTGTTCTTGACTGTTCTTGTATGTTCTTGTAGTATTTTAGAATTTTTAGACTGCCAGAGTATCGCACAAACATCACTATCGACCAGGAGTCGAATCCGACTATACCATCCAGCATGCTTTGGAACCGCAACACCCAATTTTTCGTGACCTGGTTTGAACATGTTTGAAACAGTCCGTCGTTGTCCTCGTTGTCCACCCATTGTGGGTGTACTTTTTAGCGTGCATGGTAGCTTTTTGAAGAGAGGTTTGTTTCCATGTTTACTTAGCCTAGTTCTTGCAGTCGAACCGCCAGAGCGGGCATTCAAGCACACGCGGTTTGAGTCGTTTCAAATTGCAGTGGCAAACTCAACCCTGGCGAGGTGCTTTGGATTTAACATTCAATCTCTTCTTTGCATTGGAGCTCGCTGTGCGCTGGATTTCTGAGGCAATGCCCGCACACAATTCCGCAACCTCTTTTGTCTCCATTGTTATTTCCATGACATCCTTCAATCTCATCCTGCCACACATAGTATCATATCATCGAGTGTAGGCTGTCGAGCAGCTCTTTTCAAGTATATGAGGTCAGAGCTTCTGTGGGTCGATATGCGTGTGACTCCAAACCTGCATATATGTTGCATATATGCTGCCAGGGCTTTCTGCACTTCCTCTCATGTGACAACTCCGCGTTCAAATGGCTCCTTGGTGACAATTTGGAGCTGCAAATTCTGGAGGCTTGAGCTTTCCAGAACATCCGGGTTCCAGAGAACATCCAGCCAGCTTCATAGAAACAGCATTGTTGGATATGGTTGGTGCAGTTGGATACAGATTTTCATAGGACAAAACCACTTGGTAAGGGTGCAGCTTATTTTTCCCAGAACATCAACGTGCTTCGGCACTTTCTAAATCACCCATTGAAACTGTTCCATACTGTTCCTATTTCACTGTTCCAGTTCCCCGACATTTTTTGGAAACCAACCTCAAGTTGGAGTGATGCCGAAAGACCAGCGCAATATTGGGCAGAATTAAGGAAATGACACAACACAGTCCATGTCACTCCCTCATTTTGCCTCCTCTCACGAGAAATAACGGGAGCAAGTCTTCGTGTGCACAGCTTTGGTCATCCTGGGAAAAACCTGCAGGAATTGGATGGACTTTGGTTTGGTCTCCTCTTCTGTGGTTGAAGAGATCGCTGCTCTGATGGCCGCTGCAAGCTTTCTGGAAGTCTCTGCGTTGAGAATGCTACGAATGAACCTTGCAGCATGGGAAGCACACGATATCATGCAATGCTGATCTTGAATTGTGTTGAGTTATAATGAGTTATATATGATGAATTGGAGGAATGTCGATGATGTACATCGATATATTGTGTTTGAACAATTGATAAGAAACTTTATTGCAAACCGTTTTCGGCAAGGCCGCCTCTATGTTTTCTTGTGAGACATTTTGCCATGAACAATAGCCTCATGACATCAGTGCTGCAATTCAGTGGGCCTACAGGGGTCGCAGTCGCAGTCACAACAAGCGGGGGTTTCCATGTTTCCATGGGGGTTACCCCAATAGCTGGATGATTTACAATTGAAAATCCATGAGAATCATATTTTAATGGATGATAACTGAGGGTGCCCTCATGACTCCTCCAAATATCCCATTGTTAGATTTGCCGGGATTCAACCATCATCATCCATATCATCATCCATGTATCATCCATATCATCATCAAATATCCCATTATTATAATTCCATTTTAATCCCATCCCATGTAAACCAGATGTCCAGATGTCCAGGATGCGTTTGGTTCGGGTGGCTCGCATCATTCGAATGCTGCGCTTCTTCTCTGAACTTCGAGTCATGGTCAACGGTGCCATGGCGCTAAATTTGGAACCCCAATAACATGAAATATAGTGAAGTCGTGAAATAACATATACATACAAACATAGAAACATACAAACATAGAAACATACAAACATATATATATATGCATATATAAATACATACACATATACATATTCATATACATATGCATGTCCATATGCATGTATGTATACATGTACATATACAAATACATATACATATACATACACATATACATATACGTATACATATACGTACATACATACGTACGTACGTAAGTACATACGTACATACGTACATACATACGTACATACATACGTACATACATACGTACATACATACGTACGTACATACGTACATGCATAGTACATACATACGTAAATACGTACGTACATACATTCAGTACATACATACATATATACGTACATACATACATACATACATGCATGCATGCATGCATACATACATGCATCCATGCACCCATGCATCCATGCATACATGCATACATACATACATACATAACACACGACATACACATATAATATGCCAAGAAAGAAGTGTTTCCTTGAACGACAAAACAGTACCGAGGCTATAGGACACAGCATTAATTAGCTTTGCACACACACATATATATATGTATACATATATTTTGGCCTTGTTTTGACTTGCAAGGCTCATACCGTTGAATACCTCATTTCGACTTGACTTGCTCCGACATTTCGTGTCCTGTCGTTTTGTAGGTTTTGAGCTTCGCAGCACTGAAAGATTTGATGTTGAAGGATGAATGAGGATGTATTATGATTCATTTTCTTTCGCCTCAATCAAGATATGATCGAAACTTCTGCTGTGAGCTCATGACTTTTCCAGCAGCTCCAAATTTGCCAAGGAATCATGGGATCAGCAAAGCCTTTGCTTTGGGCCTTCGTCTTCCTCCTGATTTTGATGTTTATGGTTGCTCGACAGCTGCCCATTGCAGCGTGCTTTTTTCCATGGCTTGTCCTTCCGAATCCTTCCTGGAAAAGTTCCACATCTCATGATGATCATGATGGGTCCAAGAACATCTAGGAACCAAGCAATTTGATGTGGCCACGACGTGCCATGTCCGGTTTGAAGATCCAAGTTGAGGTATTTGTCAGAAGCTTGAACATGCTTGAACATGCTTGAAGCACAGGGGAGCGGCTGAGCGGATGGCACCGGTAACTTTTGTGGATGCTGATCCTGGGGCTGAGATCTATAATGAAGGCTTTTTTCTACATCCTTTCCGAACAGGACTACGCAATTTACATTGAAAGGTCTTGCCAAGGGTTTCACATAGAGTCTTGAAGGTTTTCAGCACTGGCCTGAAATTTCACAATGCGTCATTTCTATCTGAACGCAGACCAAGAATGAGCAAACCCCAGGAAGCTTGGGTGAGTGTGCGCTTGTGGCGATGGTAAAGCATTGTAAAGCATCTTGAGAGCCTCCCTCAAAAAGATGTCACAGCACCGGTGGGTTATTTCAGGTCGGTGTTGTACCATGTTGTAACACGTTGTAACATGTTGTAACATCACAAAAGATCGTATTTTCGAACTGTGCTATGTTGTCTGCGGACACCCACCTCAGGTTGGGGTCACTTTCATGCAGTTGGCAGCCAATTACATGTCGCAGGCTCGAGGGGAAATGTGTTGCTGCCCCTGCGGTTGACCATTGCAAGTTGCACAGATCCTCAGTGTGTACACACGTGCAAAAGTACTGCAAGCTGAGAATAGATTTAGGAAGCTGGATGTCCATCACACATCAATACCAGGACAACATAGCTGCGGATGATGCGCTATTGCTGTATTGGGGCACGTTGGCTCGCACCATGAATCTCAGCTTGAATTGTTGATTTCACTTCTGATACTTCTGCTTGCAATGTGATGTCAGGAATGGAAGCATTCCAATCAAAGTGGTCCACAAGCTGAAAGCATTTAGAAAGTTGTGGTGAAGGTGTCCAGAACCAAAGCCAAGTTCTTCCGAATGTCGCCCAAATCCAAAACCCAGTAAAAGTCAGTGAACCAATGGATTGTTGCTACATGCCCAGCTTTTGCCGACGAAAATTTAGAAACAACAAAAGCCCGTACAAGTGCAAAATTCTAAAGACTCGCCAAGACGGAATGTCAAAATATGGAGTTCCAATGGGTTTCAAACAAACCTGCTCAAGCTCTTTTTGCTCCAGAGCAGGTGGAGAAGTGCAGCCTTGCCCTGGAGGAAATGCTCTGTCGCAAGTTGATAATGACTGAAAATGGATGGGTAAAATGGACGATGCCTCCCGAGAGAACAGAGCCTAAGGCAACACTGGCCCTATGAAATTTGCTCTTTCTGAAGAAGCCTCCTGCTGTTTGTCTGACATCTGGATTGGATAGAATGGGTCTCAAAAGTTCTTGAAATGACAAGGTTGAAAATGTAGAAGCCGCCCCACTGCCAGTGCATTTTTTTAGGTTCGAAATGGCGGACAACCAATTCAATAGATTGCACCGTGAACGGGTGGGCGCCCGTGACTGTGGCACCTGAAGTTGCAGCTTCCCTGCGCTGTGATGCTGGTGCACCAAGCACGCATCCTAATGGGACGCAGGTCTGTGGATTTTCACACTGCACACAAGGTAACACAAGTATAAGTATATAATGATTTTCTACCAAACCAACGGTTAAGCTGAAGAGTTATGCAACCAAGGGGATTTCGCAGCATTTGAGGCAGCCGGGCCCTGACGAACATGCAGCTGACCGAGATGGAAGCGCAGGCTGACGGAAGACATCATGGAGCTGCTGGATGAACTGATGGCAGCCCAGAACGTGGTCAGACTGAAAGAGCAGAGTGACAGGCGAGCTGGCAGTGCGATGGTGCCCCAGAAGGAAGCCATGCTCGAAGAGGTTATGCAGAAGCGAAGAGAGCTGACGTTCTTGAAGCGCTCCTGATCTCACAAAATCACCCAGTGGCTGGGCATCTTGCACTACATCCCGGGCATCCAGCACAGCCGACCTTCAAAGGCCGGTTGTATCTGTCAGCAGAGTCTCGATCTTCCCATCAGAAATTCGAATGTTCTGACGGCCATCGTCGGTCACATCCTGAGCGATATCAGCCTATCGCTTTTCGAAGGTCTCAATGACTTGCGGCACGTGGATCTGGTAACATCCTGGATACACCTGAGATTTGCCGCTTTTTTGGAAATCTGCTGCGCCCGTAAGGGCACCTCTTAGAGGGCCGAGAGCAAGCTCTGGCTTCAAGGAGGCATCCACTACCTAAGCAACCAGATCAAACACAATAGTGACCCCTGTAGAACAAGGCTGGGAAATGCTCTCGCAGAAAGCCACAACCCTCTCACGCACGCAGAGGCGTCTAGATGTCGCTGGACGTCCATCCGAGGTCCAGCAACATCGAAGCGCCTTTCGCCTGAAAGCTTTTACACAAAATGCATGAAATCGCGAAGAAACTACATCAGGCATCAGAGCATCTGGTGCTGCTGTCGGCGCTCCTTCTGGCCACTCCATCACTGGCTTCCCGGCGTGCTGACCTGGCTCAGGTGGTGTCATTGACAACGCTAGACCCAGGTGTAGATTCCTCAAGAACTCCAGAGCGTAGATTTCCTGAGCCAGGGCCTGGATTTCCGGAGTAATTCCTCCAGAGTAATTCCACCAACGTGTTTCCAAAATGTATTAGCTAGCTCTCAGCTCTGCCGCCCCTCTCGGCTCTGCTCGTCTAGTGCCTCCGTGGATGGAGGGGCCAGACTTCACCAGTATTAAGCGGCAACATGAAGCGTGGCGTGGTCTTCAAGATGCAGGAGCCGCGCGTGCGACCCATTTTCCAAAACATGCTGCAGGAGATCAACTGCGCATGTGAAGTCCAAAATGACAGACACCCTTAGAAGCCATCCATGTGATCGAAATGGTCAACGGGAAGGCAAGAAGAGGTTGAGACAATACAGCAAGGGCTCCAACCAGCGGCCTTCGAGGCTTCTTTCCCGTGCAACCGGTGCAGATGGCCAATCTCATCGAGACCTGTGCGCACAGAGCGCTGCGACAGCGCTGTGCTGAGGGGTGGTAGTAGCAAGGAACTCCACCGCGTGCAGCGCTTGGACATAGTCATGTCCGTACTGAAGGAGACCATGGAGCCGAGCCTGGAAGAGTTGAAAGCAGGCCAGCTGATATGAGACGGCAGCAAAGGCGGATGATGCGGTAAGAATCTGAAGCAGAAGAGGAGCCTGCAGGACTCTGAATGACGTTTCGCAGATGATGCGGCAAGTAATTCAATGTCAACCGAGTTATGAAATTCACATAATTCACTGCATGTGAACTGAAACTCGCCTATAGCCAACGTCCGGTTGGCCGAAATATCGGCAGAAAGGAGTTTCTTGTGCATGCCGAGTCAGCACAGTGGCCACAGAAGGTGATTTTTTTAATCCCCCTTGTGAAATCAAACAGATTATCCCCCAACCTGATTTCAGTGATCGCTACATGCAGGGAACGGCATGGCACCAAAAGATCTTTAATGACGCTTCGAGCGACAAGGCGGCAAAGAAGCTATCTCGTGCTGATCTTCAGCTGCTCATCACGGCCAAAGAGAAGGAAGCAGCTGAGGCAGGAGAGGCGCAGCCCACAGGCGCCAGCTGTGGCTGTTCTAGGACTCTTGGGTCAACAGTCAAAAGCTGCTTTAGACGTTTGTTGGAGTTGCTCACTTCCATTTCCTCCGCAGTGCAACATCATCATCGTTCCCTCCTCTTTCTTACGCAAGCACACATAGTCCTATGTCACTTGCTTGTGACAGGATGATGACGCCCACCTTCGAAAAGGCAGCAGTGAGCTAGGGAATCGTATGCGCCATTGCATTGGCTTGGCGCCAGGGTTGTGGCAGAGAGCAGCTAAAGCCAAGCCATTTACAGGGTGATGGCGGCAACAAGACTAGCGTTGTCAATACACTCTGACAGACAGGAAAAAGTTAGTTGGGGAACGCCTGCGGCGAGTCTGACTGCAACAACGGAACTGTTGTCTATTTATTGCATTTTAGAGTTTAGGGGAAGCGTGCATGTCTTTGGCTTTTCACAAGAATTCTTCCTTCTTGTCTTTTTTCATCGGCCTTCCGCCTACTCGATATCCACTGACAAGCACTGACTGCGTGAGATGTTTTCCAAGTGTCGATTTTTCATGTGTCTGAGCGAACTGGGGGGTTTTCCTTTCAGTGCGTGGTTGGAATTGAAAGAATTTTCCTTTGATCCGGGGGCTCCAAATGATCCGGGGGCTCTATATTCTCCATGGATGTCAGAGTTGCGGCTTGGATCAGGATTCATCCCAGAAGACTCATAAGACTCCCTTTGGATCTGTGATGATCTGATTCTGATGCTCAAATTTGGACTTGGGTTCCATGATGTGGCTCAAAGGGTTTCTCGAGAGCGCATGCAAGCCGTACATTGGGCCAAATACCAATCCCCCACTGGAATAGTTTAAAGAGAATTGAATTGCCCTTGTGTGGGTTGGGTCTCGGTTGCAAAGCTGCAGGGTGCCGCTGCAAAGTGCGCTGGAGCCGCTGCAAGGTGCTGCTTTGTGTGGTTTGCAGCTTGCTTGCTGCTGCCACTGGGAGGTGCAGCTGCAAGGTACTGCTGCATGGTGGTGGCGTCAAAGTGCAGTGTGAGCTTTGGAGTGTGGGTGCATGTCCCACTGCACGCTTGTGTGACTGCAGTGTGCGCTTTGGAGGTTGTGGGTGCTGCTGGCAGAGTGTGAAGCTTGGCCGCTGCAGGTGCTGCTGCAGGGTGCTGCTGTCAGTGTGCGGGCGTGCCGCTGCTGGGTGCTGCTTAGGCGCGCATGCTGTCATGTGCTATTTGGGTGGTGGTTGGTGTGGCGCTTGTGCTGGTGCCGCTGCAAACTGCCATGGCAGGGTGTTGCTGTCAGGAATGTTTGGTCACTGCCTGGAGAATGCATTATGTCATCGGAGTCTGCCTTTTACAGGTGACTTAAAGTTCTTGACAGGAAAGAGGTTGGACAGCTCTGATAAAATCTAACAACCCTCACCTGGCAGGTGGGGAATTATAAAGCATCATTTTTGTCATCGGCACGCGCTGAATGAATCTTCCCTCACTGAACGCACGCCAGGAGCAGCGGCTGACGTGCCGAACGATGACCCTGGTGCTCCCAAGCCGAACTCTGTCGCTGGACCAGATGCTGCTGAAGAAGGTGAAGGCCAAGAAGAGGCAGAAGAAGAATGTGCAGAAGAAGATGTTCCGATCGACGCTGAGCAAGAAGACATGGCCACTGTTGAAAAGGAAGAGGCCCAAGATGTGGACTAGGCCGATCGACGCTGAGCAAGAAGACATGACCACTGTTGAAAAGGAAGAGGCCCAAGATGTGGACTAGGCCTTGTCTCACGCGCAACAACGGGTGAGACTTGTGGAAAAAAGTGCCTTTCTGGCTGCACTGATGTGGTGTTTGCTGCAAGCAAGCAGCTTGTGGTATTATGACTATTTTATGTTTTTGTTACTAATTGTTACTAATGAATATTTTATGTTTTTGTTTCTAACGTATGACCTTGGTTACTGTAGCTACACCCTCTCGCAGTCTTGTAATAAATCATGGGCCAAGAGATGGTCTTAGAAAGCGAAAAAATTGAGCGTGAGAAGGAGTCTGGAACTAATAGCAGCGCGTTGAAGGAAAAGGCAGGTAGACATGTAACAACCCCCCGCACCCCCCTCAAGAAGGCCTAATTGCTGTGAATCACCTCGGGGGTGATGGCTGGCGGTAGGCACGTTTTTGTGATCACAAATTTAAAGTATAAAGTAGGCAAGGTTCTGAGCTTTCTGTGACCAAAACTATGTAACTATGTTCAAAGCATGGAGGAGCCTGGCTCACTTGGTGCTGTGACACGGCATTGTGGCTAAGCCAAGCTAGGGGGAAGGTAAGTGAAGATCATGGTAGTAGGCTCCTTAAGGGGTCCAGTGACCAAAACTATGTTCAAAGCATCGAGGAGCTTGGCTCACTTGGTGCTGTGGCACGGCATTGTGGCTAAGCCAAGCTAGGGGGAAGGTAAGTGAAGATCATGGTAGTAGGCTCCTTATAAGGTCCAGAGCCCCCGGATCATTTGGAGCCCCCGGATCAAAGGAAAATTCTTTATTGGTTTCATCATTTTTGGAAACGCTTTGGTTGTGTAGGTGCAACTATACTTTTGTGGGACCAGCTGCCAAGTTTTGCCCAGTGTTTTGATGAAGCGTTTTGGCGTTTTTGCGTGCGAAGTTTTGGATGCAGATTTGCCTTGACAGACACGGCAAAGTTGTGTACATGCTGGCTCAAGCAAATTTGGCAATGGTCTGACGAGTTCTAACAGTATTGTTGCTGAGAAGCAGTTGTTCACATGTAGGCGTGTAACGGATCAGGAGCATTAGTGACCTGACTTCCTGGAAATAGAAGTTTGGACACCCTCTCAACTCCATTCAGCAGGTGCATCTTTGTAGCTTTTCCTGTGGAGCCATGGGGCAGAAACGTTTGACAACTCAAAGGAAACGGTCTGCCTGCGGGCAATTGAGAACTTTGGCCCTGGAGTTGGGTGTTGAAGAAGGCAATGCTCGTCTTGACATGACAATTCAGCAGTTTGATTCCTTGGCAAATGATTTGGAAATGCGCTGCACCACACCACAGCAGCGTGGGAAGTTGCGGCAAGTTGAGCTCACTTTCACAATCGCCCTGCAGTGCCCCCTTTACCTGGCTCAGTACCGGCGGCTGCTCCACGCGAACCAGAAGACAGAGAAGCGGCAGCGGCTGGACGGCAGTTCCGGCTGCGGTCCCAAGGCTGTTTGTTCACTTACAATTCAAGCGACTTTGGGGAGCACATGTGGGCAGACTTCCTAGCTTGGACTGGAACATTGGAGTTTCTGAGGCGCTGGAGTGCGACAATGGAGCAGTCTCTCAAGTCTGAAGAGCCTGGCAGGGTCCATTTGCATGTAGGCACTTGCACAAACAACAAACAGGCGAACTGAACCGAAAGCAGAAACAGTTTTTTTGGCAAGTGTTCAGCATCCGCGCAGCAGAAAATACAATGCAAACGGGTGCCCGATACAAAACGCCATAGCAGGATTCAATCGTGTCATTTTTTGCGGGCCATCCTACCCCACAGTTTTGACAACATCTTTGCTGAGTTTCGCTGAGCTGCCATTGCCTAGCTTTTGCTGATTCCACCTAGCCTCTCGCCTTGCCCTCTTTAAATCAGTTGCCGCTACCTGACCTGTGCTAGCACGCAAGAAACGGCTGGCACATGGTGCAAGTTTTGCTGGTTGTTTTCCTGTCTCTTCTTAAGTTTAATAAGACTAATATGAGTGGGGACTTGGCCCTCCGAGAACATGCGTTGCCATCAAAACTTAGGACAGCCACTTCTGAACGTATCCAGAAGCCGTAGCTACTTCAGGTCTTGTGTTTGTCATGCAGCGTTTTGGACAGAGCAAAAGAATGGCCCCAAGAACAGTGCAGTGCACGATCCAAGGATGACGCTTTACATGGCAATTTCTGGTGGTATCGATTGGAAGGATTGTGTGCAGCCACTGCATGTGGTAAGTTCTGTTATGGAGTACATGTACCTTGGCCAAAGAATGGAGCTCGAACTCTCTTGCAGAGGTGATGTGATGGAGCTTAGGGATGCTGAGAGATGCTGTGGAATTCGTTCCAGCTCTTGACATGTGGTCTGCGGGTCCACCTGAAAAGGAAAATTGAAAAGACACAGTACATGTGGCAGATGGACCGTCGCAATGGGTGCGCTGGTTCTGGGCCAAGCAGCCTGATGCCACCTAAGGTTTGCAACATACGTATTCTTCACGCTGTTCTGCTGCCTCAACATTGCATCTTGGTGATAGTACTGTACGCTTCACGAAGGATAATGTTTCAGAATGTTTCAGGTTGTCAGTTTCCACAGGGGTTGCTAGGAGTTCCCGGGCCAAATCTCCTTCCCCACATTTCCCCGCCACCGCTTTCTCCTTGAAAACGATTTGCAGTTTCAGAGAAAGATGCCGTGTAACTGTAAACGGTTCGACTGTTGGTCTATCCATCATATCTCCTCTCTTGATTGATTTCATTGAGTCCGTGCATAGGTGAGGCTGCATTGGGTGATAATTGTTTCAGCTCACCGAGTCGTTATTATTGCACAACACCATAGTTGGATGCCAGGGTCGAGGAAAATAGGACTGCTGTCAAGAATTGGTAGTCTCTTGCAATAGTCTGGCAATCCAATCTTCTGGATCATTTGTCCACGCTACCAGCACTAGCCCCAGTGCTAGCGACCACCGCTTCGATCACCACTATGATTACCGCTACGGCAAACACGACAAGGATGACGAGGACGACGACTGTTCCTACGTAGTACCAGTGTAGCCTTACGTACTTGCCTGCTTATCTACAAGCTTTTGTCTTTATTCACTTATTTACATATTTACCTACGTGCCTACGCAGCTATATGGACCCAAGGGCCTACTGATTAGTGACCTTGTGACATTCTGACCTGCTTACCTTTTTACCATCCCCTTAGGAATTTCCTCTATAAAATTGGGGGGATATCCACCCGATAAAAGCATTTTTTTATACACTTTTTTAGGGCTCGGATGTACCACCCAATTTTATAGCTTCTTTTTTGGGGTCAGAACTGGACTTTATAGTGATGTTCACCTGCCGGGTGACAGCCACGTGCAACGTCGTAGGTTCCGATTCTTTAAAGACCACATACTCTGGAAAGCCGCGATTTTCCAACGTCATGGGTTCCAATTTTATAGTGGCTGAGGCTGTTATCACCCGAAAAAACACACATCACCATACCACACCATACCATACCCTATACCTATCTCATCAAAATCCAACCTATACAATTGGGAGTCGCTCTAAAGGTCCCGGTAAGGGTTTTTAATTGCCAAGGCCGCCGGGTTTCAACATCAGACCCCGCGATTTTTTTCCTGAGTTCGCGAAAGTCTTGTTTTTGGCGAAAGATTTAGCAACAGATTTTAACATGAGACCGCCGCAAAAGATAAACGCGGGGTTCGCGAAAGATTCGCGAAATTACTTTTTTATTCGCGAAGAATGGCCGTTTTAAGAGAAAGGAATTTAGGACACTATAACATGGAGAAAAACACAGAAATGCCACAATTATTGCTACATATTGCTACCACATGCTACAACTTTAACCCCATTTTGCACATCCAAGAGCTTCAAGATACCCGAAATTGAGCCTTTTTACATTTGCTATAGAGGCATAACCTGTATATATCTGGTCTGTGTAAAATATTCCGGAATGTTTTATGTTTTTTTGTCATGTGTTACATAATTTTCCATTTTATAGGTGCATAACCTGTATATATCTAGAATATGTGAAATATTCTGGAATGCTTTTTTCTTTTCCTTTTTTGACATGTTTTACATAATGTCCCATTTTCAAAAAGGCATAACCTATAATATATCTGGAATATGTGGAATATTCTGGTTTGTTTTATGTTTTTTTTGCTATGTTTTACATAATTTTCTAATTTTTGGAGGCATAACCTGTATATATATATATATACATATCTGGAATATCTGGAATACCATGGAATGCTTTATGTTGTTTGTATAAAATGGAAAATTATGTAAGCCATGACAAAAAATACAAACTACATAAAGCATTCCACAGTATTCCACATATTCCACACACACATATATATATATATAGTTATGTAAAACATAACAAAAACATAAAACATAAATCAGCCCAGAATATTCCGCATATTCCAGATATATACAGGCATATAGTGCCGCATGAGGCTGTGGTTTCCCATTCTGTGCTTTTTTTTCCCTTCCAAGAATGTGTTTCCCTGCATGCTGACATCTCCATTTGCAAGATGATGTTCTTCTAAACGGAGATTTCCCAATGATTTTCCGTTGCTATGTCCGGTTTTGCCTCAATAAAATGGGAAATTATGTAAAACATGAAAAAACATAAAACATTCCATAATATTCATTAATATTCCACATATTCCAGATATATACAGGTTATACCTCTATAAAGTGGAAAAATATGAGAAATAGAGCAAAAATAAAAACAGAAAATATTCCAGAAGATTCCGCATATTCCAGAGATATACAGGCTATGCACCTATTAAATAGTAAACATGGAAAATTACGTAAAAATTTACCAACAAATACAAAAACATTATTCTGAAATGTTTTATGTTTGGTGTATTTGTAGTCATGGTTTACATAATTTTCCACTTTATAGAGGTATAACCTGTATATATCTGGAATATGTGGAATATTATGGAATGTTTTATGTTTTTTCAGGTTTTACATAATTCCCATTTTATTGAGGCAAAACCGGACATAGCAACGGAAAATCATTGGCAAATCTCCATTTAGAAGAACATCATCTTGCAAATGGAGATGTCAGCATGCAGGGAAACACATTCTTGGAAGGGAAAAAAAAAGCACAGAATGGGAAACCACAGCCTCATGCGGCACTATATGCCTGTATATATCTGGAATTTTCTGGAATGTTTTATTTTTTTGTTTTTGGTTTTTTGTTTTGCATACCAAAGCGCAGGTGGTGGTCCAGTCCGATCCATGTCTGCCAGTTCATTGCGGGTCGATCCATACGCTTATAGCCCTTAAGAATTATAAATGGAATTGCTGGAATTATATGGAAGGGCCCAGGGCGCTGTAAAATCGGAATCCGCGACGTCAGAAAATCATGGTTTTTAAGGTGTATGTAGTCACTATAAAATTGGAACCCCTGACGTCAAGAAAACCCTAGGAATAAGGTTTGCTAAGGAAATCCAGACATTGGGGTGGTCATAGGCCCCAATTCTATAGTGAGTTTTGGGTAAGTTTAAGGAAAATAAAGATAGGCTCGACGGAAGTAGTTTTTGAAGGGTTTTGGGGCTAAACGAGGGCATCTACAAACTTGATATCTTTCATTTTATAGAGGTAAACCCTCCCCCAGGAGGGTCATGGGTTCCGATTTTATAGAGGACCCTGTTTGGGGGGATGTACCCCTTCGTTTTATCTCTATAAAATTGGGACCCATGATGTTCCGACTTAATTCACAAGTTTTTTTTAAAATCTATTTACCTATTTGCCAACCTAGCCTACCTACCTACCTACCAACCCGCCCTTATCAGCTACTTCTTTCCTGAGTTTCTTTTATGCCTGACTTCCTTTACCTTGCTTTACCTTACTTTACCTCATTGCACGTACTTTATTTTATTTTACTGTACCTTGCTGCACCTTACCTTACCCAACTGCACTTTAGTTTAACTTTTTCCCTACTCATGTGGATACAAAGTTTCTTATTTACTTGCTTGCTTACTTGCTCACCTACTTGCCCACTTACTTGCTCACGTATGACCTTCCTACCTGCCTACTTACTTGCTTACTTACTTTCTTACTTACTTAGTTACTTAGTTCCTTAGTTACTTAGTTCCTTAGCTACTTAGTTTCTTAGTTACTTAGTTAGTTCCTTACTTACTTACTTACTTAGTTAGTTAGTTAGTTAGTTAGTTAGTTAGTTCGGTAGTTAGTTAGCTAGTTAGTTAGTTAGTTAGTTAGTTAGTTAGTTAGTTAGTCACTTACTTACTTACTTACTTACTTACTTACTTACTTACTTACTTACTTACTTACTTACTTACTTCGTTACTTCGTTACTTCGTTACTTCGTTACTTCGTTACTTCGTTACTTCGTTACTTACTTTCTTTCTTACTTACTTACTCACTCACTTACTGTTTTTCTTACTTGCTTACTTTCTTACTTGCTTAATTGCTTACTTATTTACTTGCTTGCTTGCTTACTTACTTTCTTACTTACTTGCTTGCTTGCTTGCTTACTTACTTGCTTGCTTGCTTGCTTACTTGCTTACTTACTTAATTACTTACTTTCTTACTTTCTTACTTACTTTCTTAGTTTCTTACTTACTTGCTTACTTACCTTCTTACTTACTTACTTACTTACTTACTTACTTACTTACCTACTCCTTAACTTTCTTTTGCTGTACTTGAGGTTGCTTTACGTTTTTGGTGATGTTATCCCAACCTAACTTGCTTAACTTGCTTTGCCCGCTTTTCTTCCTTGGCTTTTTAGGTTGCTTAATTTTCTTTGTGTACTTCGCCTACCTAGCTCACTTAACCCACTGGACTCGCTTAACCTATTTAGTTTACTTCGTGTGCTTACCCTACTTAACTTTCTCAACGTATTTGAGTTGGTTGACCATTCACTCAACTCACTTATCTCACTTGGCGGGCTTGAATCACTAACGCGCTTTCTTATTTACTTTACATTTGCATTTTACTTCTACTTTTACTATCACTTTCGCTTTTACCGTTACATCTACTTTACTTTTACTATCACTTTGACTTTTACTTCTGCCTTTACTTTCACTTTCACTTTTACATTTACTTTTACTTTTAGCTTTACTTTCACTTTATTTACTGCCTCCTTGCTTCCTTGCTTCCTTGCTTCCTTGCTTCCTTCCTTGCTTCCTTGCTTGCTTGCTTGCTTGTTTGCTTGGCTTATTTACCTAATTACTTACGAACTTACCTACTTACCTGCTTACCTCCCTTCCTTCCTTCCTTCCTTCCTTCCTTCCTTCCTTCCTTCTTTTTTTCTTCTCTCACTTGTTGCTACTTGTTCTTCTAGCACTACCTCCGCTGCCGAATCCATTTTGCTAAGTACACCCTACTCTGGCTGCACCAATGTCAATGACCTGCCCAAGTGGTTGGCTTGCGCGGAGGTGACCGGTATTTTTGTAGACAACGCAAAGGCTTTGAAGTGACCTGGACTGCAATGGTTCGGGGTTCTTGGGGACGGGTAATCAAGAAAGGTTGGGGACCAAAAACATGCCAAACATACCGTATTGTTTCTGCCAGTTCCTTTTATTATTATTATTTGGTTTGTCACAATTCACAATTTGGTTTGGTTGGCCCCGGACAGTGATTTCATGCAAATATTGAGGCATCGTTTTTGATGTCTTATATTCAGTTTTGCATCAAACATGCACCGTCAAACAATTTGTGGGTTCTGAAGGTTGCATTATTCCCGTCATGTTTCCAGGGACACGTGCCCCAAATTGGAATCGGAATCATAAATTGGTTGTGAGGGTGTTGTGCCATTCTGCGTTCGGGTGTATTCTGTGCCTGATGTGTAAGTCTAGTGCAAAGTAGTCCTGTGTGCGAACAGTCTGGCTCCGCAGTTTTTATATATTCGAATTTCGCCATAGATTGACAGGGAAGTCTCGTGAAGAAACACAACTGTTTGCACAGCGGCTTAAGGGTATCTTGCAGTACATAGGTGTTCTTTTAAACTATTTTAGAGTGTTAGTTAATGTTGTTTGCCTTGCTTCGCGTCTAAGTCCGCAAGCACCCGGCGGCATAGGAAGACAATAGTGTAGAAGAGATAGTTTAGCTGGGAAGGTCCAAAGTGACATCCATGCTATGCATTCTGAGATTCTGGCGTGTATTTCTTCCTTGCTGATACTCTTGAACTTGGACACCTGGAAATGTAAACACATTGGCCACATTGGGATGGCAGTCTTTGCAAGCGGGATACACCGAGCCTAACTCCACAGATTACCAAGGTACAGTCTTTCCGATTATAAATTGTGCCCCCAAAGGACCTTAAAGATACAGTAACTATTCTAGCAAAAAAACGCACCCCTAGCCAAAATCATTTTTTGGATTCATCGTGCCCGCTGTTTAGCACCAACCTTCGGCGCGGGTGGATTGCAAATGCGCATCACCAGGTGAACTTGAACCAAATGCTTGAATCTGAACTTCTGACCAGGTGACCCTGACATGAACTCCCCTGAATTTAGAATTTAGAACTTCCAAATGGAAAACTTGCGGAAACAGTAGTTGCATCGGGAACATCAGGTATTGCTTTTACTGTGCGGGGCAAAACACGTGCAGCGCAAACAATTTCTTTTCGCCGGTCAACGCTTCAAACATCTTCAACTCTAGGCAGCCTAGGCCTTGTTAGTTGAGAGATGTGGTGGGAAACTGAACCTCAAGGCGCACAATATCGCACAAGAATTAATGTTTGGGATGAGGTCAGCAGACGAAGATGCAATGTACCTGGAGGCAGTCACTGAGAGAAAGCGTTGGATTGCTGAAGTGAAGGCGCAGAAATGGCATTTCATCAATTTCATCAAATTTTGCATCGGCCATGTGCAGACTTGTTCTGGTAGACTGAGGGCACTACGTTCTTTGCATATTCCCCAGGTTGTTTCCAGATATAGCAGAAAGAAAGTACATTGAAGTCAAGAAAGTCAGTCAAGTCTTGGCACTGATCGAAGTATAGGCAAGCTCATTTTGGCTTTAACAAAACCGACTACACCGCAGCAGGATCTCTTTATGCGACTTGATTCAAGTGTCAACGGCACATTTACGTTTCTTGACTGCACAGCACAGCAAAGCACAGCTGCCACATTGCGCTAGCTAGACATGACGGATCATCATGGTTGATAGACAGGTTGGAATTCCTTGACAGTCCAGGAATATTGATGCTTGCCATTCCATTCTTGAGGGACAAGCACAGTACAGTACCAAGTCGGGAAGCACAAACGACAAGAGAGCCTTTTTTTCTACATTCGGAGTTGAGTGGATTGGAAGGGGGTTGTATATTCTGCAATTGGGCAATGTATTTTTGTGTTTGCGGATTGGTGGCGAGGTTTGAAGACTTCAAAGTGCAAGTCTCCAGCATCAAAGTGCAGACTCTGTTGCCTGACCTTGACACAGAGAGAGGGGATAAGACTGGATAATACTGCACTGCCTGCACTGCCCGTTTGGCAATGGCAATTTGAGGCAACTTCATATTCAGGTGCAGGTGATGCAGGTATTAAAAGCTTCCGGCTAGACGTTGCAGTGGATTTGTCAAGGAGACCATTCAGGTAAAAAGAATGCAAAATGAACTGCTGACGTCGTGGAAGTTGCATCAAGTTGCATGAGAGTTGCTGAAGTTGTTCGAAACGGAAGTTGGAAGATGTTGAAAGTTGCTGAGGTTTCGCAAGCTGGGCATCAACATCGATAATATCGAAGCTGAGGAGCTCTGGGAGATCCTCGACGCTGACAACAGCGGTGAAATAGATGAGGACTTTTGGATCACCGGAACCCACTGTCTCAGACGTCTCAGAGTTACCCTGTCAGAGTCAGAATTCAAGAGAAAGATGAGAAAGTTAGAGAACGCTTTAATTATTGGACTCCGTTTCTTTGACTCACCCTGTTGAACTAGGTATTTTTCAAAATTTTTCCATTCCCTTTAGGCCTTTAGTAGTGCAGTTGTTTTTGGTCACCTGCAGGAAGAATTTGCCAAAGGCTGGTCTGCAGAGTTGACCCGATATTTCTTGGCCACTGCCAGCCACACTTTCCGTTTCCAAAAAAACATTGGAGACTTTGCTTAAGAGGCTTTAAGCTGTATTCTCCATTTAAAAAAGAGCCTTCATGGCATTCTTTTTCCTCGCATTTTTTTTAAACATATGTGGGGTAGGTTGCAAAAGATGAATGACATCAGAATTACACAGGGTGACTTAATCAGCTGATTCTGAGCCTGTGAAAGCTGTTTGAACATGACATTCTAGCGAACCACATCAGTAGGCATCCAATCCAACATTCGCTGATTTTTTTGAAAGTCTCGCAACAGGTCTTGAACGTCTCTCGAACCCACCTCACTCCATTTCTAATCCTCGAAATGCTTTGTTGCAGGTCTCAAGTACTTCCAGGGCCCTGCGCAAAGCATTCATATTTACCGCCTCATGAAAGAGAGTGCGAAGCTGCATGACAAGGTGACCATCCCTATGTGATCATATGACATGCTGTCATGCCTCGTCGGTAAGGTATTGGTGATTGCAGTGTCATTGTCATTATAGTTCTTATTTCACGTTGAAACCACCCGGATCTGAAATACAACAATCAGCGCTTTCCCTGGCCTGCTTGGTTGGCAGGACTTGACAACGATGATGTTTTTGCATGTTTCTACTATTTGTGTAAGCATGTTTTTGAACATTTTGCTGGGAGGTGCGTTTAGTTTTTCGCGTTTGGTGGGTTTTTCTGAGCATTTTGTAGCTGCCATGGGTGCCATGTCCGGCTGTTCACTGTGCCGTAGTGCCGCAGGTGGAGGATCTCCAGGATGTCATCGCAAAGTGTCTACCGACGAGTCTACCCAGGAGCGCTCCAAGTTTCTGCGGGGCTGTCTACCTGGGTCGACCTATCATCGACCCAACACTTTTTTCATGGCAGCGTTTGCAGATGTCTTTGGAGGACAGAGGCAGATCCAGTCTGAGGATTCTGAGGGCTGAGTATCTCAGCTCTGCCAGACTTTGTCACAGGGATGACGAAAAACACGAGACCTTTGAACATTTATGACATAATCTATGAACATGTTTGAACATCTTTGAACATCTGTCAACTTGGAGCAAAACGCACGGATTTCTTTGCCATGTCTTTCAAGCGCTGAGGTGGGATCCAGCAGATTTTCAACGCGTGCGCCGATCATATTCACCCGAGTGTTAAGCCTAACTGTTAAACTTATCAACATAGCGTAAAGAGCCACAAAGTGGCCAAATTGATACACGCTCCAAGTTCCTTTGAACAGAAGGAATGTGCCTTAAACTCTCTCTGTGGGCTTCGGCTTGCTGTCGATTCTGTCACACGGAAGAAAACTTGTTATGTTGAATCCATGTTGAATCTCACTGCAAAATGCGCAGGTGATGAATTCTATCGAATTTGATTTGCATTTGCCCAAGTGTGCAAGGGTACACGTCCCAGAGAGAGTAGCAGCAACTTTCGGCTACCTGTTGCCACTCCCAAAGGGAGCGGCTTAAAGACGCCGCATGTTCCAAGCATGGTCTAAGCGTCCGATGCTCTGAAAAAAGCCAAGCGCAATGGTTGTGTATTGCGGAGAGTCAAGTTTGTGGCAAGCAAAGTTACATGAATGACGTGTATGACATATTATGAAACATAATGGAGGCAGATTATAGCACACATGAGATCCGTATAAAACGTCTTGTGCGTATATTCAGTGTAGATACAGAAAGGTGAGGTGATGACGATCATGACAAGTTCTTGACGCCAGGGCAACAACTTCGCCCGCTCAGATCCTTGGTTCTCTTCACTCAGGGTTGGGGCTGTGGCCAGTGTCGCGAAACAACGAGCAATTGTTGATTCCTTTGGAGAAAACTTTTGTGCTTAACCATGATTCTTTTCTTGCCTCTTGTTTCTTTGCTTGAGATGTGCATGAGGATTGAGGATCTTTGGATCTTTGCTTGGACGTCCAAAACATGTTGCGATTTTGACAGTTTTGAAATCAATAGATTTGGTCAGCCAGTCAACCTAGTTTGGACGCCCCCTGACTCTGGAATTCACCAGAAACCAACCAAAAAATCCAGATGTCGGAAAGCAGGGGACCCTTGTTGGCCTGCAGGCATCGAAAGACTTGACATTTCACTGGGGAACGAACGGACTTCAAGATGTTGTCAAGATGTTGGCGTTCTATGGTAATCTGCAGTTTGTTGTCTAGAAATGTCTAGAAGATGTAGACTCGTGATGAACTTACGTAAGGAGAGCTCTCCATGCCATCGACTCCGAACTTGAGCCACAACCTTATGACGGGCAGAGGGTGTCTATAGGAAAATGATAACTTTACAACTAGCGAAGCGTGCCTCGCAACATGATTTACAACTTGACCTACAACTAGCATCAACTTGGCATCAACTAGCAATTTCTGGCTTGCACTGTGCACATGGCAGGGGTTTGGAACATTTCGGAGCCATCGAGCTGAGCCGTTGCAGTTGGATGATGCCGTTGCTCTCGTTGCTTTCGAGAATCCTATCAGCTCAAGGTTTGGGACGCAGCGCCTGCGGAGGATTCGGGACCATCTTTGCGGCAGCCAGGCGGCCGAACATGGCCGAACGCTGCTTGGAACGCTGCTTGGGTCGTTTCGTTTCTAGTTTATCTAGTTTCAATATTTTCAATGCTTGTCGTATCTTGTCATCTACGCACGGAAAAGCTTGTGACATCTTGTTACCGATGACCTTTCTGTGTCCAGTGGGATTGGCGAATTTCAAAGTGGCACATATTCGACATAGCGCCAGGACTGCTTGCATTCAATGACTGGCTGGGGTCTTGGATACACCAGGGGCAAGAGCAATAGCGAGAGAAATGCCGTCGTCCTGCTACATGGATATGGAAGCGACATGGACTAGAAGTTTGTTCTTTGAAGAATCAAGAGTTTGCGAACTCAATCAGTTCAACGAGGCAGGATGACTTGCGAACCTTTGCGTTGATGTGGATTAATATGTATTTCTTGTGCTTTATTGACTAGATTGACTGTATTAAACTAATTTAAACATAGAAAAACTATAAAGATTGTGACTAAATGATTTTGTGTCGCCATAATTCTGGTACCGATATCGATGAGTCGATGATATGGGCATATGATGGGCCTATGGGCCTATGGGCCTATGACAATTTGATGTCTCGAGATGTCTCGGTATGTCTCGAGGCCCAAGAGATGCCGCGAGCTTCATGTCCTCCTCTGCATGGCGAGGAGCGTTTGGGTCACCTGGGTCAGCTCAGTCTCTCTCTCGGTTCCCGAACGGTCCCAAGGTTCGTGGTATCATTCCATGTCCATTCCATGTCCCTTCCATGTTCTCCAGGAAACTTCAGGAAACTGAGTCGCAGGAACATCAAATGGAGCACAGGAAATCGAAGCATGCGGCAACAAATATAATGGTTTGAAGTAGCAAGAGGACACACAGAGAACTTAGAAGACTTTAGTAGTAGAATTTGACAAGTACATATCCTGCCAAACAGTAGATGTTGAGGATACTGACCACATTTTTCAGCACAAGATATTTCCAGCAATGTGCAGCATGCAGCAAGTCAAAGTGCGAGCTCAGCTGCTACGGAAGGTTCTAACGGAAGGTTCTAAGACGGAAGGTTCCAACGGAAGGTTCTAACGGAAGGTTCTAACGGACCATAAGGTTCCGGAAGGTTCCGGAAGCTTGAGTCATTGAGGGGGTTGTCCGTTCCAATCCATTGCAATCCATGGCAATCCTTTGCACAGGAGCTGCGATAGTCTTGGTGCGTCAGATGCTACTGGAAGAGGTTGCCACTAAGGATTTGCGAGGTGCTGAGACATGGGCTGCTGAAATGACACGCCCAAAGACATTGTATCATATATATATATTGTATGTAAAAGTTGATAAAAGGTACTAATATCCGTACATGAACATGCATGATCTATGTATGTAGACGGCCCATTTCATTCCAGTGTCTCTCTGGGTCCGCTTCGCTTCATGAGCTGCAATGCATTAGACTGATGCAGAGTGTAGCGAGTGTAGCGCCAAGGCGACATTTTCTCCTGCAGTTGCAGTATTTGGGATTTGCCAGTCGCACCAAAATTTGGCGCAAGTCTCTCGAACATCGAGCCGTTTTGTGCTCAGTGCAGAGAGCTGTAATGATGCTTCTATCATATTCTATCGATGTATATATATATATGTATATATTATATGTATGTATGTAACATGTATACATGGATACTGGGCTTTAGTCTGAACGGGTTGGTGCACTGCTGATGCACTTGATGTCATTGCAACAAATGCAATATGAACTCACTGAATTCACCGAGCGAGGCATATCACGGAGAAAGATCAGAGTTTCAGCTTGTTCAGTTCGGCGAAGTAAGTCGCGAGGTCATGGAAATTGCCAGTGAAGGAAGCAGCGGCGGTTGGAATCCCAGCATCCAAAATTCACACATCTGGAGAGAGTGCAGAGAGTGAAAGAACATGAATAGATTAAATGAATATAATTAATTAGAGAGTTTCCACCTGTCGTTTTTTTCTGATATAGTTTGATAAAGTCTCGATTGATCAGGTCGTCACCGAGTGATTCAGTCGAACCTAGCGCCATTGCTCTCAGCCGGGATCTCCAAGTTTTGCACGAGGCACACACACACACACACCCACACACCCACACACCCACACACGCACACACGCACACACGCACACACGCACACACGCACACACGCACACACGCACACACGCACACACGCACACACGCACACACGCACACACAGGCCCACACAGGCCCACACAGGCACACACCGGCACACACCGGCACACACCGGCACACACCGGCACACACCGGCACACACCGGCACACACCGGCACACACCGGCACACACCGGCACACACGGCACACCGGCACACACCGGCACCACCGGCACACACACACGGCACACACCGGCACACACCGGCACACACCGGCACACACCGGCACACACCGGCACACACCGGCACACACCGGCACACACCGGCACACACAGGCACACACAGGCACACACAGGCACACACAGGCACACACAGGCACACACAGGCACACACCGGCACACACCGGCACACACCGGCACACACCGGCACACACCGGCACACACCGGCACACACCGGCACACACCGGCACACACCGGCACACACCGCACACACGGCACACACGGCACACACGGCACACAAACACACACAAACACACACAAGGCACACACGGCACACACGGCACACACGGCACACACGGCACACACGGCACACACGGCACACACGGCACACACGGCACACACGGCACACACGGCACACACGGCACACACGGCACACACGGCACACACACACGGCACACACACACACACACAAACACACACACAGACACAGACACACACACAGACACAGACACAGACACACACACACACAGACACAGACACAGACACAGACACAGACACAGACACAGACACACACACAGACACAGACACACACACACACACGGTTTGACTGATACAGCGATGTGATTTTCATTACTTTTCCGTCTATTTGCAACATTGCAGGTAGCATGGTGTAAAATTTCCAGCTTTGTGTGTAATCCTACACATGTTATTTAAATTGCCTTTCAAGGATTCTGAAATGAGCTGAAGTCAGCGCTGCGGTCTTCGCTTGAGATCTTCCTATAAAAGTGCTGTGCTGCCAAATGCTTCAGCGGCTTCAGCAGCCGCAACGTGTTGGACGTGTTGGGTGTGTTGGATTGGAATGTATTCAGAGGCCCATGGAGCACTTTTTCAACGCTCCTGAGACAAACTGAGACCGGGTGGACCGATTAAGCAAGGAATCCAAACCTATTCTTTTTGTGTTTGGCTTGATATTTTTGTGTTCTGCTTCTGGTATGATTCTGGTTGATATGGCATTGAGATGCATTCAGTTGAGGTCCCTTTGGGCCCGACCAATCGGAAGAAGCTGGAGCGTACACTCCAGGACGGGTCATTCGGAGTCTGTCTTGGAGACGTGTGGAACATTGTTACTGTTACTGACTTCATAGTTTTGGCAAGAAACACATCGACACTAAATTGCACAGCAGGATTCTACATTCTGTTGTACCCGTGCAGGAAATGGCGCAGGGATTCTCTTTGGGCCTGGTTTCTAGCTTGGGTTTTTCAAGGAGGAGGGTTGGAATGGACGAGTCAAGCTACTCTTGTGGAGGATCCTTCGTTGTTTTAGACCACTGTACATTGATTCACAGTGATTCATCATTGTACATCCTCCTTTTATCATGGAGCAGGTCCAGTCCATCTAGCAAACCTTGGTTCCTTGGGTTCCATGCGGACACCAAAAGACAGCATGCAGACTACATCTCTTTGGAGACCGTCAACACTTCTTGAGATACATCCAACGGCAGACAAGAGATGCACTGAAGAAACACAAAAACAACATAACAACTTCATAACAACAGTTCAAGTTTGATGTGGATAACAGTAAGAGTCAACTCGCACACGACTTGGTAACCTGCATGTCCAAGAGCCTTTCAATCAGATCGGATCTCTTTATCGCCTGAGCAGGTCATTTATCTATGCAACCTGATCGTGGCAAGACTTTTGCGCACCAGGCACCCACAAGTTTTGTGCCGTGTTTTTTTTGTGGGCACCTACATGTATCATGACTGCAAGCAAGATTATTTTGCAAGTGCCTTCCAGCATGAGTTGACTGCAGGCTGCTTTGTGTTTTTCAGACATCTTCGAAAAACAACAGCAGAAGTGGGGCGCCTCAGAGTATTCTCTGGCGGACTAGGTGCAAAATGCCACTTGTAAGAACATGCTCCTGCATAGACATGGACAGACTTGGATTTGTTCTGAGACAGATCTCACACATCTGGATACTGGTAGCAATGACCGGCAACCCCTACCAAATCTCGAAATTGATAGGGCATGGCATCAAAAAACGAGAAGTTTGCCACGAGGTGGATCACACGTTCCACAGATATGGCATTGCGACTTTCAACATGGCCGTGCTGAACGTGCTACTGCCATTTCAACTATTTCGACTATGTCACTACCGTACGTTGATCTATAGTTGGGGCTTGTCAGGGCTTGTCGGGCTTGAACATGTCGTTCCAACATTTTCTGATTGCTACAGCGCTGGAGTAGACTCTGGGAGAGCTGGCAACAGTCTGCGGGTAGTGGCACTGCAGGCACTTTATTCTTGGAACTAGAGTCAGAGTCCCATCTAGTATTCCGAATAAATCGAATCTATTTTGCAGGCCTTTTCATTATTTGTTTGAAATCAATCGAAGGGGAAGTGGTTTCAAACAAAGATGACATGGAAGAAGAGATTTCATTAATTTGTTTGCCGTTCTTTTCCGTTTTTGATTTGGAGGTGGCAGTTTCGTGCTGTTGCCTCAGAGAGGGCGGAAATGACATTGGGTTCGGGGTGGCGGCTGAAGGCACCTTTTAAGTTTCGGAGAAGGTCAAGAGAACGGGTGAAAATCGAGGAACACATAGTACAACAGATACAACAGTCTAGAACAGTCTCATCCGATTTGGGATGTAGTATGTATTTCAAAGACAAGCTAGAAAGAACAACCAGACTCAACAAACAGAACATAGCAGAACATAGCAGAACTATATAATTATGGAATATTCTGGAATATTATGGATAACTGTGAAAAACTGCAGGCTTTTTCAGCACGCCTTGTTGAGTTCACTGAGGCTTATCCAATCCAGTCCTGCATTGGTGTCAGCGACCTCCAGTCCTCCATGGAGGCAGATCTTTCAGAAAGTTGTGCTTCCCAGAGGTCAAAACTTAGAGCCCAGCGTTGTCAAGCTAGACTCTCATGATCTCATCCAATGAACATCAGTGTACAATTGTGTACAATTTCTTGACATACAGTGAACTCAGTGAACGGGGCATAGACTCAGTTCTTGGTTTCTTGCGATGTTGTGGTGTGGCATGGCAAGGGAATGGTGCACGGGGGCACGGCAGGATGGATGTTTCCTCCGACCTTCTCCTTGGGCAGAGCAGTTGCCGTGGAAGCCCAACTTGGTCTGCCCAGCGAGTTTGGAACTTCGAATTGGCTAAACGGCTAAAACCATTGAGGTCACCTGGTCACCTGTTTGCGGAGCAAATGCTATGCATGTGACATCATGATTACATCATGTGACGTTAGGCTATCACATCCAGATATCTGCGAAGTCACCCGACATGATCTGCGCATGCTGTTTAGCCATTGCCAAAGCGTGTGCTGATTCTCACAAGAAAATGTTGGCTGCAACCGTGTCAATCGAGCTTCAGGATGAGGAGTTTGAAGAGCAGAGGATGCTGCTGGATGCTTCTTATGCTCGGTGTGCCCGCCCAGTTTTGGATGCCCTACACACTTTGGCACCTCATTGGCAAGTGGTCTGTACTGATATGTATTGATATTTAATATATTTATTTCATGTTTTAAGGAGATCAAACAAGCGCCATTGATACTTGTGTCGTTTGTGTAGCATGTTTCGACTTAGATGATCTTGGAGAGTTGCAGCCTAGAAATTCGACCTGATCACAGTGTGATGACACAGGAGGTCAACACCTCTGAGGGTGGGAGCTCTGAACCATTCTTTGAGCACAGCCCACAGGACCGCGATGGACCGTGGTACTGCGACGGTGCCATGATGGTTCCATGATGGTGCCATGATGAGAATGCTGGAAATCCAGATGATGTCCTGTCTAAACGGTCGATGTCCCACTTTGCTGATACATTGATGCACACGGTGCACATGGTGCACATGGTGCACATGGTGCACATGGTGCACACAATTGGCTGCAGATATGTCATTTTCCAGGAGCAAACCCACCTATGCACGCCAACTGCTCGATCAAGCTGCTGTCAGAGACACAGAAAATGTGCCGGGCATTGCGGCATTGACGACAGATTTTCCCTTGGACTTTTAGTTGGATATTCCTTTGGTTTCGCTTGGTTTGATATAGTTTTAGACAGTACCTGTGCAAGACCGAACTCTTTGGGAACAGCATCATTCTAGGGATAATGAGAAGAGTCGCTGGAGTTGTTTGACAAAGCAGTGAACAGGCTTGGTCTATCCAGACCGTGTCATGTTGTGGAAGATATGTCAGGAGACGAAGCCTCAATGACTCATGCAGTTATTGACATGATTCAAACACACACACACACACCCTCACACAAACATAATATACGTACCGTATATTTATATTACTCAATTTACGCACATTCATTATTCAATCTGATTGACGCATTGATGCATTCATTTATGCGCAGCATTTTGAATATATTTTGAATGCAATTCGTTCCTTAATGCATTTGCGAAGTTGACGACTTGTTGACGAATTCGTAGTTTCTTTACCGCTGCGACTCTGAGGCACTGCTCGGACCTGATCCAACGATGAAAGGAATCGTTGAGGCCAAACCCGGAGTGCCACAGCACGACCCGGATTTTCTGTGGGAACAAAAATTGTTTTTATGTTTTTTTATGCCTTCAGGTCCTTCTCTGTACACAAACACATGACTTCTAGCTGGTTCTTCGAGATCGATACACATTGAATGCCCCCCCCACACACACACACATACACACACACACACTAGACAAGAATGGATCATTTAAGTGATCCGTTGGGAACTGAATCCCCTCGCATGCAAATCAACCCAGCCATAGACAAAGTCCCCGAAATAGAAAATAATCGCTGTAGGGTTCTCGGCTTAGCCCTTCACCATGACTGTAAAAATACCATGCGAATAAGGTTGAAAACGACGCCGAAGAAGATCTCAGATTGCGACAACTGTGTAAAAACCAAATTTTCTGTTGTTGGGGTTCTTGGCTTAGCCCCTTGCCGCAAAAAACGGTAAATAATGCAGGTTACAAGTGGTTGATCAGACCACTCATCCACCGAAATGCCATAGCTTCGTTGGACTGGATAGGCAAATCGGCTCCAGTCCCCCTGCATATTGACAGACAGAATTGCGAAGTAGAAGTTTTTACATCTGTTCAGATGGTACACACACACACACGCTGCAGACACGTTTGCATTCTCTCTCTCTCTCTGTGTTTGAGACTGCTTTGATTTCTACGATTCATTGCTGATATTTACTGCTTCACCATGGTTCACCATGGTTCACCAGTTGAAATGTACATGCCAGTTGCATCACCTATGCTTCATGTCTCCTGTGAACATGGAGGCTCGAGCTGTGACTGTGAGGGCCCCTCGGGCCGGCTGAATGTCCAGAATTCGCTTGCGTGAGCAATGAGACGAGAGCAGGCTTGGCAGCCGTGGAGCAGGTGTTCAGAATGATGCCTAGAACCAGATCCTCCCTACCTCGTCAATTCGACTTGGTAGTGGAGCCACGGTGGTTCTTGCTCCTTTGCACTTTGGCGCTGCTGGTGACAATCCTCCCTGCTGCTGTTGACGTCATGCCTTTGACTTGATTGACAATGTTCAGTGCGATTCTGGCAAGCATGACATCAATTCATGAGGGCTTGGCTAATGTGAGCGATGGTTCAACCACAACAAGTGGATCTTTCTTTACGACTGAGTTATCCCTGGATGCACCTGGTGCAACAAGGACAGCAGATGATGATATGCAATCAACGGCCGATGCAGTGCGCTTGTCGGCCACGATCACCATTCTGGCAACATCTACAACAGCAGAAGATGAACAACACATGATGAAGGTGTTGCAACGTGCCCTGAAGCGGTCGGAGATGCGCGTGGAAGATGCGATCAATCGCACAGAGCAGCTGCAGATTGCAATGCAGGGACATTTGGGACCGACAGAACTGGTGCACCACCTCCGGACGGTGGGGATCTTGGAGAACGATGAGAACCTCGATGAATGAAGTTTTTTGGAACAAGGTTTTTTCCGGAAGATGTTTTCAAGCCCAATGCGATGCCTCTGCAGCATGATCTGTGGTGGTTTGAGTCTGACATGGATTCATGGATGAACGGGATGATAGTTTTTCTGTTTCTGGTTGGACTAATCATCGCCAAAATTCTGCCGTCTTGCAATCAGCGCATGTGAAGCTTGTGGAACAACAGAGACATGCAGATGTGGGACAGTTGTCTTCGATGCTGACACTTGGCAAGTGAACTACAGACTGTGCAATGGGTGATGCCACACAAATTGCATTCACTGTATGTTTTTGTTGGCATGACCCCAATCAACGGTTCAATCCTGGTGGAAGAGGAGGCTTCACTGCCGACGTTGGTGCGGCCACGTTGAAGACCCCCCCAGGTTGGAGCTCAAGGGCAGTGGAGCTTATTCTTTGCGTGCCTGGCTGAGCGATGTAGTGCTGTGGGCTGGTGCCACAGATCTTGAACCCGAGAGACAGGGTCCAGCTGTAGCACTGGTTATCACGGGTTCAGCCCGTGACTTGGTGCGTGAACTGCAGCCCCAAGAACTGCTGCAGCCCCAAGAACTGAGAGATGGAGTCTGGGAGCAGGGTGCTCATGTTCCAGGCCTCATGCTGCTTTGCCGAACTTTGGCATGACACTATGCCTCATGAGGCGGAGCTCCAAGCCCGAACCATGGCTGAGTTGCCTGGCTTCGCGCGCCTTCCCAACGAAAGCATTGATGCAAGCCTTGCACGGCTTGAGGTGTTGAGACACAGGGCCATTGCCCGAGGCGGTTTCACCATGGGAGCGCAGTCGCTGTCGTACCTGCTGCTGAATGGTTTGCGCCTCAAGCCCGAGCAGTGGGAAAGATGGCCAGCTTGCCGTGAATGACCAACAATTTGGTCAACTTCTTGATCGATTGTGGAGAGTGGGACGGATGGCCGAGGGACAGTTTCAACCACCAAATCAACAAGGGGCCACAGGAGATGTTGGTTCGTATCATTACTTTCCTACTTTTGATCAGCCTCCCTGGTACTGGGTTTGAACCTGACTATCAATCCTACTACACGGTTTCCAGCAGCATGGGGTTCTGATCATGCAGCCGCCCAAAGTCCAGTCATGCCTACTGCACCAATGCCCAGTGGAGTGAACCAAAGTTTTGCCTCGGTTCCCTTAGCAGATGATGAAGAACAATGCCCACGATGCGGAATGTTTTACATGGATCATGAGTTTTCCTCATGCACTGATACTGACAATGGTGAAGCTGACAATGAAACCAGTGTTTTGTATGGTAACCTCAATGACAATGATGCAAGGTTGGGAAATGAGTTGTATGAAGCCTACTAGTTGCCAAACAACGATGGCGTAGGTTTTCTACTAGACCTCACAGAAGATACCGAAGGAATAATTTCAACAAGTATCGTATCGCCATCAATCCAATAACCAGAAGTTCAAAAGGTTTGGTAACAGCTATGCTTCCTTTCTTCCCCCAAATGCCTTTGCCGCTCACAGGGGCCAAGGTGGAAAATCAGGTGGAAAAGGCAAGGGAAAGCGATCCAATCCGAGGGGTCGTGATGGACAGCCATTGAAATGTTTCAAGTGCGGTTCGACAGAACACCTTGCCCGAAACTGTACAAAGCCTGATGCAACTGCCAACATGAACATGCTGGTAGCACCTGCTGGTTCCAGAGGTTTGCAGTAAGGTGGGGACAATGCATAGTCTTAGCACTTGCCGCTCAATTCCAAGGATCCTTGCACAGTGCTGACATCTCTGAAGCATTTTTGCGCGGATTTTCTTTGAAGAGCTCTCTGAAGAAGACCCATCACAACCGCTGAGGGTCGTAGAAATAGCCCTTCCTGCAGGCACTGAAGAGCTTCTCCAGTCCTTTCCAGGATATGAGAGCTACAATGCTGGCGCTGAGTGCCTTTCCCTCCTTAAGCCCGGCGTCGGGCTAAAAGACGCGCCAAGACCCTGGAACGCCGCTCTGACGCGTGTGCTACGTCTGTGTGGTTTGCAGTCCACATGCACAGACCACCAGCCAGTTGTACTTGAAACGCAGCAGAGATGGAAAACCTGTCATGGCACTATCCGTACATGTAGACGGCATAAAGCTTAGTGGATATGATTTTGAAGTTAAATCTTTGCACAAGAAGCTTTCAGAACACTTTGACGAACTCAAACTCGAATGTGACAACTTTGAGCATCTCGGGTTGAAACATGTCCTTGAATCTGATGGTTCTAGAAGTGTAGGTCAAGAGCACTATGTGAAGGAGCTTCGTTTTTTCTGCGAAGCTGAATGTCGTGATGATGTTGAAGTGTCTGCAGCTGTACGTTCCTAGTTCATGAGTTTGCTTGGAGGCATTGCGTGGACGGTTCAAGCACGTCCAGACATTGCATTCACTTCAGCCCTTCAACGTAAACTGCAGTCTCCTTCCGGTAAGGATGTCATTCATCTAAACAGCGTGTTAGCCTATCTGAAAAGGAAGCCGTTGAAGCTGGCCTATAAGAAAGTTGAGTATCCATGGAAGCTGTATGTCATCTCCGACTCCAGTTTCAAAGGAGAAGACCAAGATGCCCTCCCTAGCCATGAAAAGTGGAATTATAGCATTAGGTGACAAGTATGGTCCAAAGCTTGGTGACAATAACCTTCAAATCTTAGAGTTTGTGTCAAAGAAACAAATTGGTTCTTGCCGTAGCACATTCACTGCCGAACTCTATGCCGCCCTGGATACTGTTTCTCTTGCTAGTGTCATTAACTTGGCATTGACCGAAGTGCTGACTGGTTGCCGAAGTGCCAGTCAAATGGCAGAGATCCAAGAGCCTGGATCCAATGCACTTGAAGCCGACTTGTTTCTTGATGCCAGATCTGTATTTGAAAGTGTCTCAGCCGCTGACACGAAAAGCACTACAGATCGATTGATGTACATCCGTGCCTTGAAGTTGAAAGAAATTCTTGCCATGAGGACCATGTTGAAGCAAGGACCAAGTCTGAGACTTGATATGTTGCCAACTTGAACTTCGACGCCCAAGAATCCAAGAAGATCTTTGTGACCAAACAACCTGAGTTGAAATGTGCATGCCAGTTGCATCACCTATGCTTCATGTCTCCTGTGACTGTGAGGGCCCCTGGGGCCGGGCTGAATGCCCAGAATTCGCTTGCGTGAGCAATGAGACGAGAGCGAAGTGGAGGTGCGAGAGAAAAAGGCTTGGCAGCCGTGGAGCAGGAGGTTCAGAATGACGCCTAGAACCAGATCCCCCCTACCTCGTCAATTCGATTTCACCATGGTTCACCAGGGTTCACCATTCTTTTGGTTCTTGGTTAATGAGATTCTCTTGCCACTTGAGACTGCAGGTGCCAGGTGGGGGTTGCGCCTCGGTTGATAGTTTGCTGGGTGGAGATCTCAGGTGTTCTGTGATTCTGAACTCAGATGTTCACTATGTCACGCTATGTATCGCTACGTTTTCATTCAGATGTGTTTTGAGGGCTGCAGCTGTATCCATTCTGAGGCAACGAATTGAAGACGCTTCAGCTAGCAGACTGCACATTGGCAGCGCGGTCTCCAAGATCTGTTTCATCCTGTCGTTTCCGCCGCCATGGGAGCCCCATTTGGCAGTTCTCTTATGCAGTCTTCAATAGTTCTATGCAGTTCCATTCAGTCTCACTACATTTTTCTTATTTTTTGTGTGCGATTATTGAATCCATTGTTGCATATCATTGAGATTGTCATTGCCATTTTCACCCAGGCTCGCCGGTGCAATGAGAAAGCAGAAGAACCTGCTGGGATCACAGGGTGAAGACATGAGAAAACCGTCATGACCGAACCTAACGCTGGTCTTACAATGAATTTGCGAGAGGTTCTCAGAGTCAATGCAGCAGGTAGCTGGCTCCGCAGCAAATATCTTAAAGGGCAACAAAGATCTTAAAGGGTCACAACATCTTCTATCGCCTAGATATTAGTTCAATTATCTTATCTTCAAGAAAAATGTGTGATAAGAAACCATGCTCCTATTTCTTCAGCGCAGATTTCAAAAGCATGCTGAATCAACGGGGTGACAGGAATGTATACTATTTCAGTGACTTGTGCTCCAGCATGTTCACATATCATGTCATTGGCTTCGTATTTACCGCCAACATATAGTATATCCATTGACGACATGTCATTGCGTGATGTGTAGATGAAGTCTTATCTTCAGGATATGATGTCCACATGGTGGTTCTTGTTAGCATGCAGTACATGCGTTGCAAAGATTGCAGTGTTCGCGGAGACACCCAATCTCCGTGTCTCTCAGCCATTTTCGCATCCTTTCCCATCTTTTACCGTCACTTCACATCCCATCCCATCCTTTCCTATCTTTTACCATTCCTTCCCATGATGCACGTTTCCAACATCGTGCAGCATCCTTCTCTTTCCCATCCTTTCAGTGTTGGGATGTTGCATGATGCTTGTCCAAGAAATCGGAGACTTGCAGATTTCATGATGTATCATGATGTATCATGATGTATCTATATTTACTATGTGTATCTAGTATATATCTAGTATGTATCTAGTATGATATATCATGATATATGACGACGTGTGATGATGTATGATGCAAGATTTGTACCATGTGTATGTGTACCTTATGCAAACGAACTCGGCCATGCCCTACCCCCAAGGTGGGTGGACCTGGTGCGGCTGAATTTGCGACGCAGGACCAGGCAGAAATGATCTTCCAAATGTCGTCGAGTCGTCGATGGAGTCACATTGGATCATATTGGAATATGTTGGGACACGTTGGAATCTGGAATCATATCAGATGTAGATTCAATGTAATGTACTGTAGATGATTTGCAGCATTGCCATTGTATTTTGGTTCTATGTCGTTACCCCAACAATGAAGAAGGCAATGAAGAGATTAAAATACGATCAAATACTCATTGTGAACTTTTTATCGTTCGCAGAAACTTGCGCAAACCACGAAAATGATTGTTCTTCGAGGTGACTGGACTCCAACTGGACTCAGTATGGCATTTGTAGAGAGCTTCACGCTAGATGTGCAATCGAATTGAAAGATGTGGATTTGTCAAGAGAAAGAAACAGTAATTAGCGCTTTTGCAAAAGACGAGCTCGAAAGACTTCAACAGTTTGGCTTTTTCATAGCATTCAAGTTCTTCTCAACCACGCCCGCATGGCAAGGCACAAGATAAGATGCCGCAGCATTTGCTACGAGCGTTCGGCAGCCCGGGGTGTGGGCGCACACTCAGATTGTGGGGAACAAAATCACAAAATCAACTAGGAATCACATCATTTGTTGACATTCTTTGCCAATCGCACTATTGTCATATAAAACAAACGATCAGGGAGAAGTAGCACAGTGTCGGGAGAGACTCCCATCGGTATACAACTTTGAGATCAGGTTTCTGTGGCGTTTGTGATGTGATAAATATGTATGATCAATGATAAATGATAAATGTGTGCCAAGAGTCTGCCTGGCTAAGAGGCGAAAGCAATCAAAACCAATCAAAAGCAACCTCCAAATTTCCAATACGACTTCTTTGACTTCTTGTTCCTCGTTGTTCCTTCTAAAGAATCAAAAACCAGCACCCCGGGACTGATCATAAAAACTACAAGATTAGGAGCATTGTGCTGAGGTACTATTTGCTTCGATTCTTGCAATCGCGTTCCTGTCGCTGGCGACTGCTGGCAGTCCTGCTTGCGTTCTTGATAGTCTTTGGACACCCTTCTGACAACCAAATCAACAAACAACAGACATTCGATTTGCAGGGTTTCACTGGGCACCGACAAAAATATTGAACAATGATCAAGGTGCACAAGGAACCTGCTCTTGAAAGTGAAGTCACTCTGGTATCAGCACGAAGCAAAGAGTTGGCGTGATTTGGCTGATCTGATAGCACCACCACCAGCCAGGTGTTGAATTTTTTTCGTTTCGTTCAACGCCGGCTTGCAATAGCCAGTGTTCCACCCTGAATGGGAACAATCCGTGCAGCACGTTCTTAAAGTTCTATCAGCGCAACTGGATCATCCAATCAAGTGACTCATTCAAGACAGCATTGAACGTCTCAATGAATTGCCTGTCTGAATTCTTTGATTTCTTTGAATTCCTGAATTCTTCGAGCCGTATTTGTTCTTTCTGTGTGTTTCTCTGAGGCAGTACTGACCACAGAGCTAGATGAGGGTAAAGGCAGCAGCTTCATTGGAAGAGGCGCGACAGGTCTAGCTTCTTATTTTGCTGTCGCTTGGAATGAGCCTTTAGAGATTTTCTCGATATTTGCCGTTTGTTCATGTTTGTTCACTGATTGGATTTTAACTTGTCTCGAGAGTCTTTCAGTCACCTCGTTTCGTCGATTCGAAAGTGGTGGATAGCGGCATGACACTTCAACATCAACCGCCGAAGATTCCTTTCACAGATTTTTTCGGTGAGGCATGTCATTTTTTCCCTTGTTTTCCATCATTTTTCCATCAACTGGAGAGTTGTGAAAACCAGAAACGCACCACGACGTAGCCACGACGTACCGACCGAATCCGACTGCAGAAAGTGATCCGAGTCAGCGGGCCCCTGCCTCAGTAGGACAAATCATGTACAAAATGGACATAAAAACATGTATTCAATGTAAAACAAACACAAAAATGAGAATTTTTGAGAGAACAATGAACACATATGAACACTATCATGAATGATATCATGAACAATCATTAAATTCATGAATTTAATCAATCAAACACCTGAAACAAAGAAATGAAAGCCGTTGAACCGTTTCTTGGCAGGATGAATTTAGCACAACCTCCACCTATGAACTTCACACCTCTTGCATTCCCACCTCTCCCATTTGGCTTCCTCTGGCTTCTTCATTTTGATCATTTTTGTGCATTCAATATCATTCAGTATTGAGTCATTTTAGTGGACGGGTTTCTTAGTTCCTTTGCCTCCTTCGAATTCCTTTGACCAAGCTCCGGCTGATGTCCAACAGAGTTTCTGACATGCTGAACATTGGCACATTTGCATTTTTTGTTTCTACAAATGAACGGTAGCTCCATGTAGCTCCCTCTCCTTTCTACCGACTCCTTGAACTATGGCTACTTTCAGCCCAGAATCACTGCATCCAACGACTCACGTCGACTTCCAAGCGCTACCCGCGGCTACCCCAACAACGTACTTCGTGTTTTTCTCGTCCGCTCACCAACTGCGCCAAACACACTACGTGCTCCACCGACAACGTGTCATAATGCGTCATAGAATCTTATAAAACTACGTCAATCTACGTGTTCTCTAGCGAAATACAGTGAACATTTCGAATCGAGGTTGAAGAGAAGGCGCAGGACAAGTATTGGGACATCTCCAGCCGCGGCCTCTCCAGGACTCGCGACACGACGTGACGTGACACACACCGACTGCAAACGGTTTGACGCAATCGGACGCAATCGGACGCAATCGGACGCAATGACGTGGGTTACACGCGTGTTGTGGATTTTGCACTGCGAACTGTACTTCACCGACTTAGATAAGTACAGCCAAGTTCTATAATGTTTTTTTGGCTCTTAGTTTTCTAAACTAGGAACACCCGCGCATGAATGTGCATGAAGTATCATGAAGTCCTGCGCCAGCCACAACCAATTTGCAATTTCCAAATGCCACGGAGGATCTTGCGCCATTGCTCCCTACCGTTCACAGATGATCCTCCTACTGCAGGACATTGGGGGTAAATCGGAGTTTTTGCAACCTTTTGTCTAACGTTGTGTAGCGTTTTGTACTGTTATATTGTAATATGTGTATTGTTTATATTGATTATGTATACATATTTGCAACCTTAGCATCCCCAGTTGCCTTGGCCAGAGCTAGGAGACTTCGATCCCCTGAAGCTGGACCGTGAAACGTTGGAGCCCCAAGACGAGACTCGAGTGACTCGAGACTGTGACGAGGAGATTCAGAGGATCTCTGATGCGACGATGATGTTGGACGACGAGAACCATTGCCATCCACTGCCTAGGTACACCAGCCACGACGAAGATACCTTTATTATAAAAGACTCGTTCGGACGGCAGGTCCAAAGCTCAGGAGAATCAGCACCGGAACGTCCGCAACCGTGTAGCTTCGACCAGCAGAAGATGTGATAGAAATGAATAGAAGTGATAGAACCTCCACAAAAAGATCAGAAAAGAGGGTGCCTGAATATCTCGAAGCACGAACTGTGACACATTCGATACAGCAATTGCTGGTGCCACCAGGGCATTTTACGAAAATTCCACCTCAAAGGTGAGAGATTCCAAGAATTCTACAGTTCCAACTAGTTTCAACGTGTGTTTTTCGCATTTTTTCACCTTTCATTTGTAGGGTACCTGTGGCGCCCCCGTGTTGTGGCCACCGCCCTACAGGCTGATGCACGAAAGCTCGCATCGCATAGGAGATTCATACAGGTTCCAAACCGTTCCAAACCCCGAGGACAATGAACAGCCAGACGTCTCTAGACCTGGCTCAGCTTGCTCCGATTCCTTTGACCCCTCCAATTTGGAGGGCTTCCCAACTTGAATGAAAGCTGCTGTGAGTGTGAGGTTTTGCATGAAGCTGCCTTGAATGATTTGGATTGCTTAGAGTTGGGCCCCCAGAAGTGACTTTGGATTTGGATATGTCTGATATGTCTACATTCACTAGCGTTGCATGTTGCTGGTGTGCTGGTCCGCCGGCATGCAACTTGAAACGGCGATATTCTGATATGACAGGGACCTTTTGGGAATAAACGGACGCTCTTCGTCTGTAAGGAGTTGATGGCAAGTCTTCGCTGCAGTGACACTGTCCATGGAAGATTTCATGCAGTCACCCAAGTCTGATTTTGAGGCTGGAGATGCTGAAGATTGGAAGCTACTTCATCCACAAGTATGAAGCTACCAGTCAGAAGCCCCAAGCCAGGTGACAAGATGTGATGACCGCGTCAGTGATTGCCACGTAACGTTCCAAGTTCGGTTCATTAAGCTTCAAGCTCCAACTGTTGCGAACCCGCAGACGTTTCTGATTTTCAAGGTGAGAGGAACACCTCCATTCAAATAGCATAAATAGATGTAAATAGCATTGTGACATACTGTGACAATGCAGCCGAACAAAGGCAGCGGCACTTCCGCTGAGTGTGAAGAGTGTGAAGAGTGTGAAGAGTGTGAAGAGTGCGAAGAAGATGAGGGAGCTGAGGCAGAGGACGATGTGGGTGGCGAACTTGCAGAAATCGAACTCCTCGAGCAGATGATTCCCAAACTTGCAGAAACCATTGCGCAGATGGGCCTCACGGACTCAGAGATTCTGAGGGTGACCCCCGCATTTCAGGCCTTCCGGCAGTGTGCCCTGGCTTTGCGCAGCTATCATGGTGACCTTTATTCCAAGAGTGAAAAGAGCACAAAGATCTCAACCTTTTGGAGCCACTCTTGGCATGGGAAGAAATGGAGGAAGATCATAACGCTCATCGTTTTTTACAATGGTCAGGCAGCTGCAGTCCTAGGCATGTTCTGTGCTGTTGTAATGATGGTGCTGTTTTGTTTCGACCTTCTCCCCGCTTTGAACCGTGGCAGCACGGGAGAAATCCAATTCGGATTCTCATGTTGGTCCCTTTGGTCTGGTTTCTTCGCCACCTCTTTGGTCATTATCTTTTGGCAGCCGCAGAGCCGTGTTTTCCTCGACCGCATTTGCATCAGCCAAATGGACCATGAATTGAAAACTCGAGGGATTATCAGCTTGGCTGGAATGCTGAAACAATCAGATTCGATGCTCATTCTGTGGGATCCAACGTGGACTGAGAGGTTGTGGTGCCTATTTGAGCTGGCAGCCTTCTTGCAAAGCAAGAAAGATCAGAAAAAGGAACTCATCATCAGGCCAACCTTTTTCGGGCCTCTTCACATTGCTTTCTTCTTGACCATGGTTGCTGCCATGATTCCTTTCACAATGGCACCGGTAGATCTCGCAGCTGGTCCAAGTCTATTTTTTGTTCCTGCTATCATGATCGTTTTCTCAAGCGGGGCGGTTGCTTATGTGGGCATGAGCACCTTGCGAAGCTATTTCCGAGATTTGGACACCATGCGACATCAGTTGCTGTCCATCTCTTTCGACGCTACTCGGAGTTCCTGCTGCGAAAACAACCATCGTGACCTGTCAGGAAATCCTGTGATTTGTGACCGGAAGATTGTGAAACACTGTGTGGAAGTGTGGTTCGGCAGCCAAGAGGCATTTGAGAAGACTGTGCGATCGGAGGTGCTGGAAATCTTGACCCATCACCTTGGGGACAGAGTTTTCAGTATCAAATCAACTCTTGCACTGGGTATGCCGCTGATGTGGGGGTTCATGGACCATGCTGCCAGCGAATGGCAACTGCCTTCGTCGGACATTTGGAGGAAGGCAGGTCCAGCCTTCTTGCTATATGGTTTGACCATTTGGCTCATATTCATCCCGACAATGAGGGATTTCCTTCTCCTCATTGGCAAGCTGACCCGGGCAAGGCCAAGGAGTCTGTGCCTTGAAGTCTTGAAAAATTTGCTTGCTTGCTTCATTCTGTTCCTCCCATCTGCCGCCGTCATGGCATGTTACGAGAATATACGCGCTACAATCTTTTTCACCATTATGGTGCTCTATGCCATCTTCTACTGGTGCTTTTCCATGGGATTCCATGGGCATCAAGGCGAGTCTGAGAAGATGAGACCTGCCAGTGCCAAGATGGCCGGCCAAAAATGGCCGAAAATCAACTTGGTTGGTTCGTTTCAAGATTTTTCAAGAGGAGTGGCTTCAACATTTTGCCACATGGAGTGGCTTCAACATTTTGCCACATGGAATTCTCTGCTGCATCTGCTAAAAAGTGCTGGTACCCAGTGCCATCATCAATATTGCTAATTATTTTTGTTGACAGAGCGTCGGCTCTTCACGATCAAAGTGCTTTCCAGGTCGCGCACCCCAAATATCGAATCGACTTGGACACAGGTGGACACACTGGACACGCTTGGACGCTGCCTCACGCGAGGATCTGACGAGCGCGAGATTGCTGCGGTGGATCGCTGTGCGGTGCTATATGACCTTTTAGCCTCGGAGGTACAGTGCCGTGCCATGAAGGGACATCGGAGTTGCGCCACGTTACGCCATGTTACACCAAAGATCCATGGCTACCTTTGAGATGGCATGTTTGCCAAAGCGTTAAGTATCTGTGAAAGGTTCCAATTCCAAGCGCATGCTTTTCCTCGGAGATCTTTGCAATCCGAGTCCTTAATTTAGATTCAAAATCCATCAAAATCCAATGCATTTGAAAGCGACCGCAGATAGCCTCAGATAGCCTTTCCATCCTCTCCTACTTGATATCTTGACCAAGCCCTACATGCCATCCATGCCATCCATGCCCTCCATACCATCGATGCCAGCCAGGTTTGGTTCCACACAGAGAAGCAACACTTGGTGGAGCCTTGGCATTTAATGCATTTGCAGAGATGAATCTGACTGCACATCGGAGAGATTTAACCGATTTAACGTGCACAGGAGCTCGTCAAGAGAAAGCCTTTCACAGGGCAAACGTTGACTTTGCAAGGGGGTGTTTCGATGTGTTTTATGATGTTTCGCCATGTTCACTGTGTTGATATGTTGATGACGCTCTGCTGACACTCCACGTTCTCACGTTTTTCATCGTTTTTCCATGAGGAGGTGTATTTGAACATCTTTGAAGACACCACGGATCCGTTGGAGCAGCGCATCTTGGCACAGCGCATGATCGACGTCATGGCGTTGCGACCGCGCTTAGACCTTCAGGAGCCGTGACATGACGAGTTTAGGAGTCGTGTTTCTAGTGTTTCTAGTGTTTCTAGTCACATCCAAGCATAACACCTAGCTGCAACCCTCTGCTGTCCCAAGAGAGACTTATAATGACTTATACATTTTATATATTTCAACGCATTTTCAGCAGCTACTGCCACTATCAAGATGATAGCTGAAGCGGATGCGGTTCCAGTATATCATATTATTTGGGAAAAATCGGAAAGACACATTACAGTGGCAAACATCTCCGAACATCCCACTTGCACTTTTGGTGGGCATCACAATTCAGCAAGCATTGAGGACCATGGTTGGCTTTATTTTCCATGTCACATCAGGGTCTTGGCATGTTTTCGCCTCCTTCAATTTCAGCTGAGGGCCTTGCGCATTTTAAAGTTAAACAAGTCAAAGCAGCTGGGCTGTTGCGGGGGGAGTGAAAGAGGTCTAAGGATGGCCCCCTATCAACTCCGTTTGGACAGAACATGTAGAAGCGAAACTGCAATACCAGGAGCCTTACTTTGTGGAGGCATACAGTGCTTCGATCCTTCTCTTGCGCTCACGAAGCGCATTGCTCAAGGAACTGCAACAGCATCAGGTGGGCAAACTCTGAGAGGGAACTGTCCTCTAGCACCACGTGCAGCACTACATGCAGCACTACATGCAGCACCACGTCGAACTAGATTGAGCTACGTCGAACACATAGGTTGACCTTGTAAGCTACGCCAAAGACTTGGCTAGGCACACAGCTGGTGTAAGACTAGCCTGGCCTAGCCCGGCCTCTGCCAATTTTCGAGCTGTTTTGATTCCTTTCCTTACCCGGTGGGCCGTCATAGAATTGTGGAATTCATCCGAAATTGTGGACTTCGCGATCATGATTGTCTTGCCATGTGCCAGGTCAGTTGCGAAGTCAGCGCAAGCAAAAGAGCCACGAGCAAAACAGCGGAGCCGGGCATCCCCAGTTCCAGGTGCCAGGTCGAGGGGTTGATCTGTGGGGCTTCCCTGACCAAAACCAAACAGATTTTGGATTTGGACTTTTGGCAAATATGCAGGCTCGCTATTGGCAAATCAGGTAGCTTTGCAGCCTATGCAGGCTGCTATGCATCCGAATTCATCCAAATACAGCTGTAAGATCCCTTAAGATGAGCATGGGTCCATTTTCATCCATTTTCAGTGTTGGGGACAAAGGCAGCAATCTGCGGTCGAAAAGTCCCACTTCTTTCTCAGCGTTCTCACCTCATGCTTCGTCGCGGGGTGGCATGACTGAGGCGATCATTTGGACGCAGGCACGGCGTGGCAGTCATCCAAAGCAGCATCCAGCAGCATTAAGACAGAAGGTTAGAATCTGGTTAGAAGGCTCCCAACATCCCCGAAGAGGTCATGGTCCATCATGGTCCATCATGGTCCATCCCCATGCGTCAGGCCTTGATCTAGGTACCTTCAAGCTTTCATAATCTTTAAACCATTCTCATGTTCTGGTGTTTTCAAAGCTGGTGTTCTGTACCACCAAAATGGGAAGGTCATAGGGAGTACGTTTTTTTTGTGAGTTCTTTTTGGAGTTTTTTATTGTGCGAGTCCTATTCCTATCTACCTCTTTGTTTTTGCTTTTCGGCTTTTTTGATTTTGCTGTTTTTCTGCATGTTTCTCTGCTTTTGTGATTTTCTGATTCTTTGTCTTTTTGCTTCCGCCTTTCTGCTTCTTGCCCGCTTCTTGCTTGTTTGCATTTATACTGCTTCTCCCTCTTTCCTTTCTTTGGCTTCTCTTGTTCTTATTTACCTTTGCTTGTGCTTCCTCTGCTGCAAGCTGCTTGGCATCTTTCTGCTTGTGTTTTTTCCGTGCTTTGTCGGTCTCTGTTTCTTTTTAAGCATACCCCAACCAAATCCCAATCAGACAGACCCCTAAATAAATCCTTGAACATACCTTGAACATACCCCAACAATACTCTAAACAAACCCATACAGAAAACCCTAAACAGACCCTAAACCTAAACATACTCTAAACAAACCTTAAACAGACTTAAACTACACCGGCAAGAGACCCCAAGCAGCGTGGGGGGCAGGAAGCCAATGTACCAGATACAAGCAACACAAGATCTTAATGCAAGGACCTCTCGAGACGGATTTCAACAGGATCTGCACAAGATCTTCTCATAAGGACCTGTACTAGATCATGTAAGGACACCTAGAAGATTTCACCGGGACCTCGTTAAGAGCTTCTCACACGGACCTGTACAAGATCATCCAAAGGCTTCTGACAGCATGCCACTAGGATCTCCACAAGGCCTTCCCACGAGGACGTGTAAGAGGCCTTGACCAAGATCTTCATGCAGGACCCCTAAGAGAAGCTCAGAAGATCGTCATAAAAGGACCTGCTGCTGTATTATCTTACCAGATCTTGATACAAGAACCTCCCAAGAGCATCCCAGAAGAGCTTTCGTACAAGCACGTCTAAGACATCGCATCTGCAAGATCTTCAGGCAAGGGCCTCTTAGAGAGGACCTGACCAGGATCTCCACAGGATCTTCTGACAAGGACCTGTGCAAATTCATGCAAGGATCTCTTAGAGAGGAATTTATCAGGGGAGATATCAGGCTCTCCACAAGATCCTCTTATGCAAGATCATGCAAGGACGTCTTGGAGGATGTGAGCCAGATATCCACAAGGTCTTCTCACGAGGACCTGTACTGTACAAGATCATGCAAGGACCTGTAACAGGATTCCATCAGGATCTTCATTTTCACAAGGACCTCCACAAGGCTTCGGTCAAGATCTTCATTTTCACCGGGGCCTCCGAGAGTGAACCTTGAAACTCTTGCAAGATCGTCCAAAAGTGGGACAACCGTTTTGTGCAAGCCTGCGCGGTCGAACTGTACGTGGAAATGCGACAGGAGACGTTTAACGCGAGAATTTAATGGAAAAATGCCGCGCCCCAAGATCGCGATGCACTGTTTGTTCGAGCCTGCGCAATCGAAATGCAATTGGACGATCTGACCCGGGCAATTTCACACGGGAATTCGCAGGAAAAATGCTGCGCCCGGAGTCGAAAGGCACACGGACATGTCACAAGAACCATTTTATGCGATAATTTAGAGGAAGAATGCCGCAAAGCAGATGGTGACTAGCGAGCGTAAAACCCCTTGAGTGTGGACACTTTGTTTGGAGAACACCTAAGCAAACCCTGAGCAAAAACTACATAGATAAACCCTGAACACACCTAAACGCACCCTTTAAACAAACAAACAAACGCACCCGAAACAAAACCTAAACATGGAAGAAACCCGCACACAAACTCTGAACATACCGTAATGGTAGCCCAAACAAAACATGAACGACGCGCGTACACATCCTAAACGACGTGCTAGACATGCCCGAGGCAAAACTTGAAGAATCCCTTGGTAAACGCGAAATCAACCCCAAACAACACCAAACAAACCTTAAAAGTACCTGAAGCAAACCCGATTCGTACCCCCAACATCCCTCAACAATCCCTCAACGTATCCTAAACAAACCCTAAGCAACCACCAAACCGAAACACCCCTAACAAACTCCAACCCCAATGAAATCCTCAAGAAACCGCAACATTATGCAAACTGGAAGGAGACTCAGGAACCCCAAAGAATCCCTAAACAATACCCTAAACGGTAGGTACCCCAAAGAAGCAGGGGGACATCTCGGCACGATGCACCCGCAGTGCTGGAAGCTCTGGCGGGTTCAATGCCGCTGCAACCCCAGGTTCCAGTGCGAGACCAAGAAAGCTGTCGAATCTTACAGGCAACAAACAGATCAAACAGCAAACGGCAACACGCAGTTGTATCATGTTGTATCATGTTGTATCACTTCACACCATTGCAGCAGAAGGCAGAAGACTGCGAATCTCCACAGCGTCAAGGTACTTTGTTGGTAGGACTTTGGTGCTGGAGTGGTGAAGATAACGACAAATCGCATGTGTTTGCAATGTACAAGCGCTTCTTCTCACCCGGAATGAATCCGGGCACCGCCCGCCTCGACAATGAATTATCGGGCTCTGAGCATTTGTTAGCCAACCATACTTCCTGTGCTCACATCCAATAGATTTTGCACAACTTGAAAACAGGTGGAGGTGTTGAATAACAAGAAGTAGAGATGTGTAGAGGGCAGGAGCGTTTTGACAAGGATAGGCCATGCATCCATTCGATCGAGTTCCAATGTTTCCTGCGCTGGCAATAGGTTGCGAATACATCAGGTGGAAGTGCTGCCTTATCCATTTGATCCCTGTACCCGCACCCATTCCTAAGGTCTTCGCAGCGGACAGGGCATGCTGATGCCGGGACTTGATGGTGCTTGCCTAAGATAAAACAAGGTTGATATACCTTACCGTAATCCAGCTCCCTGAGTCACTCACTGCTTTTCCTGGAGGGTTTTATAAGGCTGTAGCTGTAGCCAGAGAAAGTTAAGTTCATCTGACAGTTGAGCAGGCTTCAGCTAGCAGCTAGATGCAGCTAGAGCATTTGCATGCATTTGCTGGATATGGGTGGATATGGCAAGATTTGCAGCTGCATATGGCATGTGCCTAGGTGGTTTGGCGCATCCCCAAGAAGGCAACACTTTGAGCGGTGGCATAGCCACTGCCCGGCGGGAGGGAGAGATCATGTGCGCTACTCAATCTTCAAGTTCTTGCCGCTGCCTGAAACACGTTAAAATACATTGAGCCACATGACTCTTGCTGTCTACCCATCGTTTGCTTCTGGCATTTCAAATCAACCTTTGCACCCAGTTCTAGTCACCTTGATGTACTGTATCACCAAAGGCCATGTGTTCTGCATTTGGACAATTTACCTTTAGCACCCTTTTAACCTACTGGTCAGTGGCTTTGAAAATGGGCCCACACACACATATCTGTAGATAGATATATATTTATTTATTATACATATACAAAGCGTATATTTACCACTAGTACCGCGCAAGGCGGTGGCGGAAGTTTCAAAAATAGGAAGCCGCGGAAGCCTATAGGAGAGGTTGGTTGTTGTGAATCACGACGGCAGAGTGAATCCACTGATGGACCGACAGGTGCTTGGAGTTGTGTTTCTTGGAGTGGCTGCAATGGTTGCAGTGGTCACCTCACCCATAACTGCTGGATGTAGTGTGGTGTAGTGCAGCTGTAGTTGTAGTTGTAGTGTAGTGGAGTTGTAGTTGTAATGTAGTGTAAGTAGTTGCAGTCGCAGTTGCAGTTGTAGCTGTACGTGTAGCGTGATGTATTGTATTGTAATGTAATGTAATGCAATGTAATGCAATGTAATGTAATGTAATTAGTGTAATGTAGTGTAGTTGTACTTGTATTTGTATTTGCATTTGTAGTTGTAGTGTGCTGCAGTGTAATTCGTGTATTGTAGTGTATTGTAGTGTAGTTGTGATTGTAGTTGTAGCTGTGGTGGTGGTGGTGGTGGTCGTCGTCGTCGTTGTCGTAGTAGTAGTAGTCGTCGTCGTCGTAGTAGTAGTAGTACTAGTAGTACTAGTAGTAGTAGTAGTAGTAGAAGTAGTAGAAGTAGTAGTAGTGGTAGTAGTAGCAGCAGCGGCAGTAGTAGTAGTAGTAGTAGGTAGTAGTAGGTAGTAGTAGGTAGTAGTAGGTAGTAGTAGGTAGTAGTAGGTAGTAGTAGGTAGTAGTAGGTAGTAGTAGGTCGTAGTAGGTCGTAGTAGGTCGTAGTAGGTAGTAGTAGGTAGTAGTAGGTAGTAGTAGGTAGTAGTAGGTAGTAGTAGGTAGTAGGTAGTAGTAGGTAGTAGTAGGTAGTAGTAGGTAGTAGTAGGTAGTAGTAGGTAGTAGTAGGTAGTAGTAGGTAGTAGTAGGTAGTAGTAGTAGTAGTAGTAGTAGTAGTAGTGGTAGTAGTAGTAGTAGTAGTAGCAGTAGTAGTATTTGTAGTTGTAGTTGTAGTAGTGTAGTGTAGTGCTAGTGGTATTTGTAGTTGTAGCTGTCTATCTATCTGCCTCCATGTTCGAAGGTGACAACATCAAAAAGGCAGCAATTCTGCGCGATTTCCTCAATTTTCGAACTTGACAACGTCAAAATCGAAACAATTCTGCGAGACTTCTTTCGAAGTTGACAGCACCAAAAACGAAGCAATTCTACGAGACGTCCTTCAAAAATGCGAAGTTGAGTGCAAAGCTGCTGGCCTCGTGCCAATGCGTTTTGCGATTTTTCCGCTCCATCTGTCTAAAGTACTGCGCCTGCCATGCAAAAATGAGGCCAGGTTGTACGAAGCGCTGCACCTGTCAAAATCATCTTAGCAAACCTGAAGATCCGATGCTCCAAAATGCAACCTCTCTCATGAAATCAGCGCCCTGACCTCCTAACATCTCTGATGAGCATGTCTCTTGTACCGCCTGCCACGCGAAATGCATCTTTGCAGATCCTCTTCGAATGTCCCACGCCTGCCATCGTTTTTGGAAATGCGACAAAATTTTCACGTTTTGCTCACTTTTGGCAGGGTGCAGAATCCCTTGCGCCTGCCACACCAGGCCACATCCAAACTTCAAAAAGTGCTCCAAGAATGGTGTGCTTTGTACATTTTGACTTCGAAGTGTGCTTCGCACCACAACGGCGTGTACTTTTTCGACATGTCAACTTCCAAAAGTGGTCTGAGAATGGTGTGTTTTCTACATTTTGACTTGGACATGTGCTTCGCACCACAACGGCGTGCACCTTCTCAACATTTCAACTTCCAAAAGTGCTCTGAACCCGTCAGTTTTTAACGCTTTTGACTTCCAAATGTGCTTCGCGCCACAACGGCGTGCACTTTTTCGACATCTGCACATCCACAAGCGCTCCGAGGCTGAGGTGTTTTGTACATTTTGACTTCCAAACGTGCTTCGCGCCACAACGGTGTGCACTTTATTGATATCTCAACTTCCAAAAGTGCTCTCTGAACGTGGTGTGTTCTGTACATTTTGACTTGGAAATGTGCTTCGCGCCACAACGGCGTGCAATTTTTCATCTCTCATCTGGCCAGATTGCTCCGCACCTGCCGCTTTAGCGAGCCTACTTTTTGACCCCCCGGAGCCACAACTCATTGGAAAAACACAGTGTTTCGCGACTTTCCTACCTTTTCGCGCATCTGGATCTTCTTTCTTCTGATGCTTTCTCTTTTGTGATCTTCTTTCTTCTTCTCTTCTCTTCTCTTCACTGACTCTTCCCATCTCTGCTTTTCCATCTGAATCTGTCTATATTGTCGGAAGTTTGAATTCTAAACTTCCTTCGATTATCATCATGCACATAGCTTGCTGCTTCATCCTTATCCAGATTCTGTGACTAGCTGCTGAGCCCATCGATGCATGCGACGACAATGATGAGCATCTCATTCATTCCAAAGTTTTTATGTATATAGGCCTTCTACACTCTAGATTATCTCGGTGCAGTTTGAGTCATCTAGCCCACACCAGCGGGAAGAAGGTACAGTTTCTCTTCTTAAAGTCGATCTGCTGTCAACATGGAGGTAATTCATATACCTACAAAGCCACATATCCACATTCTAGGTTTTTTTGCTCTTGTTTGCTCCGTTGCAAATTGTAACTTGATTGCTTTGGCATCTTGGGCTTTCAAATTTTGAGTTTTTTAAAAAACCAAGGTGCGCAGATGGTGACAAGATCCTGGGCCACAACACCTGCTGCCTAGTGTGGAAGGTCTGGACAAGACAAGACACGCAGCCTGACAATGACGAACTTGCAATGACTTGCAGTGACTTGCAGTGACTTGCAGTGACTTGCAGTGACTTGCAGTGACTTGCAGTGACTCAGCGATCTAGTTTGTTTCGGAATGTTTCATCAATGTGACGGACATATCAGACATGGCCAACTGGTAGTCTCTCACAACAATCCAAGAAAATGAATGAAAAAAAATCATTGCCTTGTGGATCTTGTGGCCGTGCCTTTGCCGCCCAGGCCGAGCTGATCTTGGAATCTGTGCACAAAGACCTGGCTCAGCACTTTCAAACTCCTCCAGTGGCATCTACACAGCTCCTTGGGCCGTGAGGCGAAAGGAACGCCCAAAAACATTTCCTGCAATTAAAACAATTGGAACAAGAATCAGCAAGGATCAGCAACTATCATCAAGAGCGAGAGATAGCAAGGGCAAGGATTGGCCCGATTGTTTTTTCTTTGTGACAACAGCGCTGGCTATGACCAGAGATGGAATGCAGTTTCCATGTCTAAATTCCTCATTACATCAGTTTCATGTTGGAGTGTGCCTTAGTTTACCATACTCTACCACACAATAGCTGAAGACTCCTTGTGTTCATTTCCGAGGTACAGTGATTAGGTAGCCACATATTGACCACATGCATACCATTCCCATGGCAGTGCTATTCATGTCTGCGTGCAATGCCTTTTGAATTAGGCAAGGCTTTCTACTTGTAGCTTCCTGTGCGGTGATACTACCATCTAAGGCTGGAAAGAGCTTGCTATGTGGTAGCTATGGAAAAATGGTCACAGCAGCAGGAGCGACCAATCTGTAAATCGGTTTGTTGGTTTCGACCGTATAGCTATAGCATGCTATAGCCATCTATAGCCTATATATTATATATAGGTTATATATATATATACAGGTATAGTATAGGTATAATATAGCTATAGTCGGTATCCACAGATGTCCACTTAGTCCACTTGAGGCGATGTTGCACATCGTTGCACATGCGTGGAAGGTAACCCTGGTGATCCCTGGTGATCCCTGGTGCTCTTTCATGGCACAGAAAACCATGAAAATCTTCTTCCATGAGCCATAATGAAGAAATCCATGAAAACCATGAAGTCCAAAATGAAATCCAAAATGAAGTCCAAAACCATGAACATACATGAAAATCAAAAGACTAGCCATGACAAGAAATCACTGAAGGGTCTCGTCTCGCCAAGCCTTGATTTTGAGATGGGTAAACCTTGGATGGGTAGTCTCGTAGATGTTTTTTCCCCTTACAACTAGAACTAATATAGACTTTACGGTATGACTTGCCACGCTATGCCACGCTTAAAGCTCGGACCATGGGACGATTGGGTGCTTTTGTTGACCTTTTGCCAGGAGCCTTTTTTCCAATCTGAGCTTCCGCCCCACGAGGAGCCTCGATTCGTCTCGTTTCACACAGAAGTGACCTCTTGGTGCACAGCGGCCACCACGAAAAACATGTGATTCATTCAATATATTCGGTGATTTCGGTGTCATCCTAAGAAAAATTGGCCCGTTGACCTTTGAATGTTTTGAATCTATGGCACGCTTCATTGGGCCCGATTTATCCAACGCGCAGTTTCCGGGGTGAACCATGGTGAAGCATGGTGAACCATGGTGAACAGGATCCAGAGCTACACCTGACTCTGCTCCAAGAGCTGGTGGGAGTGCCCAGAAAGTTGGTGCAAGTGTCAGTGCCAAGCATCACCCTTCACACAGGAGTCCCACAAAAATAGACCACATTTTAGAAGGAACTGAAGCCTTCACGCTTCGGTTTCAACATGCTTCTCAATGTGATCAGATTGATATTAGATTGATCGAGATTCTTTACATTGACTTGAATGTCTCAATGAGTCTCAATGTGTCTCAATCACCTCAGGCGAAGCGTTTGGTTGGCATTGCCTCCTGTCTGCAATCATGTTCGAAAAAGTGCTGACAGGCTTCCAGTTTCCACTTATATTGCAAACTGTTCCCATGGGTTGCACAACAAGTTCATGTTTTTTTCCTGATTTTGCGTCCTTGATCTCCCATCGACTTTGACTGCCATGAATCAGAACAAACTACTAACATCAGCATGTCACAGCATATTACTCACCCATGAATTATTCTGGTCATGATTTCTGTCTCGTCCTCATCATCCTCAACGTCCTCTTCACCTTTTGAGATCTTTTGAGGAACAGCAGGACCGGCAGCGGTGGCGTCAGGGAGGACCCACTTTTGTAGGCGGAGTTCGTTTGCCGCTGGGGGAGGTGGAATTCTGCAACGGAAATTCTGCTCTGGCATAGTTTGGCATAATGGATTCATATTGCTGTATCAGTATAGCGGAGCAGGTCAAACGAGCACTGCCAACCACCTCGATCGCACACAGGTGAAGAATTTGGCAAAGTCTAAAGCTCAGCTTTGTGAAGGGCGACAAAATATGGTGGCTCCGTTTTCAATTTGATTCATATAGATTCACAAACAAATTGGATTGAGCCAACCAATCGGCATTTTCGTTACGAACCATCTCTTATCTTTAATGGGCTCAATCTCTCTAAAGAGATGCTACAGGGATGCAAGCAGATACTTGACACAAGACCTTCAAACGAGTCCACCACAGCTAGCCGGGCAAATTGCTTTCTGGCGACAAATTCCGGTGCCTCCTCTTAGTCCCGTTTGCATGTTTCCATCGTGAGCCAATCACATGAAAAGAGTCGCAGCATTTTGCAATTTTTAATAGTTCACTTTCTTATTTTTTTTTTCTGATGGCTCTTGAAGTCTTGTCATCTCTTGTCTTCTCTTGTTACTTCTTGTTACTTCTTGTTACTTCTTGTTACTTCTTGTTACTTCTTGTTACTTCTTGGCTTGCAGTTCATATACGCCGCGTTGTGAGGCGCAGGCCGTGCCCTCCAGTCCGGTGTCAAAGTACAGCAGCTGGGCCGACGTCTCAGCATCTGTTTGAACATTGTGATGCCATTTGAAAATATTTGAATAAATTACGGCATTCTCAAAGAAATCCCTTTCCAACATATTGCAACGACATATTGCAGGCAGTGTTGCTTTGGAAGTACATGCGCTGTACCATGCTGTACCTGGCAGCTTGTTGTGTGCAAAAGTTGTACAAGTTGCAGTGGGCCAAGCCAGGGCAGGATAACAGAGCTGCAAGAACTCACTCTTTCGCCTATGATGTCAGTGGCTGCATTACCCAATGCCAACATGTTCATCGGGTGGGGCAAAAACAGGTTTAAGATATTTGAAGACTGAATCATTTTTAATTTCAAGAGACTGAAAGTGACTAAATGATATTGAAGAATGGCAAACAATACCAAACAATATTAATATGCAACAATACATTGATGTTCATTGCGGCAAGTTTTCTTCAGCTCCGCGATTCCGTGGCAGGTTGAGAGCATTTCCATGAACGACATGATGCTCCTCGTCGCACCGAAATGGGGTGATGAGCTGTGACATGACATGACCTATGAGACACCATAGAAATTGTAGGCAATGGTGGCAGTGTTGAACAGGGAGATGGTGGAACCCAGAATTCAGTGTTTGATGATCACTTTCTATTAAAATGGCCGGGTATACCACATTTTCAGACACACCCAAATGTGGACAATCTTTAGCAGAGTTGGGGCAAGAGATATGTAGTCTCAGCTTCCACCAGAAGGCACGCATTTGCCCCATCTGAACTCCCAAAGGTTCCGTGCAATCAGATAGATTCCAAACTTTGTCTTGCAAGATATTGAAAGGTTCTGGTCCGGCCATGTTCTCAGGTTCTTAACAAGTCAACACGTTCCTTTGTTTTGCCCTGTTTTGGCACCCGCTATTGTTTTGCTCCATGAATCCGTTCCGAATATTCTGAACACTGAGATACACTGAGGACTCATTCCTTTGAAGAAGTTGCAAGTGCAGCGGCAGACCCTTCCCTGACGCTGCAAGCCTCCTATCAACATGCTTTAGGCATGGCGCAGCCACAAACTCCACATGACCTAAGCTGAAGCTTTTCAGGGCTGGAACGTTCTTAAAACATAGGGAAGAAATACTGAAAAGGATGGAAAAGGACACAAGGATGCAGAATAATTATAGAAAGGTGAAGTTCTATTTTTCCTGCCCTATGACAAGCTTGACTCAAACAATTCGGTGTCGGGTTCAGAGGGTATCTTGGAACCAGATGTCCCGAAGAGCTTTCAGCTTGATGCACTTTGCATATTCAAATCTTTGATCTGGCAGGCTGCCTTCTTGCGCAGCTTGTGGAATTCCTTGAACTTCGTGGGCGCTTGCAGGATACCGCTGTCGAGGTCTCTTGGAGCTCTCTGTATCTTGCTATGTCTGCTGCTATGTCTGCTATTTTGGTAGATTTGGGCAAAATTTGGCTGAGAAAAAAAGCGGCTAGCGATTTTGGATCCACACAACCCGAGCAGAGCTGCTGAAGAATTGATCGCAGAGCTGAGCTTGATGCGATGATGCCGATGCACCAAGATTTCTAGAGATAGGGGAAATTCGTTTTTGCAAATAGGGTTGTGAAATCATTTGCTTCATGTTTTTTCCGATATTTTCCGAGCAACTGTTTGTCACATCCCCATTGTGCTCTATTGTAGATGATTGTTCTGATTGTATACAGTGTATACACGTGACACCCTTTCGCTTGATCACCAGCAAAAATGCGTACTCCGACCCTGGGCAATCCAACAGCTGTATGGTGCTTTCTTCAAATACCGACAATCAAGCAGCCTTCGGAAACCGGGCAACAGGGGAAACCTTGACTGTCCCCGTGTATGCCTTGACTGTCTCTTGCTTTGAATAAAGATTTCACTGGGTTAACTTGTCAGATGATGTCAGATGCACCCTGCAGGTCCAACACCTTCAAAGGGCCCTGAAGGAACAGGCGCTGCAACGGGGTATATATCGTTCAAATTCCTTCAATATATTTATACTATGCATCCCCGTTGAAATTTCCGCTATGAAATGGCTGGCCTCCAGGCCCATATAAGGTCGATTTCTAGGGTCATTTTGTAGGAAATCACCAAGATCCCAGCCATTGTGTAGCATGTACTAATTTGAAGGGCCTCGAGGCCCATTTCGGAGGCCATTTCGTAGGGAGCCTGCTTGCACCTTGCCATATTGTAAGAGTAATAAAATTTAATAAAATAGATGATTACCTATCTGATATCTGTTTACCAGCCTTACGACAGCCTTCTTAATCAGTCAATGAATCAATCAATCGATTCATCAATCGATGTATCATATTTGTATCAATCAACCTATCTATTTGTATCTATCTGTCTACCTAGCAACCCATCAATCAGTTCACCAATCAGTCAATCAATCTATCGATCAGGTTTCTGTCAATCAATCTACTTGCATCTATCAATATATTTAAAGTATCTATCTATCTTCTATCTATCTATCTGGCTATCTATCTGGCTATCTATCTGGCTATCTATCTGGCTATCTATCTACAGCTATCTACAGCTATCTACAGCTATCTACAGCTATCTACAGCTATCTACAGCTATCTACAGCTATCTACAGCTATCTATCTATCTATCTATCTGGCTATCTATCTACAGCTATCTATCTACAGCTATTTATCTACAACTATCTATCTACAGCTATCTATCTATATCAACCTGTTTATATTTGTCAATCTATATATGTATGTGTATCCAGCAATCAATCGATATACCAATCGACCTAAGAATTCATCTATAATTTTATCTACTGTATCTAGCCTGGCATTCATTGCTGGTTTGGGGATGCTGTATAGCAAGACAAGGTCCAAACAGCCCAGAACAGTCCAGCGCGTTCCTGGACTTGTGCAGAGAGCAGCCAGGCAATGGATTTTGGAAGCTCTTTGCTGCCTTTGAGAAACATTTCAGGTAGGGCAACTGTGTGCCAGGTGTGGTTTGATTCTTGAGAACATGCATATTATATCATATTGTAGTCAACTGTGTTTTTTTCATTCTCTTTCGATAGTACCTGAAGCCCTAATAAAATGTACCAGATACTCCAGGTGCTTTGTACAAATCAACGATGGAATCCAAAAGCAACAAGGCACCCTCAAACTCCTACCTTTGCAATTGCTCTACAGGTGTGAATCTGGGGGTGCCTTCAGAAACATGTTTCTTTGCTTCTTGAAGACCAGACTCTGCGACATTCATTGAATGTATTGTTTGGGGTTATTCTTTTGGTGACCAGTTATTTGCTGGCTGCTTTTGATGAACCCAGCAGTACAACTGCATTCACGGGCTTAAATAACTTATTTAAAGAAACTAGACGACGGATGGCCCGAGAGCGTAGAGGAGCAGGGTCTTCTCTTGTTAGTATGGAGATGCAATTTTAGAAACGGTATATGAAAGCTGTGTTATAGGCAGTCGAGAAGAGGAGTATCAAGACAAAATAGTGAGAAGTGCAAGACAATAGTTTGCATCGCAAACACTTTTACACACAGACGCTTTTACACAGACGCTTTTACACACAAAGCTTTTACCCACAGAAGCTTTTACACACAGAAGCTTTTACAGACAGAAGCTTTTACATACAGAAGCTTTTACATACAGAAGCTTTTACACACAGACGCTTCTACACAGACACTTTTACACACAGACACGTTTACACACAGACACTTTTACACACAGACCCTTTTACACACAGGAGCTGCTTTTACACACAAACGCTTGTACACACAAAAGCTTTTACACATAGACGCTTTTACACACAGGCACTTTTACACAGAAACACTGTTACACACAAACACTTTTACACACAGGCGCTTTTACACGCAGACGCTTTTACACACAGAAGCTTCTACACACAAACACTTTTACACACAGACACTTTTACACACAGACGCTTTTACACACAGAGACTTTTACACACAGAGACGCTTTTACACACAGAAGCTTTTACACACAGACGCTTTTACACACAGACGAAAGGGTTGCTCCGGCACAGGAAAAATCGCAATTTTACCTCAGTTTCTACCGATCGACCCTCATTTCGTGCGAAAGGGTTGCTCCGGCACAGGAAAAATCGCAATTTTACCTCAGTTTCTACCGATCGACCCTCATTTCGTGCGAAAGGGTTGCTCCGGGGCAAGTCAAATCGCAATTTTACCTCAGTTTTTGCCGATCGACCCTCATTTCGTGCGAAAGGGTTGCTCCGGGGCAAGTCAAATCGCAATTTTACCTCAGTTTTTGCCGATCGACCCTCATTTCGTGCGAAAGGGTTGCTCCGGCACACGAAAAATCGCAATTTTACCTCAGGTTTTGCCGATCGACCCTCATTTCGTGCGAAAGGGTTGCTCCGGCACACGAAAAATGGCAATTTTACATCAGTTTTTGCCGATCGACCATCATTTCGTGCGAAAGGATTGCTCCGGCACACGAAAAATCGCAATTTTACATCAGTTTTTGCCGATCGACCATCATTTCGTGCGAAAGGGTTGCTCCGGCACACGAAAAATCGCAATTTTACATCAGTTTTTGCCGATCGACCATCATTTCGTGCGAAAGGGTTGCTCCAGGACAAGTCAAATCGCAATTTTACCTCAGTTTTTGCCGATCGACCCTCATTTCGTGCGAAAGGGTTGACGTTTCGTGACTCGCCGCCGGCACCACCCTCGGCCTTAAGAGAGAAAGATAAAAAGAAGGCATGAGAGAGAAGGTGAGCAGGTGTGAAGATAAGAAGATGTGAAGATGAGCAGATGTGAAGATGAGCAGATGTGAACATGAGCAGATGTGAAGATGAGCAGATGTGAAGATGAGCAGATGTGAAGATGAGAAGATGGGAAGGTGTGAAGATGAGCAGATGTGAAGATGAGCAGATGTGAAGATGAGCAGATGTGAAGATGAGCAGATGTGAAGATGAGCAGATGGGAAGATGAGCAGATGTGAAGATGAGCAGATGTGAAGATGAGCAGATGTGAAGATGAGCAGATGTGAAGATGAGCAGATGTGAAGATGAGCAGATGTGAGAGAAGATGTGAAGATGAGCAGATGTGAAGATGAGCAGATGTGAAGATGAGAAGATGTGAAAGAAGGTGTGAAGATGAGCAGATGTGAAGATGAGCAGATGTGAAGATGAGCAGATGTGAAGATGATGTGAAGATGAGATGTGAAGATGAGCAGAGAAGATGAGCAGATGTGAAGATGAGAAGATGTGAAGATGGGAAGGTGTGAAGATGAGCAGATGTGAAGATGAGCAGATGTGAAGATGAGCAGATGTGAAGATGAGCAGATGTGAAGATGAGAAGATGTGAAGATGGGAAGGTGTGAAGATGAGCAGATGTGAAGATGGGAAGGTGTGAAGATGAGCAGATGTGAAGATGAGAGATGTGATGTGAAGATGAGAGATGTGAAGATGTGAAGATGAGAGATGTGAAGATGAGAGGATGTAAAGATGAAAAGATGTGAAGATGAGAGGATGTGAAGATGAGAGGATGTAAAGATGAAAAGATGTGAAGATGAGAGGATGTGAAGATGAGATGTGAAGATGAGAGGATGTGAAGATGAGATGTGAAGATGAGAAGATGTTTTACAGACCCCCACTATTGGAAGAACCCTGCGCTCAGACGCTCTCGGGAACAAAAAACATCGGAGTTATTTGTTGATCACCTGTGGCAAGCCATCAGCCTGTCACTAGGCGAGGATGCCAATGCACTTCGCGGCAATCAGGCACACGATTTGATCCCCCTAAAGAGCGATGGGGATCTGGACTAAATAGCTAGACTCATCTAGACTCAGCTAGACTCATCTAGACTCAGCTAGACTCATCTAGACTCCTGATTTCTTTTGGTGCTTTCTTTTCACATCTTTTCACAATGAACTTGATGGAACAAATATGAACAAATGATTTCTTTTAGATTCCTAGATTTGGTCGGAACTGATTTGCAAACTGTTCTCTCTGCAGTTGACAGCTGCTTTGGTCACCAAGAGCATGGGCAGCTTGCAAGCATCGACCAGCGATGCTTTGCTGACGCCTGGAAAGCAATACGTGTCGTGGGGTTCGCATTGCCTTTCATGACTTCCGGGTAATTGTTTGGCCTGCCACTTTTGGACAAGACTCTCCCCCTCTTACTAGAGTTTCAAAAGGCAGATTCCTATGCCGAGAGGTCGTCTTGAAGCACAACAATCAGCCAATATCAGTTGTTACAGTTGTTACATGCTGTTTCACTTCGAGGCCTGGGATTTGAAGTCCAACCCAACACTCTCCCATGCTTTCCCAGTGCCTTGGTTGTTCCTGGTTTCTTGTTCTCAGGATGCAATGCTCAAGACAGAAGCTTCAAGAAGTGCAGCAGATGTTGCAACACGAACTTGTCGGCACTCTCAGTCTGCAGTGCCCCATCCAGAGAAATGCAGAGCATTGAACAAGTGTGAGCAACCGTGAGCAAATATGAGCAATTCAGATTGCCATTATTGCCATTATTGCCATTTCATTTATGGTGGACGATGTTCCGGCGACGCGAGAGTTCCTTGACAGTGACAGTGACCGTCTTTCCGAGGCCTTTCGATGCTTAGCTCTGGCATGTGTCCAGCAGAATGCACTGCTCCTCGATCCTCAAGTCAGGTGTGGACTGTTCAACGTTCCCTGGTGCATCAACGAATATCAACATGAATCAACAATTGTAACATATTGTAGCAACTTTCTTATTTCCTGTTATTTCACTGTTTCCTCGAAAGTTTGACCATTTAAGACGGTCGATTTGACCCTATTTCATCATATTTCACCAGACATGAACGTCCGACGTCCGATGTATGTCGACGTTCGAATAGAAAGGGGAACCATATGGAACCATGGTGAGCTGTGACGCCAGGTCAAAAGAGCTGAGCGACATCAGTACAATCGGACTTTCACGAGACACACAGCAGCACTTCAGATTTCTCAGATTTCAACAATTTCAATCGCCGTTTCAATATTTACAATATAATTTAGCAATATTGTTAAACAGATTTCAGCCTTTCATTCTTTCCGACATTGCCAGTGCTGCCAGCTTGACTTCTACTTTGATGCTAGCTTCTGAACATGCTAGTGCAATAAAGTGGGGTATATCTAGGGTGCGGATCACTTTGATTTAAGGGTTCTCAACAACGTCTTAAATTTCTGCTCCACATTTCTTCATTTCCCTCTGGGGTCTACCGGTCTGGGGGTTCCCACGGCTAAGGTTTTGCATGGTTTTGCAATGTTGCCTAATTGATATTGGCTTCGGCTTCAGTCTTGTGCTGTTGATGGATGTTGATGGATTGGAATATATTGGAATAGCCTGTTTTACTCTGGACCGCATTTGGCTTCATGATGGCTTCATGCTACTTGTGCCTTTGCAGATCTTTTGGATTTTGGCATAGGACTATGTTTGCACCGTGAGCCCGTAAGGACGCCGTTGCTTCAGATGGTGGATTGGCTGCTCGGTATCACTTCTTCTCCAGTCATGCTCGACATACTCGACATGCTGAGTGTTGGTAGACTCTGACATGAGCTGCGAATGCTGAAGTTAGTGAAGAAGGCACTGAAGGCTTTCAGACAGGGCCAACAAATCCCTATAATTCTATAATTCTGGGTAATTTTGAGAGAGTTTTTGAGAGATGTTGCCAAGGGCGTGATGCGTCGCCTGCGAGACTCTTTAGAGATTTCTGGTCATGACAAGAACCATCCTCATGCCAAACAGCCAGACCAGGACTGGGTGGGTGGAGTCTTCGACCTTGCAGCCATTGCACATGGTTTAGCTGTCCGAGTTCAGTTGATCACAGTTGAAACTTAGTTGAAACCTACAAAGTCACTCCAGGATAGGGAACAGAGCCGGAGGACTTTGTCGATGCCACAGGTCCTGGTAGATTATGGTGAAATTATGGTGAACATTGCCAAATCAATAAAGTTGCTGCTCAAGTGTGGTACCCGCACGTGGCCGGACAGAACTTTCGTTAAATTGGAACGAGTTATAGGATGTTGTAGGAACAAAGGCATCGATAGGAAGTGTTCCTTTTTGTCGTCATCGACGTGAGGTCAGCGGCAAGCATGAAATGCAAAATGCACGGAATCGAATTGAACGAAAGGAATTGGATTGCATGAATTGAATTGAAATAGCATGACATCGAATGAATGAATGAATGAATGAATGAAATGATCTGACATGAACCGACATGAAATCACTTGAAATAAAAGGAAATGGAATGAATGAATGAGTGAGTGAATGAGTGAATGAATTAATGAACCAATGAACGAATGCATGAATTATCACACTGTCACAGTGTTCCCCAAGCTTGTTGTATTTCAACTGTCTACAGTACTGATTTGCTGATGTACGGTTCTATTGATCTACTGCTTGCCAGGAATCATGATTAAACAACGAGGTCCCACAGCAACAATCAAGTCTTAGTCGCCACTGGCCGGCCGCGCTGTGCGGAGAAGCGCTGCATTGTCGTGCTTGTCTTCTTATTTTGCTTCCTTGCTGCTTCGTCATGGGCTACCTACTACGATTAGCTACTATAAAAATCTATAAAACATCAATTATGTCAATGTTCATTTTTGTTTGTAACAGTGTCACTGCGAACCAAAACGGCTGCATGCGCGGCCAACATTTCGCCTGCGTGCTACCACTTCGCCGCTGTCCAATGTTACTGATCTACTGTCCTGTCCTCAAAAGTTTACAACCTCAACTGCCTTTACTATCCTTTACTGCCTCAACTTCCTTTGGCCAAGTCTGTTCTGGAATGAAGTTGTTCTCCTTGGAGCGAGGACGTCCTTGCGAGTGTGTCCAACAGTGCTGAAGTCAGCAAGATGAGTGGAACCGAGGACCGAGTTTCCCGAGTTTCATTTCCAAACTGTGATTGAATAGCAAATGTGTCACGAGATTTTCATCAAGACATTGTATTTTGTCGGCGAGAACAGCCAACCGAGGGCAGCATTTCAGTTGGACCTCATACTACATATACATATATATATATATGTATATATATATACATCATATACTACGTCATTCCGTTCAGCACAAAAAACACGTTGAAACTGTGGAATGCTCCAGGACAAAGGCGCCGCTATTATGGCAGCTCAGCTTCGTCCCGGCGAGTTGAACACAGTCGTAAGACACATTAAGACACAAGGATAGTGGATTAATAGAATGATATTATATGATATTATTGGATTAATGGATGAATAATGTATACAGATGTATACAGATGTATACAGATGTATACAGATGTATGCAGTCTATGTTATACAAATTATACAACATATACAATGTTTTGCTTGTTTCTTGTAGATGTCAAAATTGTCAAACGGTGTCAAGATCCCACCAAAACTACCTCACAATCCTTTGATATTTTTCTTCAGCCACTCGCTTGAAACACTCGCTGTGAAACCGCACAATGACAGACATTGAAGAGGCTTGATATGGCTTGATGGGTGTAGCAGATACAGTGTATCATGGTGTATCATGGTGTATCATGATGTATCGTGCACTGAGGACATGTCACGCTATGCGCAGTATTTGCAGCAGCCAGCAAGGCATCGGAACAAAGGAGACGGATGGAGACGGATGGAGACCGGAAGCGTGTGGTCAATCGCAGCGCTGCCAGCACAGCACACAGCACAGCATAGCATACTGTTGACTGCACTACACTGTCAGTGAACTGTCATTGTCAGATACCTGGAGCCCGTGATTGCGGTCCTCAGCCGCATTTGGGCAGAGATGGATTCCATGCGGGAACATCGACTGCTTCGCTTCAAGCTTCTCAGGCCACAAAATATGAAGGAACGGATTGTTCTCATCATTATTGTACACACATTTAGGAACTACCCCATGATAATGAATTGATTTCATGATCGTGATTTGATTTCACATGACTCAATACACTTTTACTTCTCCTTTCCGATCTATTTTCGGAAAAACCTAAGATATAATATAAAGGCCAAAATCATTCCTCTTGTCCCATTACACAAGAAGGCCCCCACAAACTGTCTCATTCCACTTTATTCACATATTCAGAGGCCAAGAAGAGGTCGCAAGTGTTGCCTGTTTCCCCCACACTATTGGCAGCAAACTGAATTGGAAAGACATGCATGCTCTTAAGTTCTTAAAAATTATTAAACAATCTTAAAACACCTGTTGATTTGCTACGCAAAACTTAGAAAACTCGCCAAACAAAGACACCTTGGTATGGGAAGATGAGAAAGCATGAGAAAGCGAATAGAGGGAGGACGGTGTCGGACAGTTCCGTAGTTTAGCTGCACTTCTGCGCTTTGCGCAGGTGCAGCTCCCTCATGGCTCTCCGTGCCAGTTGTGATCTCGTGACTGGTCTTCAGGTCGGTCAGACATCCAACGAATTGGCCCGTGCCGAAGCTGCAGCGCAGAAGCAGAGAAACTCTGGAGACAAACATGACAAACTCTGCAGAATACATTAAGAATATTTAAGAATATTGAAATACAAAGACCAATTTGCACGGCAGAGACGACAATTTCTGGAAAGACGTCCAGGGACTTTTCACACAACACGTTTCTTTTCCACCTTATTTCTGCTTCTTCATCCTCCGCGACACTTCATGGCACGACACCATTTTTGAAATGAGAAGCCTCAGGTTTCTAAACCCGGACAACTATAAATATTTCGAACAAGAACAAAACGGTTCATCATACTCAACCCGACTCAAACCATTTATCGTAACGTACCGTAGATGGTAACATGTTGTAAGAGAATCTACGATACATGTACAGCCTATACAGATCTGTACAGCCTGTATAGTCTTTTACTGTCTTTCAGCCTGTGCTGTAAGGCCTGGAAGTTGAAGTTTCCTTAGTTTCCTTAGTTTCATTTTCCTTTCCTTCTTCAGGCCTTGCACATGCACCTCCTAGGTATGGCAATGCTGCTGCCAAAATCGCTGACACCCTTTACATATGGAGACCGTGTGAAGCCCCTGGTTGAGCGCGATGGACAGGCGCAACGGCAGAAGTGTAACATGTAACGGTGAGAGATTTCTCGAATCCGCTGTGGTTATTATTTTTTGCTCCAAAAGCACTATGAAAAGCAAATGAAAGCGGGAAGGTTTTAGAAAGATATTTAAGAGCGACGATGGGGCAGAAGAAAATCTTGTGGAAGTGCATCATTCATCAGCCAATAGCTCGTACTGACAAGCGTGTTGTTTGCCTCAGATAGAACAGAGGTGCACAATGGTGCACTGAACTCACTTTATCAATGACATGTTGGGGTTTAATGCGGGTTTTGATGGTTTTGTGAGTTTTGTGACTGCGCCTAGCCGCCTAGCAACACCTTGGAGGTGACGAACATCTTCAGCCTTCCCAACACCTTCGATTCTTTGCAGCTAAGAGCCTTGCCGCCTCGAGAATTCGGCCCACTCGCAGAGATCTTGGCAGACAGGCTTGGCTTGGGAAAGCCACAGAGAACGGAGATGGGAGTTGAAATGTCAGAGAAGGGCATAATCAAGAGCATAGTATAGTCAAGAGCACTTTGAAAGATTCTTACTTCTTACTTGGGTCATCTTGGGTCGAAATGAGATTGAAACAATGAATACCTTTCCAGATGCAGCGGCAAGGTGGATACTCGGCGAAAGCCGGAACGGTAGTAGCTGTAATGTTGAATACTTAAAACGAAGCCAAGCCTCTTTCCAGGTTGTGCAGGTAGAAGCATTCTGTTTTTTTTCCAACAGAAAAAGCCAATAAGAAAAGATCAATCATTGCACGACGCGGCCTCTGGACATGTTTTTTTCTATTCCACACTTGCACAAATACGTTTGCATTCTGAAGGTTTGAAAGGTAAATGGGCTTTGTGTATTATATAAAATAAAGTATAACAGTATAACTGATAAGAAATCATAGATTAAATATAAGATAAATATAGATTATATTGTATGAAATTGTATGATAGATTATTCTGATTTTTTTCTCAATTATTCTTGTGTATTCTGATGGTTCCAGGGCGTCTGAGTTGTTCTGTGTGGTCAGGGCCATTGAAAAGACAGAAGAATCGACCTTCGAGGCCTTGCATCGACTTGCAACGCTGATGATCGAAGTTCAGTTGAACGTTAGAAAAATATTGAAGCATAAATAGTGAATATGTTAAGTATATAGTTTTATATTGGTATATATCAAAGTTATCAAAGTCTTGTTTTCTTGGGAAAGAAACTGAGTTGTGACTGCGATTCAATACATCTTTCTCTCAGTGGTCTACTTTGGTCTGAGAAAATCGTTTGACCGGTTTTCTCATGGTCTCCTCATAGCAGAGATTCCATCGGGAGAGGGAGAGAGGGAAGAGTCCGGGAAGAGTCGCGAAGAGGGGGAAGATGAGTGAAGCGCAGAGACAGCAGTGGTAGAGCCTTGTCGAGTTGCTCGAGTTGCTCGAGTTGCTCGAGTTGCTCGAGTTGCAGGAAGAGCTGAAGGAGCACTTAGATTTGAACATCAACGGTCCCTTGGATTTGAACGCTCGCATAGAGCTTGCCTCATTTTTAACAGCAGCAAAAATCATCAAACATCTACTCGAGAGGTTGATTTGACGTTCTCCAGGATGTTGGCTGATCTCATAGTGAGATCTAAAGATGTAAAAGATCATGAACGACTATCGTTACTACTTGAAAGCAGATTCATGTCGCTACTACTGCAACTGCAACTGCAGTAAAGTGCAGTAAAGTGAGGTCCGGCCATAGTGGCATTGCAAGTACTGAACGCCGTTGCACAGCTCTTTGCCTTGCGCTATGCGATTTGCATGCTGGAGGCAGATCCAGTGACTTGGATTCGTTGCTTTCGTTATTGATCTCGTTGTGCATTTGCCAGTCGTTGCCAGTCGTTGCCAGTCGTTGCCAGTCGTTGTGGTGGGATCAATGTGCATTGAAATTCAATGACATGTCACAGCCATTCATAGCATTCATAACCATTTGATTCATGATGAGGTCTCCATTCAGAACTTGGGAATTTGCAACAAGATAGGTTTTCTGCTGAGTCACGGTACAGTAGCTTTTTTTGGCACAACGACTGCAAACATGCATAATATCATGATATATCACAATGCTTTGAACATCTTTGAACATCTTGGAACCTTCCTGACCCACGGTGTGGACGGAGAGGGAGAATGACGGAGAATGACGCAGATGCGGCGACGCTGAGCTGAGGTGTGCCTCCTGGAAGCACAGAGGAACCGCTTTCCCTCCATCGACCTTGAGCAGCTCTTCCGTGCACATGCACACAGCGTCCAGGACGACACAGAACACAGAACTCAGAACTCAGACTCCATCAGATTCCAAATATTCCAATGGGAGCTCTGAGTTATTGCTCTCAGATTGCACCATCATTTGCTTTCGGCTTTCAACATCTTTCAGGCTCAGATCCTGTCTTCCAAACAAGTCCAAGTGGATTTCCCGACGACTTAGTCAACCCATTAATTCCTGTCCCGTTGGAATCCGAACTCAAGCATGCTGACAGATCTGACAGACACTGACAGACACTGACAGACACCGACAGGAGCGAAGCGGCGATCCTGTGGAGCAATCCAAAAGTGCGATGCCCTGTGCAGAGTTTGTGCCGAGTTTTCAGGATAGTCGTCTGTTGAGCAATACGCGAAATTGAAGTCTGTTCGCGCTTGAAATCTATAGCTGAAGATGCAAAAGAGAGTGACATGCGGTGCAAAAGAGGAGATCCCCTGGTGACAAAAAGAATTGAAAAGCATCATAGCATAGCAGCAGCATAGCAGAAGACAAAACCACATCTCTATGTTTCTGCTAAAATTTACGACTGAGGCAAGCCAGTCTTGAGCAGTGAGGAGGAGACCGGACCGAGGGTATTTCAAAACTCTGAAGCCGAGCCGAACGTGTCAGCTGAAAAATGAATAAACACATATGAAATAAAATGAATAAATAAACATATGAGGTAAACATGAGGTATGTCGGGATATGTGACACTTCAATTCACCTGTGCACAGAATTGACCGCACGTTTTCCTCGCAGGAGGAAATTGACACAGGCGATCTAAGCCGTGCAGGGCCTGCATATGAAGCCATTGAGGACAGTGCAGTGGAAGTTCTTCCAGCAGGAAGCAGGTGTCCAAAAGAAGCACGATAAGGCTACGAAACATTCTGGATGATGGCAGTCTTGGTGCAAGATGCATAGCACTCTCTCAAGATTTAAATATATTCAAAGCGATGTGACAAAATTTGCTGGTATAAAATGCTTGAACAACATCGAGTAACCACGGACACAAAGACAATACAAACCGCAGCAAACCGCAATCCCTGGGCAGGACCTTTGTGCTGACATCGCTCGCCTGGTTGCACGACTACACGCCCTTGGTCCGGAGAATTGTCGAAAGTCCACCAAGGCCAAGTCCGAGTCCATCTGAGTCCAGAGTCAAGTGTGGGTCGTCACAGTTGAAAGATGTGGATGTTGAAAGAATTCGTATGCTACAAGAGGCTTCGGCTAGAAAGGCTGCTTGCATATCATTACTGTACGTATCGTTGTACACTATCATGGTTGTTTTCGAAATCAACGGTTCTGATATGTCATGCAGTGCCTTGCCAATGTGCTGATTGCTTCTTTGATCTGCATCTTGCATCGTTTTGCACCATCTTGCACCTTGTAAACTTTCACATACTTTCACTATATGTCACCAGAATTCAACATACATTTCACATCATTTCACACACTTCATAGAATTCATGCATTTTGAACACATTTCACCTATTTTCACCTCATGTTTCAACATGCGGTAATTCACTGGGTCCAGGTCTTGGAGGTGCTGCAGACGGAAATCCGAAGTGCACAGCGATGTCTGGCAGCGGTGCTGCGAAGGAGCACGCAGAGGTTGCAAGAGTTTGATCCCGAGAAATCAAAGTCCCAACCGGTCTGGTCCTAACCTCAAAACATGTCAAAACATGTCAAAACAGGGTAAAAGATGTAAAAGATTCTTTGCAAATGATAGAGTAATTAGAGTTAGAATCACATGTCAAATATATACTGAACCTGGCCTTGAGAAAGAGGTCAGTCACTTAATTTCACGCGTCATGGTCACATCATGGTCATACAGCTCCGACTTCTTCCATCGTGGAACGGGAGCTTTGCTAAGGCGCGGTGAGGCCAACGAGGCAAGGATCAGGGGCAAGGTGGGAAGGTCAAGGAAGGTCAAGGAAGGTCAAGATGATCGAATCTTCAGCCGGTCGATATGGTCCTTTTTTTCAAAACATAGTAGACATAGGCAGATTTGATCAGATTTGTAGGTTCATGCAAGTTCTGCCAGATTGTGCAAGTGTCGCTTGCTTCGCTGAGAACATTAAATGATATACACATGATACATGATAATAACATCATGCCTTATAACAATTTATAACATCTTTCATTTGATTTTCTTGGAAGCTTTGGCTCAACAAGTGGTCCACCTGCCAACCGCCCAGGCGTATGCATTGCGTCAGTGGAGCAGTGGGGGCCCCGAGGATAGGGATGATATGTGGTCAGGTGATGGTCAGATGGTCAAAGGTAATCAAAGGTAGCCTAGGCTACCTAAGTCTTAACCTAAGTACTATTCGAAGGAAGTTTAGAAGTCAAACTTCCGACAATATGGACAGATGAAAGCAGATACGGGAAGAGTAAGAGAAGAGAAGAGAAGAGAAGAGGAGAGGAGAGGAGAGGAGAGGAGAAGAGAAGAGAAGAAGAAAGAGAATCAAAGAAGAGACAGTCAGAAGAAAGAAGATCCAGGTGCCCGAAAAGGTAGGAAAGTCGCGAAACACTGTGTTTTTCCAATGATTTGTGGCTCCGGAGGGTCGAAAAGTAGGCGCGCTAAAGCGGCGGGTGCGGAGCAATCTGGCCAGATGAGAGATGAAAAATTGCACGCCGTTGTGGCGCGAAGCACATGTCGAAGTCAAAATGCATAAAGCGCACCAACGTATACCAACGTCGAACCACTTTTGGAAACTGACATGTCGAAAAAGTGCACGCCGATGTGGTGCGAAGCACATTTCAAAGTCAAAAGTGTATAAAAATGTTAAAAATGACGGTCACGGAGCACTTTTGGAAGTTGACATGTCGAGATAGTGCACGCCGTTGTGGCGCGAAGCACATTTCCAAGTCAAAATGTTTAATACACACCATCCTCAGACCACTTTTGGAAGTTGACATGTCGAAATAGTGCACGTTGTGGCGCTAAGCACATTTCAAAGTCAAAAGTGTTAAAAACTGACGGTCACGGAACACTTTGGAAGTTGACGTGTCGAAATAGTGCACGCCGTTGTGGCGCGAAGAACATTTCCAAGTCAACATGTAGAAAGCACACCATGTTCGGACCACTTTTCGAAGTTGATATGTCGAAATAGTGCTCGCCGTTGTGGCGCGAAGCACATTTCAAAGTCAAAAGCGTATAAAAATGTTAAAAATGACGGTCACGGAGCACTTTTGGAAGTTGACATGTCAAAATAGTGCACGCCGTCGTGGCACGAAGCACATTTGGAAGTCAAGAGTGAAAAAGCTGAGGGGTACGGAGCACTTTTGGACGTTCGGATGCCGTGTTGCGTGGCAGGCACAAGGGATTCTGCACCCTGTCAAAAGTGAGCAAAACGTGAGGGTTTTGTGGCCGTTTCAAAAATGATGGCAGGCCTGGAGCATTTGAAGACGATCTGCAAAGATGTATTTCGCGTGGCAGGCGCAGTGCAAGAGACATGTTCATCAGAGATGTTAGGAGGTCAGGGCGCTGATTTCATGAGAGGGGTCGCATTTTGCAGCATCAGATCTTCAGGTTTGCGAAGATGATTTTGCGTGACAAGTGCAGCGCTTTGTATGACTTGGCATCACTTTTTCGTAGCAGGCGCAATACTTTAGACAGATGGAGTGGAAAAATCGCAAAACGCATTGGTACGAGGCCGTCAGCTCCGCATTGATCTTTCCATTTTTGAAGGAAGTTTTGCAGAATTCTTTCGTTTTTGACGTTGTCAAGTTCCAAAATTGACGAAGTCTCGCAGAATTGCTTCGTTTTTGACGTTGTTAAGTTCAAAAATTGAGGAAGTCTCGCAGAATTGCTTCGTTTTTGATGTTGTCAGCTTGAAAAACTGAGGAAGTCTCGCAGAATAGCTTCATTTTCAAGCTTGCAGATAGACAGATAGATCGCTAGACAACTACAACTACAATTACCACTACCATACACTACACTACTACTACAACTACAAATACAACATACTACACTACATTACACTACACTAATTGCACTACACTACACCAATAATATCTAATTACACCGCGCTACACTACACTAATTACACTCAGCACACTAGTTACACTGATCACACAACAACAATTACACCAATTACACTGCACTACACAGCGGTAACAACAACAACAACAACAACACAAACAACCACAACGACGACGACTACGACTACGACTACTACGACTACTACGACTACTACTACTACTGCTACTACTACTACTACTACGACGACGACGACGACTGCTACAACAACAACAACAACACTACTACTGCTACTGCTACTGCTACTACTACTACTACTACTACTACTGCCACAACCACCACCACTACTACTACTACTGCCGCCACGCCACCGCCACCGCCACCGCCAACGCACCACCACCACCCCCACCACCACCGCCACCGCCACCGCCACCGCACCGCCACCGCCACGCCACCGCCACCGCCACCACGCCACCACCGCCACCATCACCGCACCACCACCGCCACCACCACGCCACCACCACCACCACCACCACACGACGACCACCACGCAGCCGCCGCCGCCCACCGCCACCACCACCACCACCACCACCACCACCACCACAGCTACAACTACAATTGCAACTACACTTCATTATGCTATACTAATTACACTGCAGTACACTAGAACCACCACTACAAGTACAACCACAACTGCAACTACAACTACAACTACCATTACATTACACTACATTACACTAGACTACACTACACTACACTACACTAATTACACTAGACTACAACTACAACTACACTACTTTACACTACACCACACTAGGCTACACTACGCTATACCACACTACAGTGCACATCACTACGGTACACCACACTAGACTACACTAATTACACCACACCACAGCCACAACTACAGCTGCAACTACACCTACACTACACTAATTACACTACACTACAACTACAGCTCCATTACGCTACAACTACAACCGCACTACACCACGCTACATCCAGCAGTTGTGCTGAGGTGACCATTGCAACCACTGCAGCCACTCCACAAAACACAGCTCCAACCACCTTTCGGTCCATCAGTGGATTCGCTCTGCCATCCGTGATTCACAACAACCAACCTCTCCTATAGGTTTCCTATTTTTGAAACTTCCGCCACGGCCTTGCGCAGTACTAGTAGCACTATTTAGACCTTTTTCGCACTTATAATGTCTTGGGTGAGGCGTTTGGTTCTTTCCTGGAAGTTTGGTGCTCTATGAAAGGAATTAAGGCTTGGGCCCTCCCACCCTATCGATTCCCCCCTGATCCGTGTGAGCAACGCTCACATCCGTAGCAAAAACATGTTTGGAAAAAGATGCGGTTTTTCTTTCCCCAGGCAAATGTTGGGTCTTGTGCGGGGAGGAACAAAATTTGGAAAAATGGTTCCGGGTTTGAAAAACCATCCGCAACCCTCCACTTGAGCTTGTGAAAGAACAGAATGAAACATGAAATTCAGTGATCATGGAATGTACATCAACAAGAATGTTGGTGCGTTCAGGTTCCGATGCATCTTTGAAAAAACATATGACGCATATGACATGTGCACAGTACATATGACAATGTGCAGTGAACTGATGTCATTCCATAAATTGCCAAAAATCACACTTTGTTGTATGCATTGGTTAGTGCGGTCAAACATAGTTGTTTTGCTTGCCACGCATTCGTTCCATTTAGACGTGACTCACATGAAACCGCTTGCAAAGATTGCGCGTGATGTGCGTTTCTTGTCAGTGCCAGCAGCACTTCTCTAAACTCCTACTCAACTCCGACCCAAGAACTTTGAACTCCATTCGGCCTCTGTCCTATCAATACATGAATATGAATATCTATAATATGTAACATGCATATTTAGGATTTTATACGTGCGTCTCCATTTCCATGTGCAGTGTGAACATTTCTCTCTCTCTCTCTTTCTCTCTCTCTCTCTATAGACGGCATTTGTCTCAACACCTACCTTTCATTCTCCCCTCAAGTTGGACTCGAAAGACTGGACGGCTGGACATATTGCAAAACACAACAATACACGTCCAAGTTGCAAATCTCTAAGTCTAAAGACATTAAAGACTTGAGATCTTGATAAAATTTTATAGATATTTTGGGAATGTTTGAGATGTATGCCTCTTCCCTGGGGAGGCTTAAGGCTGCATCTCTTGGTCGCTGTTTTCACCGACCTATTCAGTTTGGAAATGTCATAGATTCAATGTGAATAGGTCGAGTAGTAGAACCGTCGTGCCAGATTCTAAGAGCCAAAGTGGCCGGAAAGTGGCCGGCTTGTAGTGGCTGGCCTCAAATAACAATCAGGCGACCAGATTAAAATCCTACATCAGTGCCCCGCAGACTCTACATTACTCCGTTGCTCTCTTTTGATTCTTCTGTTGGCTAAATATGTAGAGAGTGTAGAGAGTGTAAAGTACATATAGAGTACATTCAAGATCATTCAAGTAAAGTCAAAGCTGTGCTTCGAACCATGGCGATGCGTGGCACAGCCCAAGGTCTTTTGGAAGAAACGAATTCGCTTCCGCCTGGTGATCCACCAAGGCACAGACCGCCACAACCTTGTTTCACTCCGTTCTAATGCCTTTCCAATGCCTTTCTCATGCCTTAAATGCTGAAACCAAAGATCCAAAAGGAATAGGGGACCAAGAACGTCGACGTATGTTGCCAGTTTTTCTTATGTTTTGCTGGCTCTTGATTTGAGACAGAAGATGTTCTCCGCGTGTCTTCGATGAGGCCATGGTTCTTAGAGTTGTCTCCAACTACTCAAGGGTGGGAGTCCTCAGTTTCAAAGACAGCTGCGCCGGTTGGTTGATCATTATATATTCAATTATATTCAATTATCATTAAGTTCAACAACAATTCTCACAGGTTTGGGGTGAGTTGTAACCTGGCCGGCCATTGGACTGGTGACTCGTCAACTTGCAATCCTCAAGTACAGCCCTGTGCAAAATGCAACAATTTGTAACTCCAATGAAACTCGCAACTGAATCCACGGTCCGTGAGGATCGCCTCAGATTCATCTCAGAAAGGGCATAGGAAATTGTGACGGAGCGCCTGATGCGTTCATGTTTTGAACTGTGAAAACGTGTATAAAGTTATGGCTTAACGTAGAATCAATGAAACTCGCTCGAAAACAGCTCAGGGGCAGGAAACCACAGAACAAATCTTTTGTGGTCACTGAATGCAGAATTTCCGAGCCCGCGTTTTGACATGTTTTGACAAGCAGACTGACTCCTCAGATATTTTCTTGGGCAGGAACCAAAGATTGAACTGTTGCATTTTTTCACTGGTCCCTGCTTTCAATGTGTCTTGGACTTCCAGAAACTGAATTGCAGTAGTCCGGTAGTGGTCGAATCTGGTGATGTGAATCTTTTCATCACATGTGTTCAAAATTATTCCAGACTGTTCTGCCACGTTCCGTCCAAGCTAGGTCTTTGCCAGCGGTAGAGCCGTGCTCCAAGGTGCTTTGCGCTCACGTGTTGGTGAAACACATCGTTTTCTCACACCTTTGCCAGTAAATTTAATGTTTGATAGATGTTGTAAAAGATGGCGACTCGCTCATCTACGTGCTAGCCAAGATGATTAAGAACAGTGGTGGCCAGTTTGGGACACTGCAGTAAGCGCTCTTGTATGTAACATGATCAAAGTCAAGAGTGACAGTTCCAAACATGCAGACTTTAGCCTACATGGCAATAAAGTTTTCGGTGCACAGCAAGACTGTAAACCAATCTCAATCGCCGAAGGAATCGGGAAGGAGTGATTTACATTTCCCAATCTTCAGATCATTTAAGTGATGAGTGAAGACTTGCTGCTCTACCAATCTCTACCGAGACCGGGGGGCACAACCCTGTAGGGATCCTGGGAGCTTCGAGTTTTGGATCGGAGACCGCTCTTTGCGCTGGTTCATCACTTTTCATCATTTTTCCATACTGTAAAGCAAGGAGGTGGCGTCTTTTCCCTTACCCCCCTTCGCTGTGTCTGCATTCAGTCTTCGAAATCCTTGCTTTTACCATTCAAGGAAGAATCGACCTTAGTGTTTGGTGCGCGCTTCCATGACATTCTAAACTTGCTTGAAGCACACTAGACCGATCTTGGTTTATGATGTGCAACATTGAAGCAAAGGTTGGAGGTCCAGAACAGTAGAAGTGCAACAAGCAACCACGCTCACAGGCCCAGGTTGGCACCAACTTTTGTTGATGTCTAGTGGTTGACTGGCTACAGACAGGTTACATTATGTTACATTGCCAGGCTTTCTGGTATTGAGCATTATTGAGTTGAAGAGAGGCAGTTTGCCGCTTGGACTTTGGCAGGATCTCCGAGCTCTCTAGCTGGATAAACTGATAAATCTAGCGAACCTCTGTCTAGAACTACAAGGAGGCTTCCTTTTAGTTTCCTTTCTTTTTTTGGATCGCGCCTATTCACTTTTGTCCCTCTTGGCCATCATTCAATGCGGTCTTCATTGCGCGCACTAAACCCAAGATGCCAAGAATCCCTCGGAAACTCCCGTGGAAATCTGTGGATTTTGGACAGGAGTCGAAGAAGATCCAGGAGAGCCAGGACACTTTGCCTGTTCACAGAGGCAAAATGAAAAATGTGAGCATCTTGGCATTGATAGATATGGCCATATGGAAAGTATTGAAAGCAGGTGAGTCAGATCAAGTCAGATTCACTTCGCACGTGTTCACTCCATGTTGAACTTGAGCTTGAAAGAATGCCATGGACATCGTTTCCGACACTAAGCCTGAGCTGTTCTATTTTCTCTTTGGAGAACGAGAAGCAGCGTTTTCTTTTTTCACGCTGTTTATGCCGGATTTGCATCTTGCAAAGCAGCAACCTTGCAAAGTGCTGTTGTGACAGATTGTAGGTTGGAGAAGTTCAGTGCAAATGTATCGGAGACGGTTTCTTCTACGGGCCGACTTTCAAAGGCAGCAAGGTTTCCAGTTTTGTTTGCTTGTGATGCTCCAACCAATGCTAGGAGCCTTGCTGGAATCAGCAAATCCATTTGCACAAAGCCACCATTCCAGCTATTGCGCGCCTGGAAGCCTAATGAAGCTATATGAAGCCTACATTGTTTGGTTCACTTCTTTTTTTCACTTTTTTCCCGTTCATTCACCCAGCCATCCAGCCAATTCCAACCGTCTGTCCATCGAGTTGTAGATATTTGTGCGGGTTATGTGCCAGCTCAGTGTCGTGACAGGTGTGACTTGCATTCAGGCACCCTTTGACATTTCTTACGAGATATTACACATATGACAACAATCCTCCACTTGTGAAATACCAACTTGGATCCTACTGGATCCTTTTTGCCAGCCGAGGTTTGCATGAAGATGCTCTGAGCTACATTTCACACCTGCACCCAAGCCTTGTGGATTGGAGACAAGAACTCCCAGATTTGGCACGGACCTCTGCGATCTGCGATCTGCGATCTGAACATTGTGGCGCTTTGGCGCTTTGAATCCGAGGTTGTTGCCATGCAGAGCCATTTTGTGGGAGCTGCATTTCCAAAGAAGTTTGGAGCTCAGATTTTTAGGGTTCAAAAGCCATGGGTGACGGATGGTGACGACATATTTTCCGGAAAGAACGTGTTCAAACTTAAGCATGATATCAATGATATCCATGTAGTATGTATACACACCGTATACATACGTACTGTATATAATTATATATATATATGGCTCCATGCTCGTTTTGGGGAACCTCGAAAATGAAGCTTTTGGAAAGTAACATCCTTTTAAGATGAGGCAGTGCTATTTTTTCTCTACCAAGGTGCTGTGACATTTCAAAGTAGTGGCTTTCTGGGCAAAGTGTTTGGATGTGCGTGGTATTCCATGGAGAAATTGCTGGATGGATCTAAGGGCACACCTTCTTAAGAGAATAGGCTCTCCATTTCAAAGTGTTGGGGGGTTGTCAAAGAGTTCGGTATTCCATGGAGCTGCTGGGTTACCAAGACGGCAATATTGTTTTGCTAAAGGAAACTGCTGTCCTAGGGGCAAGACTTCTTTAGAGAAGAGGTGTTCCATTTCAAAGTGATGGTTTTCTGGCCAAAGAGCAAAACTTTTCTAGAGGAGAGGCTCCTCCATTTCAAAGTATCGGTTTTCTGGGCAAAGTGTTTGGATGTGCCTCAAACCCGAACTCCCGTAATACCGTAAGAAATTTCCAACTCCACATTCCTCAAAATCTCCGGTGTGCCCCTACGACCATCCAGAACTTTCCCCATGGAAAGCCAAACCTCTTTGACCATTTGACAAGAAAACCAAAACTTTTAAATAGAATTTTGGAAAAAAAGTGCCTAAATGAGTTCCCCGTGAAGAGCGTGTAACCATATATGTATATATATATACATACATTACATTACATTACACTACACTACACTACACTACACTACATTACATTACATTACATTACATTACATACATACACACATACACACATACACACATAGACACACACACACAGACACACACACACACATACACACACACATACACACATACATGTACATGTACATACATGTACATGTACATGTACATACACATGTACATACACATTCATATTAGCACTCACATTTACAGGGTTTCACAAGCCATTTGCACTGTTTCACGTGTCTGGATCTGTTGTTTGCGTTGGACCCGCGCAAGGAGGCGGGCCTCACCGCGTATTGTGCGACTTCCTTGGCAAATGCCTGGAGCCTGTGGAAGATTCGTGGAAGATTCATATGTTTGCCAACTTGGTATTTAGAAGAATCATATATAGAAATAACAAAGATAGTAAAGATAGCAAAGATAGCAGTTTATGTAAATAGTTTGGTCACGCAGCTTGGTAGTTTCAGTCGTTTCAGTCGTTTCAGTTGAGCAATTTGTGCCGCATGGGCAAGACATGTTTTTGAAATGTACTAAGCTCCAGCGGACAACCTGATGCTGACAGTTCAGATATGTTTAGATGATCACCCTGGGAGCTTTAAGGGACTGAGAGTCTTGAGGTAAACACAGTTCTTTCATAATCAAGACTGTTTAACGACCGTTGATCAATTTCGGCACCTAGCAAAGTTGGATTTTTTTAAGATGTTTATTTTGCTAAGTATTGACTATAAGTTGTTTCATTTTCCTTTGAAAGGGTGCCAGCCAGCAGGCCTGTCTGCCTCCAGCCAAGGCCTGTCTTGCCATCATCGCGACTATTGCGACTTCCCTTGAGTCTCAACAGCGCCCGCAGGCCTCTCTTGGCGCTTAGCATGCTTGGCCCTGCTTGGCACTTCACCTCTTTTTCTTTGTCAAATCTTGAATCGCGGAAAACGTGTCCAATGAATTCTTGGTGCCCGTTTTCTGCGTCGAAAAAGTCTCGATACCAGGTCTTTGGATGTCTTTGGGATCTGTGCAGTATGGCGTCGGAATTTCATATTGCAGGCAACAACTATCCCGTGCTCGCTCAGACTTGGCCGAGCGGTGTCAGGCTTCCGGCTTAGCGAAATGTGCCAAAACAAGATTCTTCGGAAAACAACTTTGAGCAGAAAATTAGTGGACTGTGCAGCTTCGGCATGTGTGGCTGCATCCCATCACTTCTCAGCAAAAATCAAGCCATGGCATGTGTCAATCAACTCTTTGAGATCTTTGAGACACAAGTGACACAAGGCTGGTGCAGTTGCTGTGTCAACTCCCAAGAAGTTCTCTGACACATGTGACACATCCACCAGCCGTATCGCGTTGGTACCCCCTTGATCATTTGCTCGTGGCTCACGTAAAAGTCATGCTACCCAAGGCACGTTTCATGGACATGAGCTACATATTCGTACATGCCATATCAGAACGGCTGTCATACATCTGACTCTCACATTACTTCAGCAAATGTGGAAACCACATATAGTTACACATATAGATATGACATGCAAAGGACTTAAAAGCAACTAAGATATTTTTTGAATATTGTTTGAATATTTTTTGTTTTCCCTGATTTTGAAATGGCAATGTCTCGCCCGCCTTCTCGGCCAAAGACTGCCCCTGCCAATGTGAACGCGCATTCCTTTCGAGACCGCGATAAGAAGAAAGAGAGGCTTTTCGTGGTGTTGCGGTATATGGGATCAAAGTTGGAGAGCAAGGCAAAAGAATGCAAAAGGGGATAGACAGAAACGAGCAAGGAGGGAGGAGAGGAAAGTATGGAGGACAGATCGAAGGAAAGAAAAAACACTTTTCAGAGGCAAATGTCTTACGCTGGACCAGGATTGAATTGGAGATGTTGGATTCTTTGTTGATTCGAATTGCTTGGGATCCAAGACACAGCGCTTGACACCAGCTTCTGAAGGACAAGTCATGGTAACTTCAGGATACTCTTGATGTCCGTAGATGTTGGACATGTCTTGCTTTCTTTTGCTGCAATGTGAAACAGCGTTGTGAATATGTGCGGCAGTCGACACAGTCCACAGTCAGTAAAAACGGCCTCTCAAAGACGTTGGAGCTAAACACGAGCAGTTGGAACTGGTAGGACATAAGAAAATCAATGAACATGAAGTGTGAAGGATTCCGAGCACTGGCACAACCCATCAGAACATCACAAAAACATTTGCCAGAACACTAATCTAAGATCACAACATGCTTGGGCGGAGGCAAATCTCCTCACGCGAATTTGGAGTGCACTATGAGACAGAGAAGGAACGAGTGCAACGGCATGAGGCCATCCTGCGTCAAAGGCTTCTTATACCATGACAGATACGACCGCATGACCATCGTCCAAGTTGTGCAAAGTCCTAGAACAGCTGAGATGACAGATGGAAGACTTATAAAGACTTTTGAAATTTGAATAAATTTGACTAATTGCCAATGCTACGCAAGCAGAGCCCGGGCAAGCCGGCTGGCGAAGTTTCCATGGGGGTAGGAATCCGATAGAACCTGGTTCCCCAACCATTCGTTTGCGTCAAATTTCTTGGCATCTTTTTCTCTTGGAAACTTGTTCCCTTCTCTTCCCTCTCTTGACAACCCTTTCCATTGACATCGCTTTCCCTTGGCATGTTTTTTCTTCTTTGGCATCTCTTTTTCTTCACCACTTTCTCTAGACACCTCTTTCTCTTATCCAATTTTCCCTTGACATCTCTTGACATCTCTTTCTTTTGTCATTTCCTGGGCTTGACAACTTTCTCCCCTCAAGACCCCTTCTCTCAGCTCTTCTTTATTCTCAAGGTTTCTATATATTCTCTAGTCTTCCCAGCTCCCTTCTCTTTTCCATGTTCCGTATTTTCTAGTCTTCTCTATCTTCTGTACTCTCCTCCTCTCTATTCTCAAGGTTTCTCTATTTCTCTAATATAGTCTTCTCTGCTCTCTTTTGTTCTGCACTTCTCTCTTTAAAGTCTCTTTGACGACATTGTACTGTGCTCATTAATTCTAATGAGACTCTCATCACTCTCATCACATTTCCAAGCTTCAATGCTCACCTGTCTCCTGATGCTTCACAGGCTGAAAATCACGGCAACATGCTCTCGCGCGACCCATGGCCGCCCAATCAACATGCACCTTTGCATTTGACACCACGAGATACTCGCAGCAACACCCGTTTGCGAACGCGAGATTCGAGGTGCCCTATCTTTGCAACGAGGTTTTTGCATATTGAATGTATTGATAACAATCGTAATCTGAATAAATTTGAACAAACTTTGATCAATTTTATATACTGTAATTTGATTATATTGGTCTTGACTCTCATTCAGTATTACTAGGATTCAATAGGTCATTGCGCTTACCGTGGCCTTGTCTTTGATATCCTGTGAATTTGTTGCTTGAAATTCTATGTGCCTTACATTGCCTTACATTTAGCACAGCAAAGTCAGCCCGTGCTTACCGCTTTGTTGGGGATTTGCCTGTCTCTGAGTTTCCCAAGGCCCAAGCCGATCATTGACACCATCGGTGAATGTTTGGTGAGCGAAATTCGTCTGCCCTACTCGCCCGGATATCCAGAGCTACGTGAGAAACCAAAGATGGTCCCTGGAGCTCCGCAGACAGAATTCTGTCGACTGAAACAAGGTGCATATTTGAGGCTTTGACGCAGTTGGAGGTCAAGCGCATCACAGGCACATCACAAGCACATCAAGTACAGGAAATCAAGCGATGTACCATGATTTTCATATGATTTTCCATGATTTACCCTGTGTGTAAACACAAGTGCTGACCTCCGAACACATTTGCTCTAGCTAACCATGCTTTTATCCTTACTCTGGGATGCAGAAGTTCAGAAGTTCAATCTTTGGCCCTCGAGAACTATGCCAAAAGCATCCAGTACATCATAGTGTACGGCCCCTGGTTTGGGATTCAGAGACCAATTAACTACAATTCAAACACTCAAAGCAGCAAGGATTCCTGAAACTTGCTTCATGCGATCCAGCTGCAAAAAAGTAATTGGTTCAGAGAAATACACGATGCGGTTCAGCAACAACAGCCGGTTTCAGAAACTAATCTCTGCAATTTAGAAGCAACATGTCTGATGTTCAGACTGGATTCTGGAAACAAGAGCATCAACAAGTGAAGTAAAATTAATCGACTTGAAGATTGCACGAGCCAGCAAAGAAAACCTGCTATTCAAAGCCTTCGACCACTGAGACTTTGGCCTCTCTAGCAGAGGGGGCTCATATGACTCATATCCCATTCAATTGACATCTAGGGAACTGATGGACAGATCCTGAAGAATTGGTACTCACGAAAGCTAGCTTCGGCTAGCTGAAGTCCCTCTTGCTTTAGCAAGACTTTAGCAAGGTATTGGGGGGGGGCTGGAATCTCCAATCGCATAAAACTTCATACTTAACTACCCCCCCTTCCCCCCCAACGGCTGGCTGGTTCACAACCAGTTTGGCCGCGGCTCAATCCCCCCCACAAACACCGTAACAGCGTGTCGCCACCGGTAGCACATTCGGCGCATCCTCAGCATCATTGTGTTTTCATGCCAAGCTCCCTGCCAGAACAAGTCAGGTGGAAAGCACGGTACAGCAATGCTGACATTGTTGGTATCAGCAAGAGTTTTAGTAGCTTCCAAATAATGTCCTTTTGCTGGTTGATTGTAGAAACTTATTGCTTGCCCACTTCCCTTAGTTTCCAGATAATGTTTTTCTATTGTCCAAATTTAAGAATCATGAAGTTTTCTGGACTAGAATCCAGATTGGTGTCTACATATGCGTGCCCTGTAAATTTCAGCTTTTAATCATTTTTAATCTATCCGTGTGTTTTAGGTCTGTTTCACTGCTTAGTTTTCTGGAGAATTCCACTTACCAAATAAGGGCGTAGGTCCGGAGTCCCAAAGGCTGTGTTTCGTGGTGGAAAATGGCTAACCAAAATTGAACAATGGGAAAACGAATCTTTGATAGTCTTTGTTTCTTTGAAATCTGCGACATGCCGCTTCTAGGCTGGGGCTATTGCCATGCTGACTTGCAGGTAATTATGTCACCAAGCGTCCTAGGTGATATTTGAGGAGGTGAGGATCTTTGTTGGAGCCCACAAGTCCTCTCCATGCCCCGTTGATAAACAGAATTTGAAAGTGAAACGTTTTTTTTTTTTTTAAGGGGATTGCTCTCTCACTCTCTCTCTCTCTCGCTCTCCCTCTCCCTCTCCCTCTCCCTCTCCCCCTCACACACGCACACACACACACGCATCCACATAGACTCGCAAGACAATACCTCTGCTGCATGCGAGGGTGAAAGTTTTTGACATGTTGCATTATTTTGTGTCAGGTTTTGTCAGAATTCTTTTTTGCCTAACGTAGATACGTCGATCATATTGGATCAGTTTGGACTTAGGAAGTCGCCTGCCCCGATCTACATTCAAGAGCCATGGTCAGACCGAGCATACGCACAGTGCTGGGGAAAGATTCGATAGGACTTGATGCTGCATACTGCGTAGGATGCTGCCCAAAGAGTATTGCCCCAGCAAAGTCGTAGCTCTTGTTTTCTCATAGCTTGCTAAACATGAATGCTCCTTTCACTCGGAAAACTGTTTTTGCCAGCGCTGTTTCTCCATTGTGACTGGGCAAGACTTGCGGCAGTTGCGTTACATAGATAATTTTGAAGAACCCGTTCGTGCCACATGTCTCACTGCCGGATAAAGATTGAACCATATCATGTGCGGAGCACATGCTTGGCTAGATCCTTTCTGAAGCATGGACAAAGCAGGGGCTTCAGGTTGCAGCAGAGATTTCTGTGGTTCGAATCTCAACATTTCGTATATTCAGTCAGCAAACAACGCTTCTGGTTAGGGTGAATTTGATGATGTTTGTACAGCAGAATGACCGCCGTAGTGGTGGCGCATGCATTGATGGATGAATCTGCTGAAATTGGTAGATTCACAACCTGACATGTGGATAAAAAATGATAAGAAGGTGTTTGATGTGTTTGGCAGCTGCTTTGGGGTTGGTATTCTTTGTGGAAATCAGTCAGCGCTGGCATGTCTTAGGCGCTGCATTGGATCTATGGGATTGAGCAAGACAGCAATTATGCGGATGCCTCGGGTTTTGGAGTCAACCAATCGCGACCGTCAGAGAGAGAGAGAGTGTCTGACCCGGTCTGATGTCTGAAGTAGAGTACCCAGAGCCTCATTTCCCCTTGGACACTTTTGATTGCCAAATCCTATTTCGGTGAAGGCATTCGTTCACGTTCACCCCTTCTTCCCACTTTTAAGGCTGTCCACTGAGGCGGCTTATGCAGAATCCGAAATGTTTGGACTGATGCTGCTGCGGGATAGATTGCAGGAAGTGACTTGGCAAAGAAAGCGTCACGGAAACGGAAAGGCATCAGGGCTTTCAGTCAAAGCATGACGTGGAAAGCGGGAGCTTGTCAGGTTTATGTCGGATGTTGGGAGGTAACCCAACCTTAAACGAATAGTTTCGTAATGTAATCAAATTAAAACATGTACATAGTACATACAACAATATTATATGTGACAGGAGAAAGGCTGCCTTGTTCCAACATTTTGGCGTGGCTCCCTCTGTACTTCAGCTGGCTCTGCTGCCAAGCCAAGTTCTAAAAAAATAGAAATGCTTCAAGAATCACAAGAATATATATACATATCTATATCTTATATATATATATACGTGTATCTTATATAATATACAGGTATAATTTAATATATAATACAGTATATAATGTATATATATTATAATATAATCATAAATAATATAATATATATATATATAATAAATATAATATATATAATATAATATAATACAATATAATATAATATAATGTAATATAATATAATATGATATAATATAATATATTATATATATAGTAATACATATATATATATATAATAATCATAATTATATATATATATAATATTTTTTAATAGTATATATAATATAACAATATATATAGTATTTAATAATATAATAAAATATATCATAATATAATATTATATATTAAAATATAATATATTAAAATATAATACAATATATTATGATATAATATAATCTATTATGATACAATATAATACAATATAATATGATTTAATATAATATAATATAATATGATACAATATAATATAATATAATATAATATGATTTAATCTAATATAATATGATATAATATAAAATATTGAATACAATATTATATATATAATATATATAATATATATAATATAATATAATATGATATAATCTAATATTATATATTATAATTTATAATATATATGATAATATATATTATTTAATATATAATAAAATGTAATATATAATAAAATATTTTTAATATAATATGTAATATAATAAATCATATAATCTATAATATAAAATATAATATAATATATAATATAATATATAATATAAGATATATTTTAATATATCATAGAAAATAATTTATAAAATTAAATACAATATATAATATATATAATATAATATATAAAATAATATTTAATATAATATAATATATAATATAATGTATAATATAATATACAAAATAATTTCATATATAATATATAATTCATAATACAATATATATTTTAATGTATTATAATATATATATATTTAATATTTATTTTAGTATATATAATACAATATATATTATAATATATTATAATATATATAATACACTATATATTAAACTATAATATATATAATACAATATATATAATATTATATATACCATATATAATATAATATATAATATATTATATAATATATATAATATATAATATATAGTATATAATATATAATATACAATATAAAATATATTATATATAATATATTATATGTAGTATATATAATATAATATATAATATATGTAATATAATATATATATATATAATATGTAATATAATATATATATATACAACTTATTTGCGAATTATCCAGGAATCACTGCATCACACTCCATCTGACTGCCCTTTGTTTGTGCTTTTGTGCTCTGCCAGGTGCTTGGTGCAGGACACTTGGGGATTCTTGTCTCACAAATGGCAAGTTAGTTCGGTTATATTGAGAGTATTTGAGCGTTGCAAGATTTGAAAACGGCAATTTTTTCCGGTTGCTGCTTCGGTCGGGATTATGCAATTGCAAATACATTTCTTGGCTTCAACCACTTGGGCTGCAGAGTGTGCCGCCAAACGAGCAACTCAAAAGCACAGCTCGAATCGTGCGAATCACTCGAATCAGTCCCATTCCGAGTCAGTCTTTTCAACATTTTTTCAACATCTTTTCAACATCTTTTCAACAAGGTTTCGTAAGATTTCGTAAGGCCTTGAGGTCATCGCAACACTTTTGCTGTATATTTTTCAGCCCATCCGTTCCATGTCGATTCTCTACCGTGACACTTTGCACAATTCTGATGAGAACCGCACAACTCCACTTCCACTGCTTCCACTGACCCAGCCAGTTGGGAACAGACATGTCAGTGTAACAAACTGGACTTAATCAGCTTGGTCCTCTTCAACATGTTCCATTCATTTATATACATGTTGATTCACTTGTATTCATATCGATATATTCAAATTATTTCATGAGTGTTCACAAAATTCATCTATTCGTATGTATTATATACATAATGCATCATAATGCATATATTGGTTTCATTTGTATGCATTTTGCCTCAGTTGTATGCATGCGTAATCAGCTGTATGTGCATGTAATCAGTTGTCTTCGTTTGTCTTCATTTGCATTTATTTGTATGTGTTAAATGTGCCTTCGCAAGCATTCAGTTGCAGTCATTTGTATTCATTTGTAGTCAAATGTATTCATTTATTTCCTATGTATGCAATCGCTTTGTGGAAGCGAAGTTGCATATCTCCGAGGTGGACGAAGTTGCCATCAGATGCAGAGGGCCTGGTGTGGCATCTCAGGAATGGAAATAGACATGCTAACATCAGTCCAGGACCTCTGCAAATCATAGAATTCCTGCTGTTTGTCCCCTAAAAAACCACACGAGTTTGATATTGAACTATACTCATCTACAGTACATAATATTATCATTTTCTTTGCAAATGTAAGGCTGCAGTTTTTTGCAGATGCTCTGCATGAAATATCATGAAATAACTCTCAGAGGCCCTGCTTCATGCGGAGCTTGCTGCAACGATCCCAAAGGAGGAGCTGTGGCGTCATGGGCTCACTGTAATTCGTTTCGAAAGCGGCATACGGCAGCCATTGCAGCCATTGACTCCGCTCCGCGTACTGCGTAATGTCAACAGGGCACTCTACCGTTCATTGTAGCCTTTGTAGCAATACTTTGGAACCATTCTTTGTAGCGATTCTTTTTTTCTATAGTTTTGTTGGACCTTTGTCCGCTCTTCGACACTTTCTTTGAAGGAGCCTGCAGAGCCGATTGAGATCTCAGGCGCTTTGGAGTTAGAGCCCAATGCTGTCAGCCAGAGACCCAGGGCTCCTAACCCCAACAAATCTTCGATGTCTCGCGAGCAGATCTGAGCAGATCCAAGCAGTTTCTCCTTGAAAACCACTGGTGTCCCATGTCCACTATCTCGGAATTGATAGGCAGGAGCCAACAGCGGTTTGTTTATTCTAACCTGAAGTTCTATGTGAAGTGATGGGGATAATCTTGAACATGTTCTTCTAGTAGACGGTATACGGTACTACAGTAGTATAGAGTATACGCGTCAAGGACAATGGTGTTAACATGCATGTACGATGAACATGCCCTGCCATCCCTGCGCAATATTGCATGTCAGAATGATGCATGATGCTCACTTTGCACTACATTTGCACAGAAAACAAAGCATGATAGATAGCGAGACACCTAATATATAATTATATATATATACACACATGTAACACACACACACATGTATACATATATATATATATGTATATATATATATGTATATATATATATGTAATGTTCATGTCATTGTATATGTGTATACACACACACACACACACACACATGTATACATATATATATATGTATATATATATATATATGTATATATATATATGTAATGTTCATGTCATTGTATATGTGTATACGAGACGTATATCTGAAGCTGGACCTGCCCTCCAGTCCGCCACTCGGTAATTATTCAGAATCCCTCATGTCCAACAGGCTGGCCATCTCTGGTCCGGTGACATCTGGTGACTGCTCTGAGGAAGTGAAATAGCTGCGATACGGAAGCAGTTGGCTGCTCTGGTGCCAGCGTTCCTTGGTGTGGAGCCATCGGGGTGGCCGAAAATTGCGCTGGCAAGATCTGGCAAACACAAAAAGCAAACACAAAAACTGCTATAAAAACCTGCTCGAACTGGCTCTGAAAAAACTTTGAGGGCCGGTTTATGCGTGAGTCTTACCTCCCATTGTCTCGCACGTTCTCTGTCGTAATTTCTGGTCTCTAGGTGTCGTATGGTGTCGTATGTCCAGCTCTCCATGGTGCGCTTCTTCAAGGTTGTCCATTGCTTTTCCGCGCTGAGGTCAGCGCAACTGATTTGGTCCACAGCAACGGAACGCTTGAGCTCAGACCTTGTTGCTTACGACATCTCCATTGGGTGGCTACTGGTGGCTTTATATTCTTTACATGGTCTTCTCATGTTTCCTCATTTGTCATTTGTTACACCTATTTTTTTTCCATATACACGCCAGACATTCCTGAGAGGAATTCAAATCAGTTGGAGCAGCAGTGCGGCCATTTTGTTCTCCTAACAGCTTAACAAATCTTTGAGGCGAGGAGTTCTCTGCGCTGGTTGCCTTGCAGTTCCGCTTGCAGGAAGTAGGGAGGGAAAGTGTCGAAATTTGTCAAGTCGAAAGTTGTATTTTTTTGAAACTGCTTGAACATTGTGAAACAGCCGTGTGATGAGCTCGTTGTTTGTAGATCGACTGAGTTCACAGACTTGTTCCAGCATGACCCGATATGATCTGCCTGTAGTATGCGTTCATTTTTTTGCCCATTGTATGTATATATTATAATATACAGATATTATACTATATATAGAAATATTATATATTGTATATTAAATATTATGAATTTTATATTATACATTAAATATTATATATATATATTATTTGACATTATACATTATATAGTATATAAGTATATATTATATTTTATACTACATTTTATTATATATTTGTATTATTATATGTAATGCGAAAGTGGATCACAGACCAACATCTTACCAAGAAAGGACATGAAGAAATGATGAGAAAAGAATCCATTTGTCAGCCAAAATCACTTCAAGAAAGTGAAATGTAGCCGCAATGCAGCCAATACTGGGCATGTATTGGCTTTGGAACTGTGGGGCAAGAGGGGCAAGAGCCAACTGGATAGACTGGTCATTTGGGTCGTGTGGGTCATTTGTCCAGTTCTGACAGTAAGTCCAAGTCTTTGCGCAGACAAACGGCATCAAACGACACATTTTCATTTTTTTCAAATGCACCGATGCACCGAACATTGCAGTCGGTCAGCTCCTCCAACGTGACACGAACTGCCCCAGTGCCTTGGAATCGAATGGGGTGCTGTACTGATTTACCATGATTGTCATGAGTTACATTGATTTACCGATCCGTACTGGTTATATTGTAATGTTTAAAGGCTTACGCCTGGCAGCAGGGCGGCGGCCAAGCAACGACGTTTGGCTGATGGTGTGGGAAGATTGGGCCAAGATTCTCCGCGCAAACCCAGGGAGGGCATAATGCACAGTGCTTGCCTGTATGGAAGCCGTCTGGGCCTATGTTGAGCGCAGGTTGTGCCCATATTGGGCCAAGTTGGGCCCATGTTGCGCTATGTTGGGCCCATGTTGGGCCTATGTTGGGCCCTTGTTGGCCTATGTTGGGCCCCATGTTGGCCTATGTTGAGCCCTCTTGGGAGCTATGTTGGGGCCATGTTTGGGCCATCTATGTTGAAACGATCTTAAGATGGCAATTTTTCCGCCCCGGGCCCCCTCCTGGAGCCCAAAACATCCCAAAACCGCGTAAACGCCGAGGTTTTTCAACATCGCCAAGATGAAATTCCTTGCCGCCGAAGGGCCCGAAACACCGTAAAAAACGATGTTTTTTTAACACCGCAAGCAAAACACACGGTAAATTACAGTGACTTCAGTTGACCGGGAGTGGTCTGGGGGTGGGTCGGCGGCAGGGGGCGCAGCGCCTATAACCTTCCATTACCACCGAAGGCCTCCGGCAAGCGCCGGCAAGGACACCGGCTCCGCGGCCGGCGCCCGGATTTAAAGGCTTACGCCTGACAGCCGGGCGCCGGCCAAGCAACGACGTTTGGCGGATGGTGCGGGAAGATTGGGCCGAGATTCTCCGCGCAAACCCAGGGAAATTGTTTAGGTGAACCCTCAGGTTTCCAAAGGAAATCTGACTTGGTATCAGGATGTTCGCACTTGTGTTCACTGTGGGTTGGAAAAATGCAGCATAGGTGGTGCAAGGGCCGTCAGTTGTTGCAGCTCTCCTGGCAGGAGTTTGGTATCAAACATATTAGGGGATAAGAAGTTGGCTTTCAGATACTCTCATGGATTTTTTGGTTGGCGGGTTGTATTATGTACAAAGCTGGAAGGTCTACAGAGCCTATATTGTTTAGCTGCGCCTCAAAGCACTGAACTGAATTTTCCAGGTAGAAGTATGAAATGCCTTTTGTATTTGTAGTCACTATTTTGTGTGCCTGGCTGGCTTTCTGTGTATAACCTCTGAGATAGCTTGAGCTTGAAAAGGATAGTGTGGAAACTTGTGGGGCTTATGGGCCAGAAGGAAGAGGTCAGAAAATTCCGAAGCCTGAGGGGGAGTCCAAGATGCAAATTGTGTTTGTTCTGAGTGACATTGTGGCCCAAAGATGCATCCCAGCATGATGCGTGCGGGGCCGCGAAAGGCTTGCCTTCCGTGCCGGCACAAAATGCACGAGACCTACCATGCGGGCTTAAAATGCATGAGGTCCACCGTGGGGACTGTAAATGCACGAGGTGCTGAAAAGCATTTAGCGGGCTTGTCCCGTGCCCGAGAGGGCTGTCCTCCGCAAGGAGGATGTATTGTCAGATCTGACTGCGTTGTTGTTGTTGTTGTTGTTGTTGTTGTTGTTGTTGTTGTTGTTGTTGTTGTTGTTGTTGTTGTGGTTGTGGAGGACAGCCCCATCAGGCACGGGACTGGTCTGCAAAGTGCTATGAAGCGCCTCGTGCATTTAAAGTCGGCACGGTGGATCTCATGCATTTTAAGCCTACATGGCAGGTCTCGTGGATGTTGTGCCAGAGCAGTAGGTACGTCTTTCCCGCTCTTCACGCATCCTCTTGCTGGGAATGTCGTCGTCGTCGTCGTGGTTGTTGTTGTTGTTGTCGTTGTTGTTGTTGTTGTTGTTGTTGTTGTTGTTGTTGTGGTCGTCGTCGTCATCGTCGTCGTCGTCGTCGTGGTTGTTGTGGTTGTTGTGGGTGTTGTGGTTGTTGTATGTTGTTGTCATTGCTCAAGACGGCCGGGCAGCATTTGCAGACATTGACATTGATGTAAAGGCCGCTTGCAGGCAAAAAAGTAAGGCTGCGTAGCCCGCTGCAAAACAAAGTGCTGGCGAGCAACCTGCCGCTGCGAGTGTAACCAGCAGTCCAGCATCGCGAAAATCCGTGCAATCGCGGATCCAGAATTTAGATGAATTTAGGATGTCACATGCCAGGAGCTGGGATAAGATGCTCCGACTCCATCTCCATCTCCATTTCATGTCTCCCAGTGCTGACAAGTTGATTTTAGGACTGCGAGTCACTGTAAGTCACTGTAGGTTGTGGGTAGTATGGCACCTGAGTCAGAAAGTAATTGTTCAAAATTCAGGATGAAGTTTTCGAAGCAGGGTCTCTCCCTAGCACCTTCTTGGTCCTTCTTATCTCTCGTAGCACCTTCTGTGTAGCCGGTGGTTTGGGACGTTTTCGTGACGGCATCCTTCAATTTTTCTGCTTATTGTTGTGAAAGTTGTGAACATAGATCCGGCAGTTATTTATGGAAACCAAACCAACTCTTGGTCCTTTCCTTGATTTCCTTTGAGGTTCCTGAGATCGTTTCAAGCATGTCCCGCAAAAACGAAGATGCCCTGATCTCAGCTGATTTTGGCCCCCACTGAGTTGCAACAATTCTGAAACGATAATCGACATGGAAGATGCTCGCATAGAATAGAAATCTCAATACAATACAGAAATCTAAATACATTATGTGTATACAGTGTAATTTTATATAAATTATATATTATTATATCATAACTCATAATATTATATCAATATCTAGATCGATGCTAAATCAATACTAGATCACAACGGTTGTGACGGCATTCACTGCTGATTTTGCCGTGCTCAGTGAGTGTAGCTGGTTGTTGGGTGCAGTTTTTTCATGCCACATGTGTTTCACTGTTTTTATTTTTTGGCCCCTGTGATAAAGTGTGTGCGTGGGCGCGTGTGACTCCCTGATGTGCATTTGACCTGAAGAGGTGGCATTGCTGACGGGAGGACCATTCGCAGCAAAGCTTGATGGTCTGCAGCCGCCACAACCCCAATCTCTCTGCCAGCTCTGCCAGGAACGACAAGATTTTTTCTTGCATCAAGCATCATGAAGCATCATGAAGCATCATGAAGGAAGCTGCTTTGCTACTTTCCTGTGATCTAAAGTCTGAAAATTCCCAAGTGTCACTGAGGGTCGCGGAACTGCTCACCAAGAGCACTTTTGTGCGGATGGATAACAATCCGGATGGTGAAGCTGCACATGTGCTGAAAGAATTGCAGATCAATGCTGGGGGTCTCGGCTCGGTACGGCCTTGCCGAACCAGAAAGAAACATGAAAGATGAAAAAAATGATCGAAGTGCTTCAGAAGCTCTGAAAATGGAGTCAAATTTGCTGAGAGTCAGAGGGAGTCCATGTCAAGACCTCAACGAAGAGTGTGGCCACCAAACCGAATCTAAATGTGTTTGGGTGCATCGGTGCATGTTGATATTTGCTTCGAAGGAGCGGGTGCAATAGTTCAGCAGCTTAGCGAGTTGACCGGCCCAGCGCATCACACACGGTTTTATCATTGTTTTATCTACTCTTCTATGAGCGAACTGCACGTGTCCTTAGAAACATGTCGCGCAGTTTCTTGTTTTCTCTGTTGCCTCATGCCAAGCGCAATTGAAATTCGCAAAGTGATTACAACTGGACACTTTCCCAGGAAACCGCACAGAGGTCATGAGAGCACCTGAGAGCGCCTGAGAGCGCCTGAGAGTACTGTTAGCCAAATTGAGCCGTGAGAACTTTGGATCAGGTATAGTCACAGGAGAGTTCACAGCGTGACTCTTGAGAACCTCTGCCACGAGCCATACACAAGATCATACAAGATCATGCAAGTTCCTTGCTTGAAGCGACGCCCCAATGTAACAAAAAAATCAGCAACAACATCCAACATGACTACAACATGATTGCGTATGGCGACACAGCACGGCTCTTCTGCTCTTTTGTGCGTACTCTTTTTGGCGTTTATTGCTTTGCGTCAGAAGTAAAGAGCAGATGTAAGTTGAAGTATTCCTGAGACGCTCGCAGTGAAAGGTTTAATAATTGAGCTGGCCAAGGGTTGGAATGAGTCCAACTCGCACTATGTCACTATGTCCACTAAGTTTCGAGAGCTCAGGTCTTTTTCTGTGCAGGGTTGACATCCTGCGTTTCTGATTCCCGTTTTGGAGTTGTGCATTGTGCGCGGTATTGCGCTGTATTGTGCTGCATTGTGCCCAGCTCGGATTTGAGGCCTGCTTGGAAGACTTGGTCTTTGGTCTGTGGTTCGGATTCCCAGTCGAAACATTCTTTGAGGTTGTGTTCAAGAGTGACAAGAGTTGCTGTTTTGATGTGTATAACGTGTGTATTTTGGAGCGAGTTGATTCCAAGTTTGTATTTTGGATGCGTGACGTTTGGATCATGTGCCCTTTGTGAGACATCGCTGGTGCGGAGCTGCGTTCGAGCTGTGTTTTTCGCTGTCACTACGCAATTTTGACATCATTTACACTATCCGTGTAATATCTTCTAATTCACTAATGATTGTCACAATGCTTGATGTTCCCGTCTGATGCATGTCAAGGTGAGTGCAAGGGACCTATCTCTTGCTGTGTCAGATGTATTTTTTCCTCTAAGGACTGCATGTCAAGTAAAGCAGCTATGCACATTTCGTTTTGAATACGAACGTAAGATATACAGCATGCTTTGAACCTCCACGAGTGCCTTTTCTAGAAATTCAAGTGTGTGGAGGATGGAAGATTGACAGGGCTTGCTGGAGCCAGCATGACGTACACGGAGTTGAATATGTTCCAAGACAATGTCCTCACAGTGCTTTCTAATGTACCATTGGGCAAGTGGAATGTGAGTGAAATTCAATATGTATGCCTTTGCCAAAAATCGCATGTGTTTGCATGTGTTTGTTTTTTTCACTCCTTTGATGGGCTTGTTTTAGAGTGCCTTGTAAGATCTTGTAAGTATTCTTGTTCATTTTTAGGATGTGTTCCTTTTTTCACCACTCTTGATAGTCTTCGTGAAGTGCGAAGACCACGATGGACCTGTGTGTAAAATTTGCATGTGTTTTTCTCTGCATCTTTTCGTTTTAATGTCATGTGAGTCATGTTGTATCTCCTTGCTGCCTTTCTTTTCATTCCGATTAGTGTACATCTGATTTTCCAGGCCATGCCAGTCTGAGGTCTTGGGGACGCTTGATGTCAAAGAACCGTGAACGGCGCACCCAAGAGATCTTAGGCCGGGGGATGCCGGGGGCAAGGCAAACACACGAATTCCAGTAGTTGCACTGTTGTCAGCTCGCAAGTGAACAAAAAGACAGTGAAGTCGATTGAGAACAAACCGTTTTGTTCTCTGCTTGTTTATTTTGGTGTTGATTTAAATGCAGATAAACACGCACGAAATGGCTTATTGAAAGCATACCTGCTTCAACAGAACAACAATGTGCCAAGGAACCACAAACATGATCAAACATGTACATATATGTAGCAGGTTTGGCAGGCAGAATTCTGCCTTTTCCACCCAGGACGCAATCAATCTATGATAAATTCTGATACTTGTCTTTGCGATCGCCCTACAATAATACTCCCGTCGCCGGCGACGAATGGCCGTCAACAATCCACAAGAATTCAATTTCAATTATCTTCCGATCGTTTTTTAATGTGTTTTACATGTTCTGCGAGTTGGGAATGTTGGGCAACTGTTGGGCTTCGCAGGCTTTTTGGATCATCTACGCAATGCCGTGGCCTCAGGGCCTCAATGGGCCTCGTGACCTCGTGCGCCTCTGGGACAAAACAGGAAAGCGAAACGACCGAAACGACCGAAACGACCAAACGATCTGAAGCAATTAGAACAAAACCAAAGATGATATGTGTGTATATAATCGTATCTGTGTATGATTATATATATATATATATCTGTGCATATATATATAATATACCTATATGCTTTCTGTGGCTATAGAACTCATTATCGACCAGTACCTCACCTCTACCCATTTGATTGTATTCCAAGTAATCTCCTCGCGTGGGCTGCAAGAGGCACCCAATTCAGGTGGTAAACCTGGGAAATTAGTGGCAATCATGGTACATTTGGTCCCCTTGTGGAAACTTCGTTCTTCCGAAGAGACCACAAGAGCCCCAAGAAGCACGGGCCAAATCTCCAAATGTCCCCAATTGCAGGAAAGAGACACGAAGACAGTGCAATCAAAACTATGCCGCAATAACAGGTACCATAGGCCATAGGCCGAAAAGAATTTCTGTTTGTACACTGCCGCCGCGCGCTGTCGGTTTCATGATGTTTCCCAGCGTTCTGAAACAAACAAACAGCATTATTGGTTATTCAAATGTTATTCAGTCATTCAGACTGCAGCCAGACTCACGCCACTGAACGGCTGGGCTACAGGTGTTGAAGTTCAGAGGCGCAGCAGTGGAGGCCAAGTTGCAAGAGACACCATGCGATGAAAAGCATTCCCTTATTTGAAATATATTTAACAGAGTTTCGCTTCGTTTGAGTATTTCACATCCTTAAATATACTTTTTTGTGTGGCAATCTATGGTAGGTGGTCTTGTCATGCAATACCCAAACAATTTGCAGGTGCAAACCATTGACGAAGGCCATGTACTGGTGACTACACCAGAGCTGGACTGGCTGGAGGCGCAAGAGCAGTGTTGAATCATTGGAAGATGTTGGAAGATGTTGAGATTGAGATAGCCTATGATAGCCTGATCCATTCCGCGATTCCGAGAGATCAATGAATCGAACCGTTGTCAGAGAATAAAACAACCCATTCTTGTCCATTCTTGAGGATTTCAGCATGTGTGAACCATTGCCTGACTCCAGCTTTCCAATGCGCACCACAAGAAAGGCGTTTACCGATGACATGCCACACATTGCCACACATTGCCACACATTGCCACACATTGCCACACATTGCCACACTAGTCTTAAATGGTCGCAGAGATGGCAGAGATTGCAGAGGCGACCAAGGAATCAATGAAAGAGAAAAAGGAGTCCATGGAGGCCGAAGGGATCCGAAGGGATCCGAAGGGATGACCTCCGCAGGGGATGGGGATGGGCAATGCGATGCAATGCGAAAAAAGCGTCGACTTCTTTCTATTTCTTTCTTTTGATTTTAATTATTTTTAATTTAGATGGCAGATCTTAGTGCTTAGAGTGCTTAGAGTGCTTAGAGCGAAGCGTAGACCACCTGGGACCAAAGAGATCATGAAATCATTCGGCCATTGGTTTGCCATTTGGTTTCATTTTTCGGGTGAAGGATGGTGAAGGTATTTCGCAGGCATAGGGGCATAGAATTGAATCCCACAGACAAGTGTTATAAAAAGGGACGCCAAGACACAATCCACATGGCAAGTATTCAAGGAATTTCAAGGATGCCATGTTTTTCGTTTGTCACAGTCCTGTTCCGGTATTAGGGCCATGGGCCATGGGCCATGGGCCATGCTCAGTATGGGTATGTGGAGATCTGTGGAGATCTGTGGAGAAACCATGCGATTCTTTGACCTGGCAGGCCCAATTCCGTGCAGACGTGGCTGCCCGCGCTGTAAGGATGGTATTTGAGGCGTCTTTCGTGATGTATTGCACGATGTATTGCACATTATTCATTGATATTTCATTGATCTTCATTGTGTATTTTCAATGTATTGCCCTGAGCATCGATAAGCTGTCCATGGTCTCACCTCGACTCTGAGATCTTGGAGACACAATGCAGGTGGACCGCGTGCATCGCTGCCAACGGAATCTGAAAGCAGCCGCTGGAGAGTTGCAAAGTCGCCTGCAAGGAGAGGTGATGGACCAGGCACTGGCGCCACTTCAGAACATTTCAGAACTGCAATTTTTCCCCATTTTTCTCAATTTTTCCCAATTTGCTTTGCCAAAGGTGCCATGGAATTCGGTCAAATTCATGGCATGCGAATGCACGGATGTCATGATGGACTTGGCACACGGTATTTTGATGTATTTTGGGATAATGAGCCAAGATATTTTGGTATTTTGAGAGCTTGATACAAAAGCTCTTAAAGCTGCCAGGTGCGAAGTACGGTGTCCAACTTTGCTGGAGCCTTGTCTGCTGAGGCCAGGAGTGGTCAAAACCAACCGCAGGATGACCAATGCAAAACGATCGGTATGTAAGACACATTGTATTACAATCATTAGTATGTCATTACAAAATTACTACAGTACTTGGTATTTGCATGATTTTGCATGATTTTGCATGTATTTGCCACATATGCTGTTGATTGCAGTGGTGAATGCTCCTCCACAAGTTCCCCTCTGACGTACTGAAGTTTCCATCTTTTGGCAAATGCACAGAGGTACCAAATCCATTAGCTGCCAAGCTGTGCGTGGTAAACAGTCAAAGGGGTGCGCGCAGAGAAATGACATCCGCAATTGTAACCATATCTTGCAGTTACCACATGTTCCGGCCTGATACTCTCGGCATGGTTTTGTTATGTTATGTTTGTTCTCCCTTTTGAATCTCGGCCATTCCTTCTCCTTGGATGTCGTCAAATTCTTTGTCCTTTGACCTTTCAGCGCATAGGACGGCCGCTTCCGGGAGAGTCATGGCATCAGCGGCGAAGTGTTGCAGCGCCAGTTGCGAGACCTGCGAGAACACGCGTGGGCCGAAGTCCAGGGTGTGGGATACTCGACGCGTGACACTCGGGGTATCTCTGGGTAATCTCTTCTGATTGACGATATCCATGATACCAACTGATACCAATGATACCGTTCCACTCCCATTGCCACTCCCATTGTTCCACTTGACTTTGACCCTGACTTTGACCCTGAGGTCACCTCAGAATTATCAGCTTTGGCAGCAAAGAATCAGGCTGGGCGTCAGCATCGGTCCATGCTTTTGTCAGCACAGTTGCTTCTGCAAGACTGTGAGATTCCGGGGAAAGATTCACGGGGTCAAATAGCTAGCTGATCTGACTGATCTCCTCACCTTTTTCCATCCTTTTCCTGTTTTGCGTGGTTTAGAAGTTTAGCATTGCTTTAGCAAGTTTAGTGCATGGCTTCCAAAGCTTCAATTCCCTGTGCTAAGACGCTGTTCTGGGGTACTGTTTGGAATTACAGTCGAGCCTGGCACTCCACTCAAATCAGAGTGACAAAGCTCGGTGTTGAAAAGTTTTTGCCGTGAATACTTTTTTGGGGGAAGGGCACCAAGAGCACGTAGCAACATACAGTTCTGAGACTCGAGTACGGCCATCCAAGATGGCCTAAGGATGGATAAGGTCAAACTGTCAACTTGTCAAATCATTCGTGTCTTATTTCTGACAGGTAAAGAGGCTTAAAGCGTTTCAGAGTCTTATCATGTGTGATATATTCTCGAGATACTGTGTGATCTATTCTCGAGTCTCTCGAGCAGTTTTTTTTGTTCCTTCGCAACCCGAGGTGGTGCAATTCAAAGCCAGTCAGCCTCGACAGGTGGAAAATAGGAAGGAGATTGGAAGGAAATTGGAAGGAATAAATTCGGAATATCTAACAGAAATTAACAGAATCTAACATGTGGTTGAAGTGTACCAGGTGTACCATGCAAAATCACACGAATCGTGACATTCGTACGAGTTTGGTCGAAGATGGTTGAAGGATCACGGTGAAGATCATCTCTTAACACCCATGAATTGAAGATAACAGTGGATCGAGCTGCCCAATATTGCCCAATAGTAATAAGCTGCGACAAAGAAATGGATCGGCACTAACAACTGCCTGGAGAAGCATAAGAAATTGCCTGCATCTTTGCAACCATTCATTCTCAAAGCAAGTCTACAAATGCTCAGAGTGTTTGAATCTTTGCAGTCCCAGCAGTTCAAGTATTGAATCTTTTCACTTGGAATATTGGCATATTTGGAATAGCAAGCAGCTGGTTTATATATGTTTATATTGGTGTCACATGGAAAACCACGTGTTTGCTGCCTGTCAGGTTCCCGGACTCGAGACACTGCTGCCTGAGAAGGAGAAAGAAATCGGTGGAATCACTGGAGATGGAGAAAGTGCGGCTTCAAAATCCTTCGCTTCAGACGGTCTTGAAATCTTGGATTGTTGATGATATTTGAATCATTTTGAATACATATATATATATATATACATATATATAATATATATATATATACTGTATACATATATATACATATATATATATATACATATATATTTGAAAATATTGGATGATTGTTGCGTGTCTTTCATTGTTTTTCCGAACCCGGATCCAACGGCTGGGTTGGATTCGTTGCAGGATACGGGTGGCATTGATTTCCAGACGCTTGTTGGAGGTCACACACTTAGCACAGCCGACTCCACTGATCCGATCGGCACATTGCGCCCAGTTGCAACTGAGAGTCGCGCGATGTCGCGCTTTTTCGTTTGGTGAATTTTTGTTAAACAACCAAGCTGCTAAGCTAGGAAGATGCAGGATCTCCACTAGCAGTCCATTAGTTTGGGGGTTTGCTTGCCGGTGTGCAGAGATCATACCAGCTTCCTATTGAGAACCTCTATTTGTTTGCCTCAGGATTTAGATCTTGAGACCCTTGAGAAATCTTGAGAAAGCATGATTGGATATATGATGATATATGTGTTTGTATGCGTTTGTGCAAAGTATGCCTTTATGCTTAGTTTGAGGTTAAGACATGCTAGGACAACGCAATTGTATCGAAGATTCTCCAATTATACAATGTTATACATCCTCTTCATTTTTCATATTTCTGCATTTTTCTTCATATTCTATTCACAAGTGTCGCATTCCTTCCGGTCAACACTGTTAACACCTTCGTGGCAGTCTGCCATGCAAGGCATGGAGGAAGAAGAAAACCAAGACGATGGCTTCAGATCGCCCATGAAGCGGTGCACCTCACAGCCGCCATGGGCAGATCAAACTGATGTCAGTTGATGTCAGTTGATGTCAGTTGTATCAGCTATGTACTTCAAGTCACATTCAAATCACATTCAAATCAGTTCAACTCAAAACACAGAGCAAGATATGGATGATGGAGGAGCAAGTTTGAGGTAATCCAATCAGAGATAAGCTACAAAATGTATCAAAATGTTGCAAATCTATTCAAATCTGCACGTTTGGAAGGAAGTCTCAAGGTGGTCGTGTGCTGCTCTCATGCATTTGTCAAATATTCTCAGCATTTCTCAGCGATTTCTGAGGCGGCATTCCCAGAACAATGTGGCACGTCGCAACAGCGAAGTCTACAGCCACGTGAAACCATCAGTTCTCACAGCAACTTGTCAGCGACAAGACCTTGTCAACAGAACGGGGCCAATCTTATGGAGGTCCACTGTAGCACATAATATACATACGATATACACACGATATACATACGATGTCACTGATGATGCAGCTTGATCCACGTTGATACTTTGGCACTGCCGCTCAGGTGAGTGATGGCATGTATGGGAAGCTAGCAGAAGTAGCGAGTCGACGTGAAGTTTACGACCTGCAGATGGAGCTGAAGAATTTAAGGGGTCGTGGGAAGACCCAGACAGGAAGACCAAGACGCGAGCACTTGGGCAGTTTAAAATAGATATAACATAGATATAAAATAGATTAAATGTGAAAGTGGATGCATGAGAAGACTTATTGTGGACTTGAAAAACAAAGAAGAACAGTAGAACTTCAGAATCCACCATCCTTCGCAGCTGCCAGGAAGTTTAGATTGCGTTTCAGATATCAACATCCGGGTCAATATGGGTCACTATGGGTCAATATGGGTCAATGGAAGCCAAGTGGCATGACTATTTCGGCTGCACTTTGACAAATCTGCGTCGAGGTCAGCTCCTCGAGAGGATTTTCCACAGATTCAAATGTGAAGCCATGCGCCAGCACTTCAAGCGGAAGGTGCTAAGATGCGCTAAGTCCACACACTGAAACATCTGAAACGCGTTTCATATCTTTTTGATTCGTTTCGTCTTTTTTTCCCGATTCTATAGTCGGTATAGATGATTCTAGCATATTCTAGCTACTCATCCTCAACTGTTTGACTGATGATTTGGAGCTCATCCATTCAAATTGACTGAACTTTGCATAAGCAGCGAAAGAGCAGCGAAAGAGCAGCGAAAGAGCAGCGAAAGAGCAGCGAAAGAGCAGCGAAAGAGCAGCGAAAGAGCTGGAGTGTCATTTGCTGTCGATTGGAAGCAATCTGCCCAGTGTGATTCAGGGTGGGTTTCCCAAGGAAGGATCCTTCCCGAATCATCAAATCAGGAGTACCATGGAGGACCATACGCATGTTGCGTGACTCTACGCGTTACCTCTTTCGCTGGTTCATTCCGAGTCTTTGCGTCTACTGAGTGGATCCTCGCTGTCTACTGAGTCTGTTTGCCCACCTGTGGAGACACGGACCTACAACGTCTACAAGCCCTTGCGGACACGGACACACGCACACAGCCCACACAGCAACCGCAGTACACAGCACACGATGGGCGATGTTGGGAGTCTGCAGTGATCTGGGTCCAGCTTTGCTGGTCGAAGTACCAGTGCTCAGCACATCTCAGCACCCTGCTCCCAGATTCTCTTTGGATGGGCATTCCCTTGACCTCTCCTTTGATGACAGCCAATGTTTTGCACTTCTGTCTTCAAGTATATATTATGAACTGCTATGGCTCCCCCGAGGTTTAGATACCAATCAGACAATTTGAACATCGGAAAAGAAAATCATTGAATCCTTACTGTGTTAGGTGACAAATCCAAAATTAAGATTACAATTTTGGAGGGAAGGAAACATATTAGGTGCTGAATAAGGTTTGAAAATCAGCAAACGTTGAAAGCTTGTTGAGGAACTAACAAGGAAAACATGCTTTATTATTTGCCTCATATGTTTAAACCAACTTTTTTAGGTAATGAAATGTAATCAACATTGTTAGGTATCTTTTATCATTATTTGATCCATCGCAAGAGTTACAACTTCGGAAGGTTCGTCTTTTGGTACAAAACCTTACTTGTCCAACTATGGAGGACATTTAATGTTGCTTTGCACCACATACTATTTTGCCAACAGTGAAACTTCCATTTATTTTGTTCACCCCTATCGGGCTAAGGGCCAGAAGTGCTCCTCTTGAATACCCCGAATACCATGGAATACCATGGAATACCCATGTACCGTTGTGATCCGTTGTGATCCGTTGTGATCCGTTGTGCATGTCAGACTGTCAGGTGCAAGAGCAAGAGGCGACACTGGAGTCGAACAGTTCACTCTTGGGCCAATTCGCTGAGATTTCACGGGCAGTTGGGAACCTCAGTGATCTCACCCGAAGGTTCAGTATACTCAGTATACTCAATATACATGAGATTCATTAACATATATTAACTATATATATAATATTATATATATATGTATAATATATATATATATGTATATATGAACTATGACAACTATGATGTTAACATATCTTCGGTACTCAGTTCAATTCATCCCAATTCCCCGTTGGTCTTTGGTCTTTACTAAGGAAGACGCCGCCGCCAATGACTTCATAAGAGGCCACTTGTTGACTTTCAGTACAGCTAAAGACATTTCAGACAAATGAGCGAAATGAGCGCAGAAAATCCCACACGTTTCTCGTACTGAAGGCACACCTCGCAGACATTCTGAAATTACAGCGTGAAATTCTGATCGGATTCTTGTCAAGATCAACACACTTGGTGTTTCGAAGGCAACGAGATTCATAGGCTCAGTGCCTTCGCATCAAAACTCGATTGGATTTTAAGACCCTTTTGAAAAGGTACACTTTAGACATCACGATTTGTTGTGGCAATTCCATTCCAACAACCTATTCTTTGGACTGCTTGAGGGGGAGAAAAGTACAATGTTATGATCTCCTTTACCTTGTTGGGAATTCAAACTTGGCAGGTGCACAGGAGGTGTCTGATGCTGAAAAGCGCACAGAGGACGGACAGGGTTGATCGAAAAGTTGGTTACCTCTTTATCTAGCTATATTCTAGCTATTTCCCCCTTGTATCTGGGGCGTTGGGAACAAACACGAAGGATCACGAAGGGCCCATTTCAGAACCAATGAAGGTGGTGCAGGGTGTGCCACTGAAACTGAGGATAAGTCATTCCTGGAAGGGTCCATCAAAGAATTTGAAGAGGGGATAAAAACATAATTACATATCATTACTATAAAGAAATCTAAAGAACATGAAGACAGTGTTGGCTCACGTTTTTTTTTTAAACGTTGGTGCCCTTCGTCCTGTAGAGGTACAATCCTTAGTGGCTTTCACCCAGGAGCTTGGACCCTTGACACAGTCCAACGCGGAGCAGAAGCGACGCTTAGCAAAATGGCCCAATGCTCAGAAGATGTCTCCATGACAGGGGAAACCATCCGCTTCAAACTTTAGACAATAAAACTATGCAAAACAGAACTTGAAACGGACTTGAAACATCTTGAAACTGTGAAATGTGTGTTGGAAGACCATGTCCATGAAAAGAAAAATCATCTACCATGTCATCCACCGCACTTGCATTCCCTCGACATGTGACATGTCCTGCGCCCTTGCCAAACCAAAAAAGTTCTGGCTATGCTTTCATAGATTCATAGGTGGTTTCATGGTTTGTCGCCACAAGCAAAACTCCGTGCATTCGATGTTGATCATTGCAGGCCATCCTGTATAGCTTGCCAGCATTTGCCACAACGTGTTTAGGATTGCATACGCTCCATTGATCTCTTGTTCCGTTACAAGTCTTCATATAGATTATCGCCCTTAAATGTCATTTCCAGCCTGCAAGTCACTTCAACCCTGCAGCGCTCCCAAAGTCGGTAAGCATTTTTGCAGGGACGGCGATGTGAAGAAAACATATCCATGTCTCCGCTTCTCCGCTTCCAGTATAGACAGACATGATTGACAGCGCTGTGCTCTTGGGCAACTCCCTGGAGCAATACAAACAGCACAATGTTTGACGACTTTTGACGCAATGTGCAGATCCAGGGATAAGATTTTCAAAATCACGGTGGGAACAGGAACTTTCTGTAAAAAAATGCTGAGAAAATTGCTTTTCAAGGGAAAGTATACTGTGCCCACTGCACTTTGCAGGTGTCCCTTCATCTCAATTCCCAAAACTCGGCACTTTGGAGCCAAAGTGGCGGATTATGGCTGTGCTGGTTGCAAGATGTTACCAAGGAAGAAGAACAAGAGCAAACAGCTTTACCACATGAAAAAAGGCTGGAGATTGCTGGAAGAAAATTGCGCCACGGTGGATCTCAAGTTCCTGACCATTTTTCCAATGTGGCGCTTTTGGATTTGATAGAATGAGCACACCGAGCCAATCCAAGCCATATCACTGCCTTGACCCTGACATTGGCCACCCCCAGACTTTCGCCCTGAACGGTCAGAGCCTTCCAAATGCACCTCATATGGATTTCACAGATTTTCACAGCTTTTCACAGATTTTCACTGATTTTGAATGATCTGAATGCCGTCAGGTGTGCGTGACCATGAGATGGCAGGGACCATGGATGTCGCCTCGCTACTCCAAGACATCCAGTCGAAGCAGGACTGGGAAATAAAGTCAGAGCTCTCAGATAAAGCCCGGAGATGAACCCTCCATCATTTGGAAAGTTTCATAGATGCCACGGATGTGGGAATTGAAGAACCAAACCGAAAGTGCTTGAAACAGCTTTGAAAGGCACAGCAAGAAGGACACAAACAGGAAATAAAGGAACCTGAAGGCAGCAGAGAGGAACATCTGCTCCTTTCATCTCCTTTCTATGTGTTCTGAACGTTTCGGAACGATTCCAAAAGATTCGGAACGGGTGTTCGTTTGGATTTTTTCTCGACCAGTCGTCCAGGAGCTCGTGAAAATGTTGCAGCAAGGTCAACGGGAGCAGAAGCCTCACAATAAGTTTTTCTCAGAAACAAAACAGGACACAACTCAATGCAATGCAGAAAAATGCAATATAAATAACATAGAATGAGACAGAAATGTTTTTTGGATTGGACGTGTTCTCCGAATATCTTCATATGGCATGCTAAAAGGACAGGCAGTGGACACATCCCATGCCGATGTCTCTCTTGTCTCTCTTGTCTCTCAGTGAGGTTTGATGATGAAGTGGTTCGCGCAACTGAAGAAAATGCTGTCGAGACTGCTCAAGTCCGTGCCGCCATGATCAAGCAGCGTCAGGTCAAAGATGATACGTTTCTTGTCCAACACGATGAGATTACGTGGGTTGCGATTTAACGTTGACCAGAAGCGAAGAAGTGAGAAGATCAGACAAACGACAGTTCAATGCAGTTGTGCTGCAAACTATATCTACTTTAACTCCTGGAAAGACATTTGTACCTGAACTCGCAACCAATTTGTGACATGACATTGAAGAAACCTGCAGGAGGCCGCCAAGTACTTTGGACACCCAAGGCTTTAGTACGGCGTTTAAATGCATGTAACATATGTAACGTGAACTTTGTAATGATATGATATCGTATGGTACAGTACAGTAGTAGGGTATGGTATGCTATGGTATGATGTGGTATAGTGTGCTATGGTATGGCAGGCTACGGTACTGTACAGTATAATATGGTAAGCATGCATGTACAATCATGTACATGTGTATATTACATGTACATACGTATTTCACACGTCCATTTGCATACATGTATGTACATACTAGTACAAATGAATCCATGAATCTACCAACCTGTCTATCTACCTATCTTATCTGATCATATCCTACAAAAATTCTTACCCTATCTTGTCTTGTCTTATCTTGACTTATCCCATCGTATCTTATCCCTACTTGTGTCGATCTATTTCTTCTTATCCTATCCATATCAGGCCCTCAGGCTTTGTTTTCTTGTGTGCTGAGAAGCACGGAAGAGTACCAAGCCTCACTTATTCATCTTTTCCGATCCGCATAATTGTAGCTAATCGTATCCCTCCTAACCAATATATACCTATCTACTTACCTACTTACCTACTTGCGTACTTACCTACCTATCTACCTATCTACCTACCTATCTACATATCTATCTATCTACATATCTACCGCCTATTTACCTATCTACCTATCTACCTACCTCCCTATCCATCCATCCATCTAGATAGGATGTGTGTGTGTATTGTATATATGTATATAAATATGATACTTCTTATCGTCATCGTGGAGGCGTAAATTTCAAAAAATGTTGTTTTTTTCAAGTTCTGCATCTCCCCGTAGGTTCAAAGAGCTCCAGCGGTTGCGAGCAGAGATGCAACGCCCTGATGGAGCCAAGAACGTGGTGAGGGAACTCAGAAAGCTTGCGCTACCCGACGTGTCACGGGACGTGTCACGACGTCCGTGTTTTCTTTTGTTTTATGTTTTGTTTGTCTTGTTTTGGACTGTCTGCTCACTTGGAGTTTACTCAATCCTAACTTCATCTCAGTCCCGATGACTAAACACCAAGACGCGATCGGAACCAGTCCATACCAGTGTAGCTTTGGGGAGAACATTGCCCTTTGGAAAGGATCATTGACACTCCATAACTTCCCATTGTTCCTTTCAAGGGCACTCTTAAAGTGCAAACGTATCGACACGAGTTTACGATGTGACTTGGCATGTTCAAATGGTGCAAAGGAATTTCTTTGATCGTCCATGTCCCGTTTCCAGTCACGGAGCAAGATGCAGCAAGATGTGACCCGATGTGACAGGAGTATTGGCGTTCGAAAGTCATGGAGATTCGACAGGAGATGAAGAGCTTGGAGGAGGCGCGACACCGCGGTGCCCGTTGGGCTAAAGCGAGCCAGGTGTCACCGAGGCCTTCCATGCGTTCCATTTCCTTCCATCCTGTCTTTTGCGCTTAAAAACAATATCCTGCAAGGCTAGAAAAGATGACTAAAACAATCCAAAACGTAATATGCACAATATGAATCAATATGATCAATGTGTGGACTGGAGTCACATTTTCCCATTCCAAGATCCAGGAAATCTATGGAAATCTCGGGGTCTGAAGAATCCTCCGACCATATAGATTTGTTGTGATTTGTTATGGTTCGTTAATACAGGGAGGCGAGGGAGAGCACAGAACAAGCCAGGAAACAAGCCTCCAACCTGCCGACTCCAAGTTGCAGTGGGGTATAGGATGGTATAGGTACATGTAGCGATACATAAATATGATAAATATGGATGTATTCTGATGTCTTCGTGTTTTCGCATGTTTTCAGCCAAGTTAAAGATGACAAAACTGCTGGTGTCAGGAAAATGCAAAGCTGCGAGTGCTTCTCTCCATGAGGGAGCATCCAAAAGAGGCCGGACCATTCCACAGATTTTGGTTGCGTTGCTTTTGTATGTGTTGATTCCCTCGCCAACAATCCTGCAAAGTGATTGAAATACCAGCAAAATTTCAAACCTCTTGTTGAAGGTATTTGAGCAATTCGAACGCGTGAAACGCTTCAAGTCTATTGGGGTATATTGGGGTTGTTTATCTTGGCAATTAATGTTGTTTGTGGTATGTTGTGGTTCTTGATTTTTTTTTTTTTTAATGTTGTTTTGTTTTTATATGTTTTTTGCTTTTCTTTGCTTGTGTGTTTTCTTTGCTTCTTTGCGCTATATGCTTGATCTTTATTGCTTTGCCTTTTTTTGATGTCTGTTGCTCCTTGCATTTCTCTGCTGTTGTATTGCTGTTTTCAACAACAGCAACAACAGCAACAAAAACAACAGAAGCACCAACAGCCAAAAGGACAAATAAGAACAACAAGAAGAACAAGAACAACTCCCCATGCCCTCCAGCTGTTTCTACCTTGCTGCTTCCAACTCCCATTTTGACCTTTTTTTCTTCGCCTCGGTGTAAATACCATGGGACCCAGAAAGTCCAAATGAGAGGTAAGTTTATATGTCGAAAGGTAAACCTCCACGTTGCCAATGCCTCAAATATCATCAAAGAAAGTTCGACACTTCACAAAGGTTCGAAAGTCATGTAAAATGGAAGGTTGGAGTTCTACAATGCTGCATATACCGAGCAAAAACCAAAGGTTGGATTTCCGCAATACTGCATATACCATGCGAAATGGAAGGCTGAAATTCGAAAATGCCGCAACAGGCAAAATGGAAGCTTGAATTGTCCATGATGCTGTAACTGGCATGCAAGATGGAAGGTTCATCCAAAAGACTGCAAATAGTAAGGACAACAGGCAAGGCAGGAAACATGAAAATACCACCCAATCAATAAACAGACCCAAAGCCAACTCAAAACGTGCACGCTGTGGCCTCTTTCGTGCTTTCTGGTACAGTTGCTGGCCCACAGGATATTTTCCGAGCTCGGCCCCTGACTTTTGGCACAGTGCCGTCATTTGTCCCCTTGCCTCCTGCTGGACGCTCTATATCTACACTCTTTTCTGTTTTGCTTTCTTGGTATATTGCCCTTTTTCTTTCCTCCCCCAAGGGGTCAGGGAACTGAGCAGCCAGATATATGTTTACTCGTTCGGGATAGCATCAGTATCATCGTTTCTTGCCAAATCTTTTGTTGATGACACACTCGCTCTCTTTCTTGAAATTTGTACTGGTGAATTGGCACAAGGAAGCTCTTGTCTTGGCATTAAATCTCAAGGTAGTGAACCCAAAGCAGCTGTCGGCAACCCATTTTTTCTATGTTGCGTTAGTCGAACGGAATTGTTGATTGATGACTCTCCTTGGATCTCCTTGGGAATCGTTTCTGTTTTTAGTGGGCTCAACATTTCTCGGAAGGTAGGGGTAAGCTACCTGAGTTCCCCCTTGCATAGCAAGTGTTGAGGTGGGAGCGGTGCAATTGTATGAGTTTGGGCCCGTTATGTATTGCTTCGCCCTTAAAGGGCCCGCCCCCATTCGATTCCCACCAGGTCCACCTCCTGAGCAGCATGCAGATGTCCTCTTAAGACCCTCAACGTAAACCCACGATGTAAGATGTAAGACGTCCTCTCAACGCTGCTTTCTTGCAATGAAGTGCAATGTTACGTAATGTCATGTAGCGTACTGGAATGTTAGGAGATGTACTGGGAGAACAATCGCTTAACCACAGAAAGCCAACAGACCCATTGGACATAGACAATACGAGCCCCGCCGTTGTACTTGGTTGAAGCGGACCATGTAATGTTTGTATCTGTTTGGTTCCAACTTTACTCATCACTTTAGTTCCTCATTTACTTTCCCAAAATAAATTTGGTGCCGGGTCCGGGGATCGGTCCCCGCCGGACTCAAAAAAGTAGTCAGGGCATTGGGGAACTCAAGTAATGACTAAAGTGGTTGCCGGACCGTGTTGTAAGCAGAGCTTGGGTGTTAAAACGTGTTGTAAGATGTTGTAAGTAGAACTTGCTTACTAACTATGTTGTAACGAGAGCCTAGTTGCTAGACCGTTTTGTACGAAGAGCTTGAGTATGCTTGGGTGCTAAACCGTTTTGTACGTAGAATTTGGTTGCCAGAGAACGCCAGAGAGTTTTTTTTGTAACTCGAGCCTGGTTGCCAGACCGTTTTGTAGGGAGAGCTTGGGTGCTAAACCGTTTTGTGCATAGAATTTGGTTGCCAGAGAATTTTGTACGCAGAACTTATGTGCTAAACTTCTAAACCTTTTTGTATCCTTTTACAAGAAGGACTTGGTTGCGGGAAGAACAACTGTGGAAGCCGTGCTGTCTACCGCCCCCATTTTGTAGACACCTTAGGGGTTTGCATCCCAGTTTATTTACCCCAGGGTTTGCGCCCCATTTTGAAGTATAAAAACGGGGTGCATAACCCCTCCACCGTTTTGTCAGCAGAGCTTGGTTGCCAGACCATTTTATAAGCAGAACTTGCTTGCTAACCGTGTTGTAACTAGACCCTGGTTGCCGGACCGTTTTATCAAAGGAAGTTTAGGGGGAGAAACTTCCGTGTTACGGACTTTTAGAATGTCAGGGAAAGAGTTAGTCAAAGAAAGAGTTCGTCAGGGAAAGAGTTAGTCAAAGAAAGAGTTAGTCAAAGAAAGAGTTAGCAAAGAAACAAAGTTAGTCAGGGAAAGAGTTAGTCAAAGAAAGAGTTAGTGAGGGAAAGAGTTAGTCAAAGAAAGAGTTCGTCAGGGAAAGAGTTAGTCAAAGAAAGAGTTAGTGAGGGAAAGAGTTAGTCAAAGAAAGAGTTAGCAAAGAAACAGTTAGTCAGGGAAAGAGTTAGTCAAAGAAAGAGTTAGTGAGGGAAAGAGTTAGTCACAGGAAGAGTTAGCAAAGAAAGAGTTCGTCAGGGAAAGAGTTAGTCAAAGAAAGAGTTA